TGGCCACTGTGCAAATATTTACACATGTGCCATTAAAAGCGCATTTTGCAACCCATTCAACTCCTGCCCCCTCCCCCCCCCCCGCCCTTTCCATCCACCCCTGTTAAGTGTCATGCCCCTCAAGTGATGAATTCGTTTAAATCGTGCTTAGATAAAACAAAAACTCCGACATGACATTGCGCAAAAGTCAAATGTAACTAATTGCGGCAATTCCATGTTCAGCAACAAAACCAACAACATCGAAAAGGACAATTGTAGACACCAACACAATATTCAACAACAGTTAGCAGCAGCCAACATTTGCCACAGGATTACAAGTATATTCAGGCATTATCAGGCTCGCTGTTGTGGCAGTCGTTGGACTCGCCATGAGTCGTCTGAGGCGTGAAAGCAGTCGACAAAGTGTCATAACCGTCGAGCTCATACAATTCATAATTCAGTATCGCGCCAAGGAGACACAGGATAAGAAGAAAAGGTGCGACAAGCAGCGCGTTTTTATATTGAACAAAAAAAAAGAAAAGAAAAGAAAAGAAACAGAGTTGTTACGCAAGACTCTTGTCTAAAAGAAGTTTGTTTTAAATTATTTTCGACAACAACTATATAGTAATAGAGTTTTTCAAGCAATGTTGTGTCCATTTACGACGGATCATCATAATATAAAAACGGAATGGTACAACAAATACAAAACCCGTAATGCTTAACTAAGAAAAACTCAAACTTGTGTTCAAACAAGGGATCCCAAAATAACAATTCACAACTATCAAATAAAAATAGACTTGCAATAAAAAAACACACTTTTATGTGCCACCTAATTCGAGTTTGCGGCGCCACCATCACCACCACCCCTTCACCCCCTCGCACCAGTCTGCTATATTCTGCTGTCTTATATAAGGCTTTTGCACGCTTAGATCAGCCTGCAGGTATGCAACGCTTTTGGACACCAACTCGAATTCTTATCACAGATAAAAATTAAGCACTATGAAACCAAATATTAATTTTATCAGTTAAGATATAAAAAGCACTCAAGTTGCTCTTTGAATTCGGTACACAATGTTACATCAAGTTCGATTTATTTCAATATTTTTGCCTGCATCTGTTAGGTAGACATGGAACAGATTACGTTTCGAGCTTGCTTTTCAGTTTTCTTTGACTCCCTATGCCTGCTTCAAGTAATATTTAAAAAAGCTAAAATATCTTACAACGAATAACTGAAGTACTAAATAGCTTACAACAATAGCGACAATGCGAAATTGTTGAATTACCTTTGATGCCTAAGCTTAAATCAAAAATTTAGAGACCGCAAATAATGACTTTTTTTAAAGCGAAAAAATCATTCACTTAAAGTAGCTTTGAGAGAATGGAGATTATAACAATTTCCTTCTTTGGGATATCTATGAATATTCACCATGATTCAAAAATTTTAAACTCAAGCAATAATCATTATTTTTAAGCAAACAAATAGAACTCATAAAATAATGTTTATTCTTCAAGTTTTTTTTTTATCAAAAATAAATCTCAAGCTGTAATTCTCCCTGCCTTTTTCATAGGGTATACGGACAAAATGTATATACTATATATCCTTAAACAATAAGCCAAGACGAACCCCTATAATAGAGCTTTAGAGCTTTATGAGCTTTATTTTTGGCTCAAAAGTTTTAATTTTAATTGTAGGGTAGAACTCATAAAATTTTAAAAATAATCATTATTTTCTAATTTTAATGACTACGGACCCTGAAAAAATTAGATGCAGTCGGTTCGATTAATCATTTTCAATTCAACTAATATAACAAACATACAAGTATAGTATGTACAAAGTTATTTAGTAACTATATTTAGTTGGTCTTAAAAATTGTAATTTATTTCTGGGCGAAATAATCTTTTAGGCAAACATTTTAAGGAACAATTTAAACTTATAAAATTTCACACTGAAACACAACTGAACGTGTTGAGTTTCATTTGAAATACTGCAACTTGGAAAATTTCAATGCTAAATCTGTATTTTCATAATCAGTACCACAAATATTACAAGCCGATATGCGAGTCAAAATGTCTGAAATGTTTGAAAAGTTTCATACTTAAAAAAACACTCGATGAAATGTGCTTGAAATATTGACATTTTGTATTTGAAAATTTAATTCTTAAATTAATCCTTGAAACATAGTTTTGTAAATGACATATTTCCAAAGTAAAAAATTTCAACAAAGACAAAATAGGCGAAATTCTATATGTTAAATACTACTTAGCAGCTAGTATTTGCTTTCAAGTACTAAATTATTGTGTATCCTTTAGGCGTCAAGAATTAATAAAAAATTTAAAATTTTCATGGAACAAATGGCTTTATAAAGTGGCTAGAGAGGCCTTCTGACTTTTTTCGTTGGAAAAAACAATAACTCCTGAACGAATACAGATATTGTCATGAAGAAAATTTAGATTGAAAGAGACATTCTTAAACTTTTAGTTAAATTATTACGCGTCGTCGAAAAGACTTGTTTTATTATGTGAAACCGTTTCTTATTTAGTTGGCTTTTTAGGGGTTCTGTCAATAAAGCATTTTACATGCAGTTGATGGATAAATGAGAAAAAAAGAAAGCAAATATTTGTAATTTTTCTTCAGCATTAGCGAAGAATCAATTGAACTATTTACACAAGATCTATTTTCTATAAAAGCCAACTTTATAAACTAAGCAGCCGAAACTATGTTCATTGTTATTAGTGAAGTCGGGTTAAGCTGGCCTACAAGTTGCAAACAGCTAAAACTCTAGCGAAAAGTTGTAAGCAGTTAAAAGCTTGGACTTATGCCTTGGAAATAAGCAACTTTCCCAGTTTCTACTTCTTTCTTCATCTTTCCTTAGATGAGGGGGGAATTGTGTGGACTTGAAGGTGATGTGTCTGAGTGTTCTTTCCCTTTTGAAGTTGTCGGAACTACTTACTATCAATCAAATTCTGCTAATTGGTCTGTGTAAATGCGTAGCTGTTGTAAAAGAATCTTTGCAGCACTCCAAGTAAAATCAAATTAAAGCACTAGCCAGACGGCCCCCACAACTTGACAGCACTTGCCCCAAACTTATGCAACAATTTGCTCACCACTTTTGAACTATGTGCGTGTATTTGTACGCAAGACTTGCATAAGCGCAGGCTTTAGTGGTTTTCCTGGCCCAAGAACTATGGCCAATTAAACATAATTGAATAATGTGCTAATTTGTTTAAGCCGTCATGCCAGACGCCGTTTCGCGTCGACTAAAGTGTCTCACAGCACTGGCTTTGAAGTTACGTAAAATAATGTCCACTCTTAAACCGCCCATCCTCAAGGTATCCACGGACTCATGCTTTGGCAAATATTTTTTATAAAAGCCGCTCAGACTTCGGGCCAACTTATTATTGCCATGGTTATGAAACCCAGTGAGCTGGCGCTGATTGAACGGACCACTGCTGCCCAACACAGGGAGTCTGAGGCACAACCCTAGACGAACCGAGACCGAGACGCACATAATAGACCAATTAGTTGCAATTTCTACGAAATCAATGCCAATTAAGGCGGCATAGCTTCACCTGCTCCTGCACACTTGCACTGCTGTGTCTTACATTGCAAGCGAGCTCTGTTTCTTTTGAATACAAATAAATTCCCATTTCTTGAGTCGAATGAGGCCAACATTTTAATACCCTTTGGCAAAAAGAAATAAACTCTATAAGATATGATCGATCAAGCACTAAAATAATGTCAGAACTACTCTCAAAACCTTCCAGCAAGGTAGAAAAAATTTAGCATACACTTGTTGTTCAACTTGATTTGAAAAATATTGAAACTAAGTTTTACAACTCTGGGGTGCTTACTCTCGGAGATACTGGCGTTCATACGGACAAACAGACCAACAACAAACACCAAAACGATATCAATGCATTCGAGCAAAAAAATGTGCACCAAAGAATGTATGTACATTCTATTTAAGTGCACTAGTAAGGTATCTACAAATTTAAAAAAACACTGATTCGATTTTGTTTTAGAAAAATATTTGAACTATGTTTTGCTGACTCTGGGATCCTTACTTTTTGAGATCCGCATTCATGTAGACAAACAGGCCGATATGTACAGATCGATTCGTTATTTTTAATCAGCACATAACTAAATTGTGCAATCTTTTGCACCTACCTCAAAACTATTCCAAAACACCCTTCAAACTTGCAGGGAATTACAGAGTATAATAAAAAGGAAAATATATATGTGTCTCTCTTGTTATTGTGCCTGTCGTCAGAGCATGTTTGTCTATTCAATTGGCATTTGTTGTTAGTGTATTTCGTTTGAAATTCAATTACTGCATGTTTTTCACTTAGTCTGCCACACCCACTCTCCTCCCACTCACACACACACACACACACACACATGCACAAACTCGTACCAGCGCATGCATTTGCCTGCTCAGCTTTTTGCTCAATTTTGCAGAATTTAGTCAAAACTCACAAATTCTCTCACCAAAAAACTAAAATGCCTTGGCCCCTAGATGAACAAAATAAAGCTATTTTTGTGTAGTGTTTATGTATCTGTATCTTTAACTGCATCCCGATGCGTTTTTCGTTTAACTGAAGCGCACCTATTAAATTCGAAAACACACACAATTCTTAACCTCCTGCTACCCACTTCCCAGCCCACCTAAAAGTCTAACAACAACAAAATCGGTAACCAATTTATGTGTTTTTTTTTTTAATGTTTTAGTTGTCTCTTATTTTTCTTTCCCTTGCTGTTTTGTCGACTAATTTTATTTCAATTTTTATCTGACTACGAAAAAAAAGTGAATGAAAAGCATTAAAGAAAATATTTGAATAACAAAATGCGCTCAATAAAAATTAATAGCTGATTTTTTTAGTTTTCCGTTTGAATATTATTTGTTTAGTTTTAACAATATTTTTAATTAGCCAAGTTGTAAGAAGAACTAATTGAAGGCAGTGACTAACGATTTCTAATTTCTCAAATCCCCTCCCACAAACACGTCCCTTTCAATATGTAGGCGTCTGGCCGACGAGGACGATGAACTGTCGGAGGTGCAACCGGATGCGGTGCCACCGGAGGTGCGCGAATGGCTCGCCTCGACCTTCACGCGCCAAATGGCGACCTCGCGCCGCCGGAGCGACGAGAAGCCCAAGTTTCGGTCTGTGGCCCACGCCATTCGAGCCGGCATCTTTGTGGACCGCATATATCGTCGCGTCTCCAGCTCAGCGTTGATGCAATTTCCACCCGATGTCGTTAAGTTGCTAAAGGTAAGTCTGTCAAAAGATAAACAAGCTTTAAATATCCAATTATGTAGAATAAGCAGCAACAAAAAGGTGCACATTTATGTGAAGTATTTATATCATATTTATTTATAATCTATCTAAGCACAAAAATCTTGCAGGCCGGGGGGAAATTTATTAGCCAGTCCGTTAAGCTACTATATGCTCCAGTTCACAGACATGTGCAATCAGATATTCACCAGAAAATTGGTTAAAAGTGGGAAAGGGTTTAGTAGGCAGATTGGAAAACAATTACTATAAATGTGGTGGGAATAAAAATGCAGAGCAACTTATAAAAACAAGAGAGAACGCTACAGTCGAGCAAGCCCGACAGTGTAATACCCTGTACCCAGGTAAACTTCCGTCACTGAGTTATATGCGCCCATAGCAGCAGCAAAAAGAGGAAGAAGAAGAGCGAACTTGTTGCTGCAGTTTGTGGGGGTTGTACTGTAGAGAATTTGTTTCGCTAATAACTTTTCTCAGAATTGACCGAATTGGAAAATTTCAAACAACAATAGACAATTATATATAAATTATGTGTGCAAAGTTTGGTTGAGGTAGCATTTGAAATGTGGACGCTATTGACGAAATTCTGTAGCGGCGGAAGGGGGGGAAAATTTAAAAAAAAAAATAAACTCGTCCTTACTCGGACCTAGGAGAATCTGGATGCCAACTTTGGTTATTCTAGCTTTTATAGTTTCTGAGATCCTCGCGTTCATCCAGACGGACAGACGGACGGACAGACGGACGGACATGTCTAGATCGATTTCTCTCGTCATGCTGATTCAGAATATATATACTTTATGGGGTCGGAGATGCTTTCTTCTGTATGTTACATACTTTGCACAAACCTAATATACCCTTTTTACCCTACGGGTACAGGGTATAAAAAAAAAATTACAATCCATCAGGCAAAAGTGAAGACAAACAAGTTAATCAATTACTTAAAATGATTGCATTTAGCAGATTATTATATAGGAGATATATTTAGGTGCAATGTTTTTTCAATAGCTTAAAATTACATTGGGGTCGCACTTATATTTTCCTATTTATGTCTATGGATGTGTAGTATGTGTTCAGCACAGAGTTGATTAAAAACAGCAACAACAATAAGCAGAGACTGCATTTTTTTTATAATTTTACTTACAATTGACCCATCACGATAAAACAAGGCTTTAGGAAAATATTCATACAAACGTATGCGTTCAACACTTTAAGTATTAATTGGCTTGCTGAAGCAATTACATTACATTTCATGGACGACATGACGATGAACTCGACCACAATCGAAATTTTGCAAACATGTAAAAGCAATTATTAAATGTATTTGATTGAATCAAAAGTTACATAAAAATAAAACAATTCTGGCCCACTATGCGCTGGAAGTAATTAAAAAAGTCTGAAACTGAAACTATCATTCGACAAACTAATACATTTTTCTAAAGTTTTTGAGACTTTTAATTAGGCCATGAAGAGTTAATTCTAAATTGATTTTTTGTAGAAGAAATCTTTCTGTTTGTGGTCTATAAACTAAATTAATCAATAATACTTGTATAATATCAGCGGAATTCCTAGCATTACTAACAAATCAATATTATCTGTTCACATTTGACACGGACTGGTTGAAAACAACATTTTTATTATCGCCTTCAAATTAGCCAACGGCTAATTAACATTTTTCTTGACCGCGATAGCCTTGAGTTCCTTCAGCGAATAACTTTTCATGCCGACTCAATCAACTCATGGCTAGGACCTAACGACCCTCACAGAACACTTTATGCCATTCAATTGCTTTCGTTGTCGATAGAATATACTTGCTAAAACACTTATGCAATATTTTCAAAACAATTCCGTATCCACAAAAAAAAAACAAAAGCAAACTGATTGTTGAGACAGCGAGCTTTTATCTATAGTTTTTGTCGGAACGCCTATCAGAGCGGACAATTAAAAGACAAACAAGTTTCAAATTCTATGTACATACTCGTACCTATACATGGTATGTTTACATCCAAGCCTCGCACAACAGCCTGTCGAGAAACGTTCAGATCAGCTCAGCGAATCTGAGTCAACTAACTTCCCTTGCAGCCGCACCGGACGCTGACGCGTCTACGAAAGGGATAACAAAGTGAAATCTATAAAGAGAACAATTAGAAAACTAAATGAGCGCCATTAAGTCAAACATATTGAGAGTTATGAATTGTTGAGGGCAGAGCAAGGTACAATTTTGTATGTGTATGTAATTATGTTTTTTACAGCTGACTGTGCGCTGCCTGCGCCTGCTGCTTGACCAAACACCCATTATAAAAATTGTCAGGCAACCTTTTCCCTTGGCAAATAGCACACATCTAAAGTGCAGGCGAATGTGTAAGGTGTTGCCAACCTAAACCGCTGTTTAAAGTTCGAATCAAAAAATGTTTAGTATTTTTTTTATTTATATAGTATTAAATACATATATGTATGTATCTGAATAAGTTGTCGGAACGAACATTGTAAAAGGTAAACAATTGAAAAAGAAGGGCGACTGCAACCAGTTTAATTATAAAAATTACAAAGTAATAATAAAGTAATGAATACTTCTAACTTTAATAGATTGCCTTAGAATGATTAATTTTTAACTGTAATTTACAACTCAATCGATAAATCTTATTTTTCTGCAAAAATATAAAACTGCAATAAAAAAATAATGATTATTTCTTGAGTTGTTTTTCTTTTTGCCCTGAAATAAAATCCGAGTTGTAATTTAGTGTTTTTCATAAAGAATAAGGAAAATGTAATCATATCAGAGCTTGAAAATAACTGTTAACCGTTTTTCCCTTTGCGGTCTACTCACGAACATAACCGAAAAAAACTTATTAGACTTATCAAAAAAGAAGTGGAGATGAAATTTGAGTAAATAAATTAAAAATATAAATTCTTAAATCACTGTGAAAATGCACAGATTAACCGATAAGAAGAATATCTTAAAGTTACTGATTTTTCCGATTAAAAAAAAAATAATAATATTCATAATTTACAGTCCCTGCAAAAAAATAAAACACAAAAAGTTAAATCTTACATACATTGGAATTCATTTTGATTGTTAAAAGGCATTGAATTGAATTGAATTGAATAAATTATTTTGCGTATTAACGTTTTTATCTAAATCAGCTGCAGGAATAAATCTACTATTATTGGTTAAAATACCTTTCAATTATTATTATTTCATTATTTTATCACTAAGAAATACAAATCAGCTGCAGGAATAAATCTACTATTATTGATTGAAATAGCTTTAAGTTGTTATTATTTTATCTCTAAGAAATCAAAATCAGTTGCAGGAATAAAACTACTCTTATTGGTTAAAATACCTTTCAATTATTATTATTTCATTATTTTATCTCTAAGAAATACAAATCAGTTGCAGGAATAAATCTACTATTATTGATTGAAATAGCTTTAAGTTGTTATTATTTTATCTCTAAGAAATCAAAATCAGTTGCAGGAATAAAACTACTCTTATTGGTTAAAATACCTTTCAATTATTATTATTTCATTATTTTATCACTAAGAAATACAAATCAGCTGCAGGAATAAATCTACTATTATTGATTGAAATAGCTTTAAGTTGTTATTATTTTATCTCTAAGAAATCAAAATCAGTTGCAGGAATAAAACTACTCTTATTGGTTAAAATACCTTTCAATTATTATTATTTCATTATTTTATCTCTACGAAATCCAAATCAGTTGCAGGAATAAATCTACTATTATTGATTGAAATAGCTTTAAATTATTATTATTTCATTATTTTATCTCGGGGTATAGCTAGCCAAAAGGCAAATAATATTCCCCCGCCGGGTCGGGGGCGTTAATTAGATACTATATTATTGTACTTTGATTAGATTTTTCCTTCTTAGCCTTTTCTAGCCTATAAGGTGCTTTTTATGATTTTTATATATTTTCCTCCTATGTCGAGAGTCATATTTTTGTTGACAAATAAATAAATAAAATCCAATTCAGGTGCAGGAATACTCCTACGAATATTATTTATTGATTGGAATAGCGTTAAAATATTATTATTTTATTTAGCCATACTGTAACCGGTTTTAACAGCTTTTCCCTCTCTCTTCCACGTTGTTTCCCCGCACAGCATCTGGACGACTGGACCTTCGATGTGTTTGCGCTGGCGGAGGCGGCCAGTGGCCAGGTGGTGAAGTACGTGGGTTACGATCTATTCAATCGGTACGGCATTTTACACAAATACAAGATCTCGCCGGGCGTGCTGGAGAACTTTCTGCATCGCGTCGAGGAGGGCTACTGCCGCTTTAGGAATCCATATCACAACAACCTGCATGCCGTGGACGTGATGCAGTCCATGCACACCTCGCTCTGCAACACCGGCCTAATGAACTGGCTGACCGATCTGGAGATCTTTGCCTCGCTGCTGGCGGCCCTCATACACGACTACGAGCACACGGGCACCACCAACAACTTTCACGTGAACTCTCGCTCGGACATGGCCATGCTGTACAATGATCGCTCCGTGCTGGAGAACCATCATGTGAGCGCCACCTTCAAGATGCTCAAGGACGACGACTGCAACATATTGGCGCACTTGTCGCGCGAGGAATACCGCGAGCTGCGCACTCTAATGATTGACATGGTGCTGGCCACCGACATGTCCTGTCACTTTCAGCAGATGAAGACCATGAAGCAGATGATTACGCTCCAGGACTCGACCATTGACAAGTCGAGAGCGCTGTCGATGGTGCTGCACTGCTGTGATATTTCCCACCCGGCCAAAAGGTGGGATGTGCACCATCGCTGGACCATGTTGTTGCTGGAGGAGTTCTTTCGCCAGGGTGATCTGGAGCAGGAGCTGGGTCTACCTTTCAGTCCGCTGTGCGATCGGAAGAACACGCTGGTCGCCGAGTCACAGATCGGCTTTATCGATTTCATTGTGGACCCCAGCATGACCATCTTCTCGGACATGCTGGAGTACATTTTAGCGCCCATAGCGCCAGTGTTAAAGCCCAAGCCATCGCCACTGCTCGAGGAGTCCTGTGAAAAGCAAGAAGGTGCGGTGGAACGTCCGGAGGTCGCTAAGGCAGCGGAATGTACTGCCACCAACTTGCGCAAAAGTCTGACCGGCGACCATCCGAAGTTCACGATTCCGAAGCCGTGGCTGCCCTGCCTGGCCGAGAACAAGAAAATCTGGAAGGAGCAGGCTATCAAAGGTAGGTGATTGGTTGCCTTATGAAAAAGTTCACTCTATTCATAATTGCCTTGGGGGTCACTTTTTCTGTGAGTCGCCAGGCGTGTGCAAGAGATGAGAGTTTGTGGTAAAAATGAGAGGAAAGAAAATTGCATTTTCCTAGTCTCTTTTCTAGTCGCTTTTCATGTTCAACAAAAAAATCAAACAATAGAGAGAATTAAACTAAAGAAATAAAAAAGTCCATAAAAAAGACAAAAATATTTAATAACGAATCCGACACGGTGGGGGAATTTTATTTGCCAAACGGCCAGTTATATCAATTCTAGTTTAAATCGAGAGATTTACTCATGTGCTAAAATTGAATTCGAAAATTTTGGTCCTATTTCAGTCCAATTAATTGGTTTTTATATATTTCATTTAGAAACGATAATTAAATTCAGAAGAGCCTTTTGTCAGAATCACGCCACTTGGCCATCTTTAGTTTAATAAACGGCCTTAATTGGCCTCTGCTTTGATCTTTTTGAGCTAATTAGTTAGTCACCTCCACTTAAACACTGAGCAATTATTTTGACCCGCAGAATTAATTGAACGTCGCAGAAAAAGCAAATAAATGCATGAGAATATTAAAATTGGTAAAAATATTTTGGCAATGCGCTAAAAGCAAATTCAATGTCGTTAGCCCAATCACTCGAAATAAGCGTAAGTGTAGATTTTGCACAATTTACATTTTGTGGGCATTTTAATTAAAGTTAAAAAAAACCATTCCTCCATGCCTCCATTTGCAGATGCCGAGACGCGAGCTCTGGCTGCCGCCCAAGAGGAACAGGCTGCCGCTGAGGCTGAGGCCACCAAGGCACTGACTCAGTCGGAGGATACGGAGACCACAGAGGCAACGACTAGACCGGAGCCGAGCACAGAATCATCCGCAGATGCCACCGATGCGGCGGCGACTACTTAAATCAACAAATCGAACTAATTACGACGTTTGGGGTGCAGCTTTCTTTCTATCAATAATATAACTATGATGTAAAAACTATAAAGCACACACTTAACAACTGAATAATTCCATCAAAGATACTATATAGCAGCAGAAGCAGCAGCAGCAAAGAAACTGCGTAAACAAACAAAATCTAATAGCATTTCTAGAGAGTACTAGAAGATACATTATAGTAGAAAAAGCTGCTTCTTAAGCGCCCTTGATTACCGTTTGAAATATATATACTTGTATACATACTAGTTGTAGACAGGATCAAACATAGAAGATATACCTAATAACTTACTTCATATATGGCGCTCAAAAAGCATTAAATATATAGAAAATATTGTGTGTATATTTTACATATATTTTGTTGTAGACAAAACGCTTAACATCCGTTTACACGGTTCGATTTCAATTATGGGAGTTACCAGGAAATATACAAAATACAAATTTGAATATTTTCTATAACCCACACAAACGATATGGGACGTGTGAGCTGGAAAATAAAAACATATATTTATAGACTACAGATATAACGAGCACACTAAACAACTGGGATGAGTTTGAAGGCGTTTATCTCTGTAAATAGGCGGCATTTCACCGAAATTCTTAGTTAATTTTCTATTGTTTGTATTTAACGAGCAATCGACAATTTGTCGGCATTTAATTAGTGGATACACTTAAAATTATTTTATTTGGATTACAAATTTTTTTAGTTGTAAACAAATGTGGAATTTATTGTACTGTATTATTTTTGATAAGTTAAGACTACAAAATATATTTATCTACATGTACATTTGTTTTGTTTTCATTCTTTATGGATTTCAACTGTAACATTTGCTCAATTAAAGGATTTATAAGTATTTAGAAATTTGGCTGCCCTTGTGGAGCCTAGATTTAAGGTACCTAAAACTAAAATACCTGAGAATTAGCTTTTAAAAGAAACTCGAAGAAAGAAGAAAAGTACACCTCTGTAAATACAATACGTGCTGGTTCACAACAGACAACAGACTTATGTACTATATGTATTCCTCCCAAACAATTTCCGCGCTCTCTCTCCCCACTGTCCACTTCAAACTGCAATGCACATACTACATACATACATAGCTCTATCTACCTATCTACGAGTATACTATACATGCTATATACATACTATATACTTATAAACATAAATAATACTAGAAATAAATGTTAAGCATATATTTAATAATAACTACCACATAAAAGAACAAAGTGTTGCAAAACAGAAACATATTTATTTTTATACGTGAACAAAAGAGTTTAAGTTTAAACAACAACATAACAACAACAACAACAATTTATAAGTTACACAATTCTTTGGGTTTAGTTCTTGAGTGTTTTTCTCGTATTCGAAGAAGAAACCAAACTAAAATGTTTTAAACGTTTTTCAAAATGTCTGATAGCGGGACCATTCTTTTAAGATTTACCATTGCTCTTTACAAAGTGGGATATAGACGCTGTTTGTTGCTAGGGATCGAGCTAGGAGCTGGTGCTGGACAACGAAAAGGGGTTCTGCGGGCCCTGATTGGTCCCCATGGGCTGCATTTAAAGGGGCATTAGTAAAATCGTATAGATTTCTTTTCCAATAACTTCCCAAATGTGTAGATTTCATAGAATACCTTTGGAGGGATCGTCAGACGCTCCCGCATCCGATTCTGTTGATCGTGAGCTCATCGAAGCCAGCGCAGGGCACCAAAGAGCAGTGGTAAATGTGCTTAGCAGTAAGGTACCAAATTATCAGCTGAAATTGGGATCATAGCTTTATTAAGGTAGTAAATAATATTAAAAAGAACTGTAGTTCCAAACGTGTAAATGCGATGCGCTTGAGACATTTCTGTGCAACACCAACTGGTCACATATGCGGCGTACCTCCAGCAAATACTCGTACTACATAACATTTAATACTATGTACATAATAAATTAATAAATAAAATACTTAAAGTTAATTATAAAATATGTATGTATATCAGTCTTAGGAAAAACAAACACACAAACACAATTTGGCGCTCAAAGCGAATAGGCAACACAATATAGTCAAGAGCAACAAACTCAAATGATACCTTTCAATTCTTCTCTCTCTCTGTAAAAACTTCAGTGCTACCAATAAATTGGTAGACACTGGCTATGCATGTCCTTACAATTCCTCGATGGTTACGAAACGGGGTGTTTTCTAAGCTTGCAGATTAATTTATTAGCATTACCCAAAACTATGAGCGAAATTATTCTTATAAATGAAGCAGAAGTGCTAGAAAAAGTGATCAGAGTGCTAATAAGCGGCAGAAGGCTATTTACAGGCAGAAAGAACTGCACCAGGAAGCAGCTTCTTCCAAATTTCGGTCCTATAGAAAGTATACTAATGTATATCTACCTGAAAACCCCCCTTATACCAATTGTGCATAGTTAATCAAATTGTTAAGCCCCTGTCTGTTGAAAAGTACATTAAAAATATATATGAAACCAATATATGAACAGCATAAATGCATATGTCTAAACGTTATTAGCAAAATGGTAGTGCATATAGTAGCAACAATATTACTAAATATTCCAAAAAAAATACCTAAAAATATGCAAAAATCAAGATAATATACATATATATAAACATATATAAAAAATATACATATATGAGTTGAAAGCAATCATTACATTTAAATTAAATTACCGATATGTGTAAAATACAAGAGAAAACCAAAAATACATTTGTTTGGCTAATGAATTTGGTGAAAACTTCAAGTGCACTGTGCAAATAATACAGAAATAATTGTATCAAGAAAAAATAACTAATGACATTCCTAAAAAAACAATTTTGCACTCAAAAACTGTAAATAATTTCGTTTCAATTAAGCAAGCTAAGATTTTCTAAACATATATTTGTGTACTTTTAAAGATTTCGCAAAAAAGAAGAGGCAAAAACTAATTATCTTAAAGTTGTACTTCATTTCGTTAATAAGTTGAACTACTTATGTATTTACTTACATATATGTATGATGGCCCGATTGAGGCGTGTGTAAGCCTGTGTATGTATAAAACTAAGGGATTGGCTGAGTATGCTTACTACGAAATACTTTCAACAAATTATTATAATACAATATGATTATTTACTTTTAACATACTAATAAAAATTATTATTAAACCTATGCCGTTTACTAAAGATCATGCTATTGAATTCTAGATTTGAATAAAAAATTTGAAAATCATTTCCGGGGGAATCGATCAAAAAGCGGAATCTTAAGATTAAGATTAATTCCTAATATCACTTTTGTGGCTTGAATAGTCTCACTCTAATTGAATTCGAAAGAATATTATAGCATATTCAAAATAATAGATGAATTGCGTTAATTAAAAGAAGGAACATTACAACTGAGGGCTACTGGAAGAACAAAAATACTGGATTAATGACTTGCAGTGCATCACCTAAAGTAATGTTACCTTTTCAAATAATATCAAAAAACGGATTATGTTTGCGCTGCCACCCAATTCGTGCTTTGTTGATCTGGCAAGCCTAATTTTCTACCCACCGATAGTCATACATCGAATACTTGCGATGTATTACATTAGTTGGCAACACCTTTCAAAGAGCTGCCAACACTTACTATTGTTTTGTGTACGTAAAAACCATTCACGTTTTACGCATACGCGAATAAAGTTTAAGTTGCCGTCTGTAATTAAAAAAAAATAGGAACAGCAAAAAGTGTAAAATTCAGCATTTAGAAAATGTCTTTGTAATCAAGTAAGCACGCGCTATCCTTCAGTGTGCACTTTTAAGTGCAATTTAAGTCAACGGCAATTGTTATTGTCTGCAGCTTGTGGCAATCCGTCGGGGGGGATTGGTCCGTGGGTGTTGTTGCTATTGTTTCTGTTGCGTTTTGCGGCAATACATTGATGAACAGGCAATGTTGAAAACAATAGTTCCGGTATGTTTATAGCCCGCTAATCTCTATAGTGTGCACTACAAATCAATCACAAGGTAGCTAACACGGCCAATGCCCCGCCCAGACCGTTTTTGTCGTTCACATGGCCGTCTATGCGTTCGCTTTGCAAAAAAGAAAAACGGGAAAGAAAAAAAAACAAAATAAAAAGCACGTTCACTGACCAAATTAGGCAATGGGGGGCGCATATCTCCTAACGCCCACCCACCCACACACACTTCATTCAACAAACAGTTGTCGTGTTTGGGTTTAATTAATTTTGCACATTAATCTGAGCGCCTTTAAGCCGCGCCGAACGATTACGTTTTCGTTTTGTGCAAATAAACAGCCACGGTCTGCAAAATCTTATCTGGCACGCCACGTCGTTTATCAAATGACTTACTATACGTATATACATATGTATATTTTGAATAAATAATTACTCAGTACCCATTGCGCATCCCATTACAGATTCGATACGGCGCCTCAGACGCACCAGCGGTGCAGCAGATATTGTGGAACGATACGCCAGCGCCATGCACATAATAGACGAAGACGCTACTAGACACCGAAAACGACCAAGTGCCAAAAGCAACGAACGGAGTTCGTGAACATAGGCAAGATTTAAGCTACGGAACGACTCCGACGGCAGCTACACTACCACTAGAGAGAGTCCAGCGCTAAGCAGCCCCTTCACTAGTCAGTCAGGCGGCAGTTGTTGCATTTAATTGAACTTGTTAAGCAAGCACTCGTATTAGTAGCAGCCATGGGCAATAAAAATTCGTGCTGTGCATACACGAGTCCCCAGTCGGATCGTAAGTCGAAGGACATGCCGCCCGTGTTCGAGGAGCGGCATCAACTACATCATCCGCCGCACACATCTCAGCATCAACTTGATGGCCCTCATCACCATGGCTCCTCGGCAGCGGTGCATCATCACCATCATCAGCAGGGTAGCAACGAAAACTTTGAGAATCAGCAGAACCTACAGCACATCTCAGAGCGTGAGGCGCTTGAGGGTGATGAGGATCCTTCGGTGGACCCAACAGCAGCGACCATGTTTCTTGAGCGCTCCAAAGTAGAGAACGGCGGCATGACGCGCAAGCGTTCCCAACATCAAATCGCACAACAGGCCAGCATTGGTGGAGGAGGCGGTGGCGGCGGCGGTGGTAATACACCAGGCGGCACTAGCTGCGGTGGTGGCCTTAAGAAGAGTTCCAGTTGCTCCACGATCTATTTGGATGACAGCACCGTATCGCAACCCAATCTCAAGAACACCGTGAAATGCGTGTCGTTGGCCATTTATTATCACATTAAAAACCGCCAATCAGATCGGCGGCTGGACATCTTCGATGAGAAACTGCATCCCTTGACGCACGATCCAGTGCCCAACAACTATGACACACACAATCCAGAGCATCGACAGATATATAAATTTGTGCGCACGCTCTTCAATGCGGCACAACTGACAGCTGAGTGCGCGATTATAACGCTAGTCTATCTGGAGCGTTTGCTTACCTATGCTGAGCTGGACGTGGGGCCATGCAACTGGAAGCGCATGGTGTTAGGTAAGCATTTGACTCTCACTCCTTCACACATAAATACTGAAATATTGCAATCTGTAATTGATTGTTTAGGTGCCATACTGCTAGCCTCCAAGGTGTGGGACGATCAGGCAGTGTGGAATGTCGACTACTGCCAGATACTCAAGGACATTACGGTGGAGGACATGAATGAGCTGGAGCGTCAGTTCCTGGAATTGCTGCAGTTCAACATTAATGTACCCTCATCCGTCTATGCCAAATACTATTTTGATTTGCGTACGCTTGCCGAGGCGAACGAACTCAACTTTCCCACAGAGCCGCTATCCAAGGAGCGGGCCCAGAAGCTGGAGGCCATGTCGCGCGTCATGCAGGACAAGGTGACGGCCGAGGCACTTAAGAACGGCATCAAGAAATGGTCCTCCATGGACAACATCAGTCAGGGCGGTCCGCGGCGCAGCGTGGCCATATTATCGTGATTTATATTAGCCTATTAAAACTATATTCTCTACTATAACTGTAACTCTCTGTAGTAGTCGCCGCTGTTCCAGCGTCCAGTCCAATTGATCCAACCAACCGCATTGGATGCATCGTCAGCGCTTTCATTTAGCATTTTGTATTATTTAGTTTCGATTAAATAAACTTTATGACAAAGTTTCTAGTGAATTGAGCGCACGAGACTCAAACAAACACAACTAACAAAAATGATAACAACAACGACCCAAGGCAGCACACACCACATGGAAATTTTAAACACTTGAATACGTCTCGAATTAAGGACCACTTTTTTATTACTACAAACAATGCATATATATATATACCAGGTATTTGTATATATGTATATGCTTATGTACATTCTTGTAAGCGAAACTACCGATTGCAGTCAAGGATTTGGATTTTAATAGCATTACCCATTAAACTAAAACTATATAGGAATATATGTATGTATGATGCATAAAGCAGTACGTAACTAATTGCCAAAAACAAAAAACGGAACTACATAGAAGTATCTGTGTAAAAAAAAAAACACTAAAATGCTTTAGAAATTGTAATTAATTTTATTAAGTTTAACAAGTCCAGCAACGCCCGCGTCCAAAATCAGAAAAACACAATAAGATAACTCAATGGACTTTGATTATTTCGATCTTTTTTTAAACGAGTTCTTTAGTTGTTTTATAACCCGCTTCCGTAGCATTATGCAGCACAAAAAGGAGAGGGCGTGGCAGGCAAGTGGCACATAATAACAACAAGAACACATATTTGGATTTTAGAAAACCAGCGCAATATTTAACCCAAGATTTGTGAGTAATTTAATATTTAAGAGAATGCAACAAAATCTATGCAAATGTATTTTATAATTTATTTTACGATAACGAAAAAAATAAAGCAAGTCGGAAACAAATTCAATTTCAACTTGGAACGGATTCGAGTCCGGTTTCGCTTAACGATAATTCATGAAGGAGGAGCTGCAAAAGAAAAGTAAAATTATCATCTTAATAATTTTCAAATAGGGAGCACAATAGGTTTAAGAATAGGAATCGTGAATATTTATTTACAAAATTAGAAGGGTGGAGAGCGTAAAGAATCCGTTCGCTTCGGGAGGGGAATGTTTTTCCCTAACTATAACCAAAGCTGTCAGGTCTTCACTTCACAGCTGTTCCGGAGGGATAGAATCAAACAGAAGCTTTATTTAAGGAACTGCCAGGATAATTCAATCTGCGGCCAGCATGGTATATATATTCTTGCGATATTTTGCTTTGATTTAAACAAGTTTCAATACCAAATGCGTTATATTCCTGAGCTGCGTAATTTTTTGATCAGAAAGTACACTGAGTATATAAAGTAAATCTATGGTCAGACTGGCAAATAATCTGCGCAGAACTTTTGTGAAATTTCATAAGTATGACATGAATTTAAAGCTTCTTCAATTATAATCAATATTCGTAGCAATACAGCATTAATATTTAGGATTTACTTTTCAAATTTCGGTAAAAATATTTGCATGTCTGACCGCATGTTAGCTCTTTCATTAGAATTATAAGTGGTCTTCGGGAATATGGAATATATCTTTAAGAAACTGTCCACATCCATATTCCTAGTGACGCCCATTTCTAGTCCAATTAAAATGATGAGTGATGATGACTCTGTTATCTACTTACCCGCCAAAGGCTGGCTTCTGAGCATTGGTGTTGCCTGTCTGAGCCAGATTTCCAAACGATAGACCCGACTCCTGAGAGCCCAAAGTCTCAAATATGTTGCCCTTCGGTGCTGGAGCTACTGCACCAAACGCAGACGGTGTGGTGGTGCTTGTAGCATTACCAAAAGCCCCAAAACCTTTGGGGCTGCCGAAAGTGGCTGCGCCACCGAAAGTGGGCGGACTGCCAAAACTAGGTGAACCACCGAACACGGGCTTGGCACCGAAGCCACCAGCTGCTGGTTGCTGTTGTTGCTGGGGCTGCATCGAGCCAAAGCCAGACTGTGCCACAGACGCACCACCTTGGGCAAAGGCACCGAAACCGCCAGAAGCGGGCGTTGTCTGTGAGAATAAACCAAAGCCAGGCGAGCTACTCTCGAAGAGCGAACCACCTGAAGTGGCATTACCTGTGGCAGTATTGGCGGCGCCAAAAATGGAACCACCACTGGCCGCACCACCGAAAAGGTTGCCGCCAGAAACTGGCGTTGCATTGGCAGCGGCTTGTCCAAACACACTCTGGCCAAAAATGGAACCACCCGCAGGAGCTGTGGCGCCTGCTGGACTTTGATTTGTGGTGTTCGCACTTCCGCCACCAAAAATAGAAGAGCCGCCAAATGGCGAAGTGGTAGAAGCAGCACCAGCACCAGCACCACCAAATATAGAAGTGGAAGGCGGTGCGCCCGGAGAACCACCAAACGTGTTGGCCGCTTGAGAAAATATATTGCCACCAGATGCAGGCGCCGCTGGCTGATTACTAAACGGCGATGGACTGGAAATGGCAACTGACCCAAATAGTCCGCTGGGTGGTGCCGTAGCAGTAACTGAACCACCAAAGACACTCTGCTCCGGCTTTGGAGCACCACCAAAAATGTTACCAGCGGGTGCTGGAGGTGAAGCTGCTTCAAAAGGTTTCGACTGAAACGGATTCGCTGCAGCTGTGGTTGCTGCTGCTGCTGCTGTTGGTGTTGCAAAGCTAGTTGCTCCGCCAAATATTGAGGTTGGACCTCCAGTGGTTGTTGCCGTAGTTGCGGCTGTAAAAGCGGCAGGTGGTGCCGAAGTCAATGTTGGCGTTGCAGATGTTGTGCTTAAGCTGTTGAAAACACTGGAGAAGGAGAAGCTGCTGCTGTCGGGCGATGTCGTGGTGGTAGGAGCGGTGGTTGCAGTGCCGACTGCACTAGTTGCCACAGCGGTAACCACATTAGCTACAGAGCTGGGCGCTGTGGACGTAGATGTGGCTGTTGTTACTGATGTTGTTGCGGCTGCTGTGGTGGCGGTTCCAAATAAACCACGAGAGGCATCGCCGCCGGCGTTAATATCCGCACCAAACTGGAAATTTCCAGCATTGCCAGCGATGTTGCCAAAACCACTGAAGACATTGGCCGGCTGCACATTTCCTGCAGAGTCTGTCAACGAAAGATGTGGGGTTTAGGGTGGTTTTAAAAAGCTCGTTGTGGTTCGGCTTACCTCCAGAGCCTTCTCTGACTGTTGGCTTGCAAATGTTAACCGATCCGAAGAGGTTGTCTTTGGACTCAGTGGTGGTTGAAGCCACTGCAGTTGTTGTTGCTGGTGTCACCACCGTTACTGCTGCTTCGCTGCTCTTCGCGCTGGCGATGCTTGCAGGTGCGACTGACATATTGCTGCCCTTGCTCTCGAAAGTTGCAGTGGTGGTGCTTTCCACAATTTCCGCTGCCGTCTTGGCGGCAGCAGCGAAAAGACCGGTCGCAGGCGGCGTAGGTTGTGTGGCTGCCTTAGCGGCAGTAGCAAAAAGACCCGTAGGTGGTGGGGCGGGTTGTGTTGCCGCCTTAGCTGCAGCTGCAAAAAGACCTGTAGCTGGTGAGGCGGTCGGCTCCTTTACTGGAGCGGCAACTCCAAATGCTAAAGGTGCAGCTTTCGGAACGGTTGTAGGAGCCGTGGAGGAGGCCCCTCCAATGCCGAGCGACGTGCCAAAGCCTGTAAATGTAAACTGCGAGCCGAATGCACTTGCTGATGCGGTGTTCGTGGTTGTGGTTGTGCTGGTGGCTTGTGCCTCATTAGTGCTGCCAAAGCCGCCAACATTAATGGGTGGCTGAAGCATTTTCCTCAAATCAGTTGTTTCTTTTTTAGTTTCGATCGGTTTGCCACCGACTGCCGGCGTTTCCTTGGGAGGTGTGGTGTCTTTCGGTTTTGTGGTTGCATTCTTACTGGCATCCAAATTGCTGCCAAGACCAGCAAAGAAGCCCGTTGCGGGTGCTGCCGAATTGCTGCCGCCAAATGATATGGTGGGCTTGCTGGGTATACCGCCCGCCTGGCTAAAGTTGAAAATGGAGCCGCTGCTGCCCAGACCCGAACCAGCACCACCAAACATGGACAATGCGGGCGCCGGCTTGTTGCTTAACTCAACGACTGTACTGGGCGTGGGAAGATTGGTGGCTGCGGTCGTCACTGTGCCTGTTGCCTTCACAAACGAGGAACTTGTGTTGCCAAAACTAAACTGACTGCTGACTGGTGTCTGCTGAATAGCCGGCTTTGCGACGCTTGTCTTAATAACTGGTGGTGGTGCTGGTGCAGGTGCAGCTGGCGCCGATACCGCGGTTGCCACTTGAGTGGCTTTATGCGCTGTGGGCGGCTTCTGTGCAGCCGCCGCACTGGCCCTTTTCTTTTGTTCCGACTTTATTTTCGTCTCCAAAATGACTTCAGACTTGAGTCCAACGCGATCCGGACGCTGTGGTTTTATTACATTGATCTTACCCTGTTGCGTCGCTTTACGGATGGCTTGCAATTTGTCTTTACTCAACTTCTTCGTATTTCTATCCACAACCTGGGAAAAACTCATCGACAGAATTGAATCGGCCAAGCTATCGATGCTGCATGCAAATTGAATGAAGACAAATAAATTATTATGAATATACAATTGAGCGCTTACTTACGTTTCATTTACGCGGGTGCGACTCGCGTCCTTACCCAACAGAGCTGGCTGCAATAATCCACGATCCTTCAGCTTCGCCTTGATGCTGTTCAGCTTAATACGCTCATCGGACGTTATGTTTTGAAGTCGGGTCAGACGCTGATAGATACCCTCCAGGCACGGCATGTGCATTTTCGACTTGGTTCTGCGTCGAATCACATCCTGAAACTGATCCCATTGCGTATCAATCTGCTGCTCTGCCAGGCGCAGTTGGGCCTCGTTTGCGGCAACATAACTCCGAAGGCGCATCAGAATGCGTTGACATGTCGGATCAAAGGTGTTTGAGGTCATTAATCGCGTTATTCTAGGAAAATATTTGAGAAATAATTGGGATTTATAATATTCGGCATGCCTCTTCACTTACTCAGGATTTTTGTGCATTTCCAAACGAGCCCGACACTCGGCTACTACAGCATAGGACTCATTCAATGACTGACGCAATCCCTGCACATCCAGTTCAAAATCAACGTCCTGGGCCTGTTCATTCAGCTCTTGCAAATCCTCCAGACGTTTGCTATAGAATTTAATCGAAGATGGACTTTCAAGCTGCAAACAGTGATTGTAGAAATAACAAATAAATATAACACTATTATTGCTAATCTCTTTTATATTAATATATTACTAATATTGCAAGCTTACTTACATTTTCCAGTAACGAATACGTTTGCCGCTTCAATTGTTGAATCTCCTCACTAAAGGCATTTATCTGTACGGCCAATATTTGATTAATCACATCCTCCACGTCATTATCGCTAAGTTCCGGATGCTCTACTGGCATCCGGCTGTCGCTTTGAGCGTTGGCTAATTGGTTTGTTGCTGGCGCAAATGTGCTTGGCACCATATAGAGTGGTTTATTGTTTACTAATTCGAGGCCGGAGCTGAAGCTAGACACTGGCTTGACCGTGGGATTGCCAAAGGAAGGCAATGTTGCGGTCGGCGCTCCAAAACTTAACACTGGAGCGGGAGCAGGTGCAGATGCAGGAGCGGCAGCCGGCGGAGCTTTGTTGCCCAGGTCTCCTAAGCTAGGGAAGAACGGCAACGGTTTCTCCTTTGCTGCTGCCGGCGTCGAAGTGACGGTATTAGGAGGAAAGGCAAAGGACATTTCAGCTTTGGGTGTTGGCTCTGGCTTTGGTGGAGGCGCAGCTGCCGCGGGAGCTGCTGCTTTATTCTCGGCGCCCAATAATTTGTCCAGCGTTCGAAACTGACCGGAGGTGTCTGCCAACGGCGGCGGCGGCGAACAAACTGACACCGCACCAGTCATCAGATTCAGAAAGTCAAAGGCAAGTAGTTTGCCATCTGTGCTCAGAACGTGTACCATTGGCATGATGCCTAATTTCTGCTCATTGATAGTTAATTGGTGTGTTGTTGAGGTGTCGTAGGCAAAGCCCAGTGGAAATGTTTCCTCCTGCGAACCCTCGCTTAGAGGCATTTCAATTCGTGCCTCATCTAACATAGTAAGTTGCTGCCAGGTGGGCGTGTCACCTGCCTCCGTGGTGCCCATTACGCCGACTTCCACACCATTCGCTGAAGTGACAAGCAAAAAATTCCATTGGGACACATGCGTGAAAATAAACTGATGATTGCGTGGCCCATTTAGACTATAGCAAATATCATAATAGTTTATATAGGTGGGCGCTGCTCCCTTTGGCGCATTCACAATGTAGAGGGCTGGGTTGCAATCCTCACCATGGTGAAGGAAAACGGCAGCAAACTGGAAAGTGGACAGCCAATGCACGGCTATGGTGTCGAAGGGCGCATCATGCACATTGGGCGGACACACGATCGTTTTGGCAGGCGTCAGATCCGGCTTAAACTGTTGTAGCTGGCCACTGGGAAATCCAAGAACGATTTGCTTGCCTTTGGGCGACCAACAGCCACATTTCACCTGGTTGCTCTTGTCCAGCGTCTGCATGTCAAAGTTTCCAGCCTCCTTGAGAGCATACATGCACAACCCCCCATTGCTAAGGACCACAGCTAAGTTATTGGGCAGCACAGGATTCCACAGCAACTGTACTGCATAGACATAATCCTCTGGAGCCAATCTAATGTTATAGACTGGTTTCACTGTGGCAGTCATAAACGACTGCACACTGTAAATGTCCAGCAAACTGGTGCCGTTTTGTGTGTAGTTTACAGCCAAAAGATTTCCGTCGGCGCTACACGATATATAATTGGGCGTGCTAGGCAATGATATCAGGCGTGCCTGCGGTTGCTTACAGGTCATCTTCGCATCTGCCAAGTCCTTGATGATAATAACTGCAATACTCAGTAGTGAGCAAAAGAGGTGCTAGTTAAATGTGCTGATCATGTCTAACCTTTCATTTCTGGCGCGCTTGGATTACCGGCAAAGAGCAGTCCGCGACTGCTAGATATAGCCAACAATTGGACATTGCTGCGGGGCTCGCCGCATTCTTTGAAAGCCACGAATTTGTCATGCAATTTGAACTGAACGTCCTGCAGTCATAACAAACATTATAAACAATCGCTATTTCATAAAATATCTCACCTACCTGTGTGTCTTTACAGGCGGGTGCATTTAGCGCCATTTCGTTATTGTTTAATTTATTGATTGGTGTGTCAAATCCGATGGAATTTTGTGCTCGCCCACTTCCAGTTGGAACGCTTGATACTAAATCTAAATATTTCACAGGACACCGTTTAAATATCTTGCTAATACAATTTGTTAAGTAAATAATGCATATGCGACCTACGCCACAAAATCAACAGCAGCGATGTAGTGTTGTAAAGCGACAGTGTTGGAAAGTGGCACAGTTCTCAAACAGGTTGGCAAGGTTGCAACCGCAGGCAAGTGAAAAAAATGTTTCTCCTCGCTCCCCATTCTTCGGTCAAGAAATGCATAAAAACAATTTAAATGGTAAATAAGATATTTAAAAATAAAACGCGAATGCGTCCTTTTCAAAATGTGAAGTGAAAAAATCGTCTCAAAAAATAAGTTTCGGTATACAAACAACAATTGATTGGTGTCCAGTGAGTGCGGCTGTCGCCATTAAGAATTAAATCAAGCGCTGTCAAAGTGAGGGGCGCTGCTGCATACAAGAAAAAAAGAGGAGTGGTAGCCAAGCCAAAAAGGCAATAAACTTTTGGAAAAGTAAGTAAAATACCGATTGCCAATGCCAATTGGTCCGTGCATATGTATCTTTTTTTTAGCGATGATAATGTTCAAATGAAACTCACTATTTGTAGTTTGTAAATGCAAGAATAATCAAGATACAAACCCTGCCTTATGTGCTGCCATATTTCAGTTTTATATTTTACCGCCTTTTTATGCCAAGCCACAAAAAGCAGTCAATAAGAACAACACACACAAATGCATACTTTATATATGTATGTATGTATTGTATCTGACTCTCTCTCTCTTTCTCCTCTCCCGAACCGCTTTCGGCAGCCCGAACACGTCTCCACGAAGAACATTTTACATCAACGCTAGCGCGCTGCCTCCGCGTCTCATTCAATTTTCAGTTTGCTTTGCTCTGTACACCCGTACTCGTCGCCTCTCACCTCCGCGGCGTTTTGATTTTTCTACTACAGTGTTGCTGCGACTCTACCACATACAAAAAAGAAAAAAAGAATTGCTGCGCGCTGCTAAAGTTTTTTCCACAGACATACACACACACAAACGCGCGCACACCACTCCAAGTAATTTATCATATATATGTATGTATGTATACACGGTATAATGGCGTCATAAGAACGAATGCGAACATAATATTTTAGCGAATGTTTATGCAAAAAGTGCACACACTTATTGTTTTGTTTGTGGTTTAAGGTGGGGGATCACACTAGTATCTGCTCCATTCCTTCAGGAAAGTAGTTAACATTCTTATTAGAAAACAAATGTGTATATATTTGTGAAATTCTAATGCAGAAAATGTACAATACAATCATGAAATGACTTTGCTTGTATACCACTGCGGTCGACGTTTGTTTGTGTAAGTGAATGCATGTGATTGTGTTCGTTCGTGTGATATATGTACATATGTATCTGATACGTGAGCTGCTGCTACGACTATGGATATATATGTGTGTGTGCGTAATAAATATATGTACATACATATAAAGAGTTCCCATTAACGTCATCATCGTGTCATTCTTGTTTGCAAGGCGGCGCACAGGGTTGCATTTTAGAAAAAAGAATTTTTTCCTATTAACAATTACATTGCAATTGCAACAAATTTGAAACTATGTATATATTTACATATTATTTAGGCTATCGCCTACGCTATCCTTAAATGACACATAAATTGTTAAAATTAAAGAATGCATTTCATGTAGATTGCACTTTATGCTTCCATATGTTAATATTGTCCAATGCGATAACTAATGCCAATTGGACTTTGTAAGAGTGTGAACCCTTTTTCCATCTCCTTTAATTCCATCTTTCATCCGGCTAACCAGTCAGCCGTGCATCTTTGAGTTTGGATTTTTCGTATTTTATTAAACAATTATGAAATGCACACTAATTGGCTGTAATGAAAATACATACATATGTACACATGTACGGCTGTGTGTGTTGTCTTCGTTGAGTGAACGCCAACTCGGCTGGGAGCTCGTGAAAACAAAAAGAAAAAAAAAGAACTGAAAAATAGTCGAGCGAGCGCACAGCGAGCGGCGACAACTCAAACAAAATTAAAAATAAAAAGCCAACAATATTCAGCCAGGCAGGCAGCAGCGGCAATAATTATAACTATAACTCGACTTCAGTTTAGTACGCGGCTACACGGCTGGCATAGAATTTGAGCAAAACTTGAATATGCGCCGCCTGTACTCGCTGCTGCTGCCTTAGCTTTCATTTTTCTTGTTTGCCTGCCTCTGCCTTTTTCGCTTTATTTTGTACTTACGCTTTGCGATTCAATTCGTTTTATTGGTTTTGGTTTTCCGCTTTAAGCGGCCCGTCGTGCAAATCGTCTGAATGGTGTATTTGAGAGGGGAGAGGCAGGGACATGGCGTACGCGTTGCCGTTCAATGAATAATGAGCAGCAAGCGACAGTAAGCGACACACCGGGAGAGGAAGAGAGAGAGAGAGTCGAGAGTGTGTCCAATAAGAGTCAGCGCGCAGGGAGAGACGTAGCAAATAAAACAAATAAACCAAAAGCCAAAAGCGTAAAAGTGCACAAAGCAAAAGAGGAAGAGGCAGGCAGAACAGTAGAGAAGATACATCTACAATTTTTGTATGTCTGCTTCTTGGCTAAAATGAATTCTAAAAGGGGAGCAGACGGCTACTGAATGCATAGACACACATACTCACAAACATAATGTTGCATATATGTATATACATATCTAAAGCAACATCTATGCATACATACATATGTGTGTATGTACATACATACATATGTATATTAAATTGGATGCACTAAATTAAATTGGAAATGAAATTATAAAAACGTCTATATTTTTAATTCTGACAACGAAAGATTGATTTAAGCACAAATCTGGCAATAGGTTCAATCAATTACTGACATCTACTACAGCTGAACATTACTATTAAATTCCTTGTCATTATATTAAAATTATATATTAACTTTTTATAATTATTTCTACAACTGACCGGCAACCCGTATATGTATGTATGTATATACATATATACATACGTTAAAATAAAAAGTGTCGCTACTATGTACCATTAAAAAACATACGAATACAATGACAGTACCGAACTGACCTACTATTAAAATAAAAATAATTTCATAAAAGTAATAAATAATTAATATCCATATGTTTGTATATACTTACTTACTTACATACTCCTTCTGAACATGGCTATATAAACTTATCGTCATTCTGATCAAGAATACACATACATAGTACATATGTATATACTTTGTGGGGTCTGTGCTACTCCTCCACCAAAGGGTGGCATTCCTATGCATTAAACCAGTATAACCTTTCCGATACAGGGTATAAAATCTTGAGACATTGCAACATTTCCTTATCCTAGCATCTGTTTATTCTGTTAATTGCAGCGCTCCCAGCAGCGAAGTTTACGTTGCGCGATTTGATTCGAGGCTTTTACATATATGTATGTATGTATGGTATATGTGTGTATGAGAGGGATTTGCATATTGACTGCAAATAACTTGCGCTTGATTTGTTTTTGTTGGCCAAGCGCGCTTACGATGAAAAAGAGGGGGGAATATACAAAACTGTACCCGTGGCCGTTTGATTTTCCGCGTGAACACGAAACAAACTGTTGCTTATGCCTTGCATGACATAGTTGGTACTGTTATTATTATTGTTGTTCTCTGTTCCTTTTTCCAGGTGTAAATAAAAATCTAGTTGGAATTATTAAGCGGCATTAAAACAAGTATTTTGGGCCCTCCTGGCGAGCTGTGCCATTGAAAATCATCGAAAAATTTAATCTATGTACATATTAACATAAGTAAATGAGGTGAGTTATATTATTGTTATATTAATAATAAAAAGTGTATTTTGCCTGCGTTTCGTTTTTAACTTTATCAATGTTGCATTGCCATTTTTTGTCAATTGCGTTTTGTGTGCACCGCCCATTTTCCCGGGCCTCTTGATAAAGACGCTTCCAAAACTCGCACTCCTTACCCACCAACTTAACTTTATCTACTTCCTACCTCACCATGTAAAAATGTTGCCCCATTGTGGCATTCTCCTTTCTCATTGCCTTTGCTTTTACTCTCGTCTGCCGCCACTCCTAAATTTTACTTTTTCTCTTCCTCCGGACTACTTATGTGTGTCTGTTAGCCCTAAAAACAATCGAACGGCAAGCGGGGGCTGAAGAGTCAAAGGGTTGATGTTGTAACTAACAAAAGCTAACAGCACACTTAGAATTTACAGGACCCGAAACCCACTCCCCGCTCATGCGCTCTGGCACTTCTTTAACACCAACAAGCACACAACGCACTCAGTTACTTCTTCACACACTTACACACACACACATAAAGCGTTGTCTTTAATCGATTTGTGCTTCTTAAAATTTACATCAGTCCATTCAAGCCCAAACCTCCCCGCGCTCTCTCTTTTTTGTCACTGTGCCGCTCTTTTACTCTCTGCCTCTTTTTTGAGCTATGCTCTCATTACATTGTCAGCTACTCTTCTAATATTTCTTTCTAATGTTTCCACACTCTGATTGGATATCTAAATCCTGAATCCTGCTGCTCCACATCATCACACACCACGACAAGGCGAGGCTCCACACCCAGCTACACTCCCTTTTCTTGTCCTCTGCCGCTTCTCTTCGTCTTCACATTTGTTATGGTATGCTTTTGGTCCTGACCAAAGGACATGTTACACACATATACATATACACACATGAAGTCATTTCATTGTTTTTCCATACAACACAAAAGCAATACATGTAAGCATCCAACATTCATTGTTCATCGAGCTTATTTAGTTGGAGCCTTTGGTCCTTGAGTGTGTAAGACTGTGCGTGCGCGTTGATGTGTACACGTACATATATATATAATATATATATATGTGTGTGCGTTTTTCTATTGCTTTCTAATGGGCAATTTATATCACTTTTATTACTTAATGGCTTTATGCCACTAATTCAGAAGAATAATACAATAGAGGGCATAAGTATTCCAACATCATAACTTCCATATTAAAACCAAAAGAAGGTGGGTCTATGGGTCTAGAGACACTATAGCTGGCAGACTTCATTTGTTTAAATGCCAATTTGCAAATTAATTACTTTTAGATTTAAATTTATTTGTGGAGCTAACAAGAATTTTTTCAGTAGCTTACTTTTCCTGTGTCTTCAGATATCATAAGCTATATTTCCACTGAAAAGGGAATTTAGTAGTCTAGTAGTTTTTTTAAGATATTCGAATCGTATTAAGTAGTTTCCATGGTAGGTTTAACATTCATCTGTAAACTACTAAGACTATGAAGTTTCTCTTTGTATTCACTCAAACGAAATTAAATTTGTAAGGATAGTGGTACGGTTCGATGTATGGAAGGAGGTGTGCATATGAGTGGGTGCAGGTGAATAGTTTGTTGTCCTTTAGTATCAACAAAATCAATAACTCCTGAAAACAAACAAAACCCTGTTGTTGTAGAGCATCCCTATGTAAATTAGTCGCAGGATGCTTGGGAGCAAAAATCTCTTTGGTTGTGGTTTTGATTTGGCATCTTGTGTTTGTGTGTGTGTGTGTGTGTGTAATGCATTTTAGCTGCTGCTGTTGCTCGACTGTGCTGTTGACTGTACCTTACAATGAGTTATATTTATGTATCCTACATTTTACCATTTGGGAAAACCAAAAACCGTAAAGACACCACTTCATCAAGTCTTAACTTAACCACGTATTGGATATTCATGCATAAAATCGCTTATACGTGTCTTTGTTGCTAAAAGTTATTGGATATGTTGCCCAATTTTGTTAATTTTTACTAAACTACTACTTTCAACAACAAATATCCCAATGCGCAACATGTTGCAGCAACATTCACAATAGACACACATGTCGTCGTCATCGAGAAACACAGTCGCCGTCATAGCTGCAGCCCAGGAACAAAACCAGCAACAGCAACATCGACAACAGCAGCAACAGCAACCACAGCTAAACAACGACAAAGTTACAGCACTTGCGACACAGCAAAATGTATGTAAAATGGAGGGATTCAAACCGTATTGATTTCGATTTGTACACATAACTTTAAATAATTGTGCTTTCGATTGGTAAACAATTGTATTTTGGCTTACAAAATGTCGGAACCGATTTGTCGTTGAAATTTTTGAGTAGCATCCGTACAAAAAATAAATCCTTCGTTTTTAAACTGTTATTCTCTGGTTACGATTTGAATTCCTGGTAAAAAAAAGAAGCTTGTTAAGAAAAAAGAACAAAATTCGCGCTCCTTAAATTAATAATAACAAAATAAAAATAATCTCATAACCTAACTATCCTCTCATTCTGCTTGCAGTTGAATCCTAAGTATTGGCTGTTACCGGATTTAGCAGCTGCAGCAGCAACAGGCAGTACATTAACCCATGTGAACGGTCTAGGACAGCAGCAATCACAACATATACATGGTAAGTAAATAGTCTAATAATGCTCCTGTTTCCGATATTAAAAAAATGTAGTTCTGAGAAATTTCACTAATAGCGTTTACATAATTAATTGGAAAGTATTACGCTCCTACCGTTAAATATAAAATGTTTCTACAGGCAAACTATCTCAATTATTCGATATATACTCGATTAATATTAAAAATCATATTCATATTATAAAAATCGTGGAAAAACAATTGTTTCTATATGTTTAATTTCGAAACCAAACTATCAATCAGCTTTGATATGTATTCGATAAACTATTATAGTTCAGATTAATGTTTTTAAACAAAATATTCAATTCAATAAGCATTCGATAACTATCAAGTGTCATCGAAAAGTATTCATTTGATAATGGAATGGTCTGAGTATTTGTCCCGTATACAAGCCAACTCTTTAAAGTTTAAACACGCAAACCATCATCATAGTGCTATCGTTATCGTTTTGGTGTCTGCCCCCAAAAATGTTTCAAGCGAACTTTATAAGCTTTAATTCGATCAAGGAAATCGGAAATGGGAACAGGGGGGATTATGCACAGTTTTCGCCAAGTTACTTACTAATCAACACTATCCACACTTTGCAGGAACAATCAGAAGTGACGACAGCGCCCGAGAGCAGCAGCAGCAACAGCAATATGTAGGAGCGTTGCAGCCACAGCAGCAGCAGCAGAACGCCATAGAAATCAAGGAGGAGCGGCAACAAGCTGCCTCAAATACACATACTACTACTGCAAGGAACAAGGAACCAACAGGACTTGAGCAACAACAGCAGCAACAACAACAACATCAACAGCAGCATCTTATTATGCAGCACGTGAGCGCCGCAAGCTCAGTGCCTTCGGTGGTTGCACCGGTGGTAACGACTGGCGGCGGCACAACGATAACACTTGGCGGAGCACCACCATTGCCAACTACCAAGTCAGAGATCAAAGAGGACGGCAAACCGCCACACAGCATTGAAATGTATAAAGTCAATATTGAGGACATTTCACAATTGTTTACGTATCACGAGGTGTTTGGAAAAATTCACGGTGATGTTGTGAATCATCAATTGGCGGCGGCGCACAGTGGTCAATTGCCACCGCCGCCCCCCTTGCCACCACAAACGCATGTCACGTCAGCTGCTGCAGCGGCAGCATCCACCAATAATGCAGCGGTAGCTGCTGTGATGGCCTCAGCAAATGCGGCAGCAGCTGCTGCAGCGGCAGCATCAGCCGCCTCGGCGCCGGTGACGACAACAACGTCTAGCGGTGGTGCCGGCGGACAACAGACCACGTCCACAGTGACCACTACAGGGGGCGGTAGCGGCGGCGGCGGCAGCACGAGCACGGGTGAGTTGCTTATGCCTAAAATGGAGGGCGGCATACATGGTGTCGATGGGCAGTCGACTGTGACGCTAGCACCGGATGGCACGCCCATAGCAACGGGTACCCATGTCTGCGATATATGCGGCAAGATGTTCCAGTTTCGTTATCAGCTGATCGTGCATCGTCGCTATCATAACGAACGGAAACCGTTCATGTGTCAGGTGTGCGGTCAGGGGTTCACCACATCCCAGGATTTGACGCGTCATGGCAAGATACACATTGGCGGTCCCATGTTCACCTGCATCGTGTGCTTCAATGTGTTTGCGAATAACACAAGTCTGGAGCGGCACATGAAGCGACATTCGACGGACAAGCCGTTCGCCTGCTCCATTTGTCAGAAGACATTCGCACGCAAAGAGCATTTGGATAATCATTATCGTTCGCACACCGGTGAAACACCGTTTCGTTGCCAATACTGTGCTAAGACGTTTACGCGCAAGGAGCATATGGTTAACCATGTGCGCAAACACACGGGTGAGACGCCACATCGTTGCGATATTTGTAAGAAGTCCTTCACGCGCAAGGAACACTATGTTAACCACTACATGTGGCACACTGGTGAGTGTGATTGGTGGGGGCGGACAATGCGAGCGCGAGCGCGAGACAACAAGAATCGAATCAGTCAATCAATCAGTACCTTTATAAAGAGTACAAAAACCACAACAACAACTAGTAGAGTCACCACATCACAACAACAACCACTGCAATTCATCGTTGCCTGCTTTTTCTCTTCTCATATACATTTATGCATATGCTTGTTTTTCCACAAATCGAAACAAACAAACCACACCTTAAAACTACCGCTCCAAGCTCTCTAGCTTTCCTTTTCAAAAATCCTCTTGTATTGTACTCTTCTACACGCTTCTAATCACACGCTCACTCGCTCATTATTCCCGCATACCAATCAAAAAATACCCACCATCACCTCAACCACCAAAATATCACCACACAAACATCCAAATACCAGTCGTTCATGTGACCTCCTCCAAGCGCATCCACTCCAACTAGCCATTGTTGTTGCACACACACACAAACACACCCAAACACTTACACACACATACATATGTATATGAATTATTCAGTTAGACTTCGCTTCAATTCTAATCGTCCAATATTTCTTCATACGAGTATATGATATGTTGAATGTCTACGCTCTGGTGTGTACAGAGTGCTCGAAAACTGTGCATAACGTTCGTTGTTGCTGCTTGTCGATTGCCATCGTTTGTGCCTGTGCCTACAGCGGGAACTGCGACACATTCGACTCCATACACGCACAGGAACAAAAACAAAATTAACTTTTAAAAGAGAATGGGAGATAAAAAGGGAGAGACACGCCCAGATCCTGTTTATATGTGGAACGAAAAACAAGAAAGATATATCAAAAATGTATAAATTATTATAATCTATCTCGTAAAAGTTCAATGCTCGTTCGATATATAATCGACTAAAGTTCGATTAACATTCGATAATTATTTAATTCGTTTTCAATACACTTCAGTTCAATGATCTAACAAAAATTTATAAATTATTATTAGATTACATCTCTTCAAAGTTTAATGAGCATTCGATATATAATCGACTAAAAGTCGATTTATATTCGATAATTATTTAATTCGTTTTTAATACAATTCAATTTTTATATATATATAAATCAGAATTTAAAGGAAGATATTAATAAGACAATAACGTGGATAAGTCGCCACAGAACATTCGTTATGTTCTCAATTAATATTTAATAATCGATTAATTTTTGAATATTCAATAGTTTTTCAAAATTGCCTATCTTTTTGGGACATATTATCGATCAATACTAAATGTAATCCATAAATTTTAAAAATGTTATCGATTTGAAGTGAAATATTCGTTCCACATCTAAGACAGCCGGCAAACAGCCACACAAATCACAAACACATTTAGCCATAGCCTATTTCTCATTAATCGTCTTGGCGTCTGCCCCCCAAAAATGCTTTCTTCATTCGAACTTTAGGAACTTTACGTTCCCCAAATTAGATATGTATATAGTATAGGTCAGTTAATCATTTACAGAGCAGCACACATAGAAACATTTCATACGCTTCTTCACACACGCCCATGTGCCCATGCCAATGCCCAACACCCACTAAAGCGTCCTCCAAACGAACTCTTCATTTACGCTCGGTGGGTTTTGGGGCACAAAATTCAGCACGCCACATGCAATCTTGTCGACGTTCCCCCAGAAGATAACAAAAAGAATTAAATAAACATCTGAAACTGAATCGAGTGAAATGCTTCCTCTAACCAAACACCCTACTCTCTTCTCCATTCTCTTCTGTACCCAAAACCAGGTCAAACACCGCATCAGTGCGATGTCTGCGGCAAGAAATACACGCGCAAGGAGCATCTAGCCAATCATATGCGCTCCCACACCAACGAGACGCCGTTCCGTTGCGAAATCTGCGGCAAGAGCTTTAGCCGCAAGGAGCACTTCACCAATCACATCCTCTGGCATACAGGTAAAGACACACACAAAATCCAGATGAAATCTGCAAATAATCAGAAACAATAGAACAAAAGGAACCAAATCTCAGGCAACAAGTCCCGATAATTTTAAATTACACGCACACACACACCTACGCGATGGTGCACGAGCAGTGATAACGAACGTGGACGTAGCCGCAGACTTATTCAATTATAAAAATAATATTTTAAAAGTATTTGCAATAGTTGCTTAACTTAATACTTTGCTGACAAAAGTGTAAAAATAATCCAACAGAATCAGAACAGTCATTATATTGATTGTCTCAGAGATAAATAAAAACCATAGCTCTAGATTATCAGTTAATATCAGGGGTTAAAATTATTACTTTGTAATGAATTTATGGAGAAGATATCTAAGGAGCCAATTTTTGTATATTTATGAGAAGAGGGAACTCGGTAGTACATTGACGGACGAAGAACAGCAATCAAAAGGAAAATGTTAATTCAATTTATAGCCCAAATATTTATTTGCCTAAAATATAAATTGCATTGCAATTGAAAGTCTCGGTGTAGAGTTGTTAAGAATTAAAGGCCAATATAGTATGGTATTTGAAAACGTATACACCTATTATTGATTATTAACAATACATAATTACTCTTTAATCCCACCAGATTATCACAATCATTAACTAATCTCGATACCGTTTATGTGCTCTTCTTTTTCTATACCCACAAATACAAACCTCCCGGCCAATTAATGTTGAAACTCTCACATCATAAACACATGTTGCACGAACAATTGAAACAATAAAATCGAAATGTATCGGCTAATCCGCAAATCCGCGCGATCAAACGCAAGCAGGCGAGACTCCGCACCGCTGTGACTTTTGCTCCAAGACGTTCACGCGCAAGGAGCATCTGCTTAATCATGTGCGCCAGCATACCGGAGAGTCGCCGCACCGCTGCTCGTACTGCATGAAGACGTTCACACGCAAGGAGCATCTGGTGAACCACATACGCCAGCACACGGGTGAGACACCGTTCAAGTGCACCTACTGCACGAAAGCGTTCACACGCAAAGATCACATGGTTAATCATGTACGGCAACATACAGGCGAATCGCCGCACAAGTGCTCCTACTGCACAAAGACGTTCACGCGCAAGGAGCATCTAACGAATCATGTGCGCCAGCATACGGGCGACTCACCGCATCGGTGCACCTACTGCAAGAAGACCTTTACGCGGAAGGAGCACTTGACGAACCACGTGCGCCTCCATACGGGAGACTCGCCGCACAAATGCGAATACTGTCAGAAGACATTCACGCGCAAGGAACATCTGAATAATCATATGCGCCAGCACTCGAGCGACAATCCGCACTGCTGCAATGTGTGCAACAAGCCCTTTACACGGAAGGAGCATCTTATCAATCATATGTCCCGTTGCCACACCGGAGATCGTCCCTTCACATGCGAGACTTGCGGCAAATCGTTTCCACTTAAGGGTAATCTGTTGTTCCATCAGCGCAGTCATACGAAGGGACAGGAGTGCGAGCGTCCGTTTGCCTGTGAGAAGTGCCCGAAGAACTTCATCTGCAAAGGTGAGTATTTAGAGCTGCAGACGCGAGACGCCACGTCAGCATAGCTTCCGAGCTAGTTCCCAGCCAGCGCTTTGGCGCGCCGTCTCCCGAACGCAATTCTAAAGCCCCATTAAAACCAAAAATAAAGAACAGTAATAAAAAAAGTATGAATAAATAAAAAGAACATTTTACCCCAAAATAATATAATAATAATGATAATAATAAGAATTAAGCCTGTTGCAAGCTTATCAAAATTCGAACCCTTTCCGATCTTCATGTCGCTTCATTGTCCGTTTCGCAGGTCACTTGGTCTCGCACATGCGGTCCCATTCGGGCGAGAAACCGCACGCCTGCACTCTGTGCAGCAAAGCTTTCGTCGAGCGTGGCAATTTGAAGCGCCACATGAAGATGAACCACCCGGATGCTATGATGCCGCCACCACCCGTGCATCCGCATCCGCAAATACCGGCTGGTGTGCTGACGCAAGTCAAGCAAGAAGTGAAACCGATCATAAGTGAGTCGGAATTGAAAACAGAACAGCTGCACCCGCAGCATCAACGCTTGAACACCACTTACCACTCATCCCCATTTCAGTTCCCCACCAATCGACGACCACAATGCACACCATTCAACAGATAACTGCAGGAGCTGCCGCCGGTGCCAATGCCGTTCAGTTAACGCCTGGGCTAGTACCGCTCGTCACATCGACCCTCATCTCGCACAATGCCCAGCAGCAATCGCAGAAACAGCAGCAGCAACAACAACAACAGCAGCAGCAGCAACAACAACAGCAACAAGCGGCTGCCCAACAGCAGGCAGCTCAGCAGCAAGCGGCCGCCGCACATCAGCAGCAAGTGGCAGTACAGCAGCAACAGCAAGCGGCGGCAGCTGCAGCTGCGGCGCATCAACAACAACAGCAACAGTTGCAGCAACAACAGCAATTGTTGCAGCTGTCCATCCAGCAGGCAGCGCATCACCATCAACAGCAGCAACAGGAGCAGCATCGTCAGCATCAGCAGCAACATCATCAGGCGCAGCAACAGCACCAAGGTCACCCGCAAGCGCCGCCACCGCCACAGCAGCAACAGCAGCCGCCACCACAAGTGCCAATTGCACTGATCAGTGATCCAAGCGCGCTGGCACGCGCTGCCATGCAATTGCAGCATTTGCCGGCCAATGTGGAACAGCATCCAGTGGTTTACTAACAGTAGCCTCTCCTGCACGGCTATACGCCCGCGACGACAACGAGCACGACGACAGCGACGGTGGCGACGGCCGTGGCGGCAGCAGCTCAATGGTGAGCCTCAGCAGCAGCCCTTCAGTCCAGCAAACGAGGGAATAAATATGGAAGAGCCCCCACAGAAGATACAGACATAACCTACGCCTATAACATACATACATACACACATGCATCCACACATAAGCAGCTAGTTATAGTTTATCAGCGCCCTCTAAGGATACACAATTCTCCTCCTTTCTACACCAGCTTGAGTCGTGCAATACAGCCGCAAACATCTCATAGTTTCGTGCTTTTCAAGCACTCCTTTTTTGGGAACACGCACAGCTCATTTTTAAAATGGGCTGCGCTCAACGTTTCTCCTTTTGCTTCCACAGATCTTTGTACATTTTTGAAATGTAACCGCTAGCGGTGGCGCACAGAGTCGCATAAACTGGTAGCTGTGCTACCAATAATAATAACTCGTAGACGCCTGTAGACTTTTTAAAAGTAGCCCAGTAGTTGGAATGAAATTGTGTAGCCAAGCGTTGAAATGGTATTTTAACTATACATATTTTGTTATTTAAGTCACACATGCTTGAAGGATATGTGTAATATTAAATATATATATATATATACACACACCCATACAATAATTATATCTGTCCCCATTACCGATCCCACATCCGAACTCGATCGAACTCGAACGGAGTGCAAAAATTGATTATATATTTAAACTGAAAGTGTGCATCTCTCAAACGAATGAAAATTAAACTCTGCTGCAAATCGGAACAGACCTGTATATTATAGTATTTTACAACAAACTTGCACGTTTATGTTATTTATATATGAAGCAGCAGCAGGATAATTAATTGTATTATTTTTGCATTTTTTTTATTGAAAAACTAAACTCACACACACACATAAACACACAAGTAAAACGTACATATGTAACAAAATCAGTTAATAAACTATGCTTACCTACATATAAACTATTAAAAAGAAAACATACATATATATACACATACATATATACCACGGCCAATGCCGGCCATTAAAGTCTTATACCGTTTATACGAGCGCAAGCCCAGTTGGTAATTAACCTAAAGCCTACTATCCCCCTCTAAGCCCTCCTTCCCATTACACTTAAGTTGAATGCGTACGAAGAGAAGAAATGAGCAGAACTGTTGCTGGAAACCTTAAATATTTTGCTTAATGCGAGAAATCAAGTTGTACGACGTATTAAGAAAGCAGCGAGAAGTAACAACTTTAAGTTAAGGCAGAAACTAACAAGATAAATCATTATATATATACGATATATATATATATATATTTAATGCTAGATGAACTACTAAAATTAATAAAACAAAAAAATATATATAATAAAAATAACTAGTTCTTAGTTCTTTTGTGCAGAGGCGCAATTGCTAACATTATAATGATGAATGATTATGATTACGATTATTATACGACTACTAAAATTATTGCTACGTTAAACAACATCAACAACAAAATACCCCAATATTAAAGTTAACAACAACAACAACAAGTGTAGGCACAACTCTAAACAAAATTTATAACACACACTGTGCTTATGTTATAAACAAAAGGAGATGGCAAGTCAAAGCCTGCGAAGCGCCACAAGCAACAACATATCTGCTTTAACTTTTAAAATATATATATACATGTATACATACATACATAATAATTATAAACACACACATACACACACACACCTACACAAACATAAACATAAATCCTTTTAAACACACATAATGCTTCCTTTTAAATGAAACATTTTACCATTAATTTATAATTTAGCCAGCGAAAATGTGTTTTCTTTAATTAAAAAAAATAATACATTATAATAATAAAACGAAAGGCATTACAACAAAGTTTTGTTTGCTTATTTTGATTTGAGTTGTTCTTGTTTTTTTTTATTATTTATATTTAAATTGGCAGTGCGTAAAACATTTTCTAAATACATACTACTAAATAAAAATGCAGGGAACAATTGAAAATTGTAAAAAAAGAAGAGAAAAACATTAAAAATTTGCTGTGCGCATATAAAACAAAAAATGTTGAAGCGGCACGGACAGCATGCAAATAAAGTTATGTCAACTGATAAATAATAAACATAAATACATAAATGAAACACGGCATATTAGTTAAGTCTGTTACTGAAATTTTAAGCCGAACGCAAATAGAGACACACACAAACACACACTCAAGTATACACATACACACACATATTTATGTAGTTGTTTAGCCGTGTTAGTTTTTGGTGTTTTAATTGGTGATGTGTATAGAGAAGGCAGCATAAATTATATATATAGTATAGCATATAGAGTATATATATTGTACGATTATTAACATATACGAGTACATACTTATGTATGTACTTACATATGTATAGCGAGCGAAAGGCAATTTTTAAGTATGTACCAACAAAACATCAATTGTGTTGCAATATTTGAAAAATATTATTTGTAAGTTGCGTAGTGCATAAATAAATGAGTAAAGTACACGATCCACACAGACACCCACAACATAAACACATCCTCACACACACATTCATGCGATAAGAATATAAACAATAAGCTGCAGCGTAAAAATGTTTCCTAGAGCGCCCGTCGCCCAGACACAACAATAAAAATAAATTAATAAAAACGAAAACGAAAATGCAGCAAATGTTTAACAACCAATTAAAACAACAAAAACAACAGTAACAATACTAAATAGAAACAATAATGTACTATAAAGCAAATACAATATATGCGATATAAAATTATATATATAAATTAAATATATATATACACAAACACACAGCCTGTACGAGAAGAACATAATGAATAAAAATATGTATTGTAGTAAGAATTTGAACAGCCTGGCTCGCAACTAACAATTCAATTGTGCAAAACCTTCGATCACAATTATTAAGTGCAATGGACCGTGGAATGATTGCTCAACCAAATACAACATTTTTAATATAAATACATATGTACATACATCCATAAATAGGTATGAATGTATGTTGTATGTATATCTTGGGAGATAGCAAAGCGGAAATATTGGAAAGCAAAAGAAGTTGCGGCGAAATAATTATAAATAAGTGCATATGGTGTGGGTTGAAGATTTGCTGGTCAAGGCACATTGATATAGCCAAGTCAGTCTATCCAGCTGTATTTCTGTCTCTCTAGCTTTCAGAACATAATATAAGACTCAATTAGGGAAGCTAATCCATCTGGTTAGCGAGTATTATAATTATTTCTTTTCCTTTTTTGTTGATTTATTTATTAACTGTGGATCTTCCTACATCATTGCCTACAGTGGAAGACCATGGCCTGGATATGTGCCTTTAAGTTCAGCCGCTTGTTCAAATATTTGGTGTCATGTTCCATCAGCAGGACTTCAACGCTTAACCAAACCTCAGGCCCCTTACCACTGCGTAGAGTGTAGCATAAAACGTTTCTGCACTTTTCCGGATGAAACTTGCTGAAGCCAGATTGTTGGGCCAGTAACTTCTCTGCTTGTCATAAAAGGCAACCTATAGAATCTTGGGTACCCAGTCTAAGTCTGACTGGGCTGAAACGGGAGGACTCACAAAGCTCTTTATCCTGCTGAATACATTTTTCGCTTTCCACCAACGATATTGGGTTATATACCCTAATTTTAGTCCGATTACTGCTAAGTAATTCAGAGAGATTGGAACTTCATCTGTCTGTGGGTATGAACATAAAGATCTAGAAAGGTATAGAAGCTAAATAATCAGAAGAGTTATAATTAGAGTAATCTTCCATATAATGATTCGCATAAGCATGGAAGAAAAATTACATTTTAAACGAGTTCAGTTTATAGTTTTGATACAAGAGAGTGAGTCATCGGAGTGAAAAGATCGCCATATAGTAAAATCAAATGTAAATAAACACAAAGAAATAAAATTCCTTACAAAGCAGTTTAATTTTAATAACATTTGATACACAATCTCTGAACGCGCCCCCATTTTGTTTTTGTTGTCACGCCCAGGCGTTTGTAACGCCCAGAAAGATCGACTTTTTGATTAGCAGGACAAGACGAATAGATTAGCCATATTCGTAGTCTGTTCATACAGTGTTTCTGCAAGCTGGTACACCAGTTTTAAATGATAATCAAACTTACTAGGGAACGATAAACAAATAAATAATGTTCTTATCTAAATGATGTATGTAAGTATTTCAGAATGCTGTTACCGACCTAACAGATCAAAGTAAACAGGACACATTTTGTTCAATAGATTCGTCTTTAATCAACATTCCATTAAAAAACTTTTTCTGCAACGTTGCAATTGATGTAACAAGATTATGGCGATAAATGATTATCTCGTAACAGGTGCATGGCTTAAATGACAACAAAGATAATGGCCCAACAAAATGCTTGATAAGCGAAGGTGGAGGCCAAAAAGTGGTTGCATTTATCAAGAATTAACTAAAATGTTCGTTGCAATCAATGGAAAGGGAATTAAATATCTCCAAATGCAAAGGTAAGTTCCTGGTTTGTTACTCAAATTTATCCGAATAATTTAAAATTGATTTCAAACATTAACTCAACAACAAATGGGAACAGAATCTATTAATAATAAGATATTGCCAATATTAAGTTTTGTATTAAACTTGAAACATTTTTTACCGAATAGTTTTAATTTGTCTAGAAAATCACGCAGAAAGAAGTTGAAGATTGTTGCGATCGATCGACACTGGGAACCACATAAAGCACTCCACGTATTCGTCCGATTTGGTATCGTGCAACTTTTTTCATTTCGGAAAAATGCATTTGCCGATGAAGGGAAAATGCTGGTAGAGACATCCTGAAGGCTATCGATTTGACATGCTTTGTGAGCGCGGAAATCGGGGAATGGAATTCAAAGGGAACTATTTTTTTAAATTTTAAAATTAATTTTGCCAAAATTACGGTTTGTTCTTATTCTACTTTGGAACACAAATTGTGTGTCTAATAAAGTGATTGTACACGAGTATATCTGAAATAATCCCACTTACTTACTATATTACTATTACTATAATGCCAAGGTATCAGAATCTTTTAGATCAATACTCTAAATTTGTAAAATAAAACTGTTTTCGAAGAAAACTGAATATCTGCACAACAGACTTAATTGATAATTATGCTCTGGAGATTGTGATGTGATAATTCAAGAAAGGACCAGTTAGATAAAAAATAGTTTGTTTAATCTAAGGCGATAAGAATTAATTAGAAATACATACAAATGTTAGGCAGTATTCTGAAGGTATTCGTGGTATGTACGCTTATCAGGCTAAATAAACCCACTTTCTATACTATATTACTATTACTGTAATGCAACGGTATTTTTTAAAAAGGAAGCTCAGAATCTTTTTGATAAATTTTTCCAAGCAAACTGTGTTCGAAGAAAACTGAATATCTGTACTACAGATTCCAGAGCATAATTATCTGGATAAGCTTTGAATCTATGTAATGTGATAATTCAAGAAAGGACCAGTCAGATAAAAATATATTTTTTTTAATCTACGACGATAAGAATTAATTAGAAATACATACAAATGGTAGGCAGTATTCTGAAGGTATTCGTGGTATGTACGCTTATCAGGCTAAATAAACCCACTTTCTATACTATATTACTATTACTGTAACGCAACGGTATTTTTTAAAAAGGAAGCTCAGAATCTTTTTGATAAATTTTTCCAAGCAAACTGTGTTTGAAGAAAACTGAATATCTGTACTACAGATTCCAGAGCATAATTATCTGGATAAGCTTTGAATCTGTGTAATGTGATAATTCAAGAAAGGACCAGTCAGATAAAAATATATTTTTTTTAATCTACGACGATAAGAATTAATTAGAAATACATACAAATGGTAGGCAGTATTCTGATGGTATTCGTGGTATGTACGCTTATCAGGCTAAATAAACCCACTTTCTATACTATATTACTATTACTGTAATGCAACGGTATTTTTTAAAAAGTAAGCTCAGAATCTTTTTGATTAATTTTTCCAAGCAAACTGTGTTTGAAGAAAACTGAATATCTGTACTACAGATTCCAGAGCATAATTATCTGGATAAGCTTTGAATCTGTTTAATGTGATAATTCAAGAAAGGACCAGTCAGATAAAAATATTTTTTTTTTTAATCTACGACGATAAGAATTAATTAGAAATACATACAAATGGTAGGCAGTATTCTGTAGGTATTGTGGTACGCTTATCAGCGTACAAATGCTTTGAGAAATAACTGCGCAAATATTCTTGGATTTTTGCGCGTACGGGGTGTTGCTGGAAAGGCCACCATTGCGACCGCTGGAAGTTGGGAATGTACGTGTAGGTAGTATGTGCGCGACTGGAAAAGCACCCCTAATAAAAATTCCATAGGTAGCAGGGCCAGGTATGGGAACGAGATCGCTCAGCTCGACGGCAAACTGCCGACCACCTGGCAGTGCACAAAATGCGTTGCGCCTGCAAACAAGTCCTCACAACGTCTCTGAAATGCAACGCGACTTGCAAGCAAGCCCACAGATGACGTCAACAGGATATACAGGTAAGCATGACCTTCATCAGCTGTCCGGGGCGAGCAGGCGAGCTAAGAGTTCCATTAATTTTCAGTGCCTTCGCTTCTGCAACTAAACGATGATGTCCTGGCGCTTATACTGCGCCAATTGAATCTGTACGAACAATTCGAGCTGGCCCAGCTTCATAGTCGCCTGGAGAGCATACGCCAAACGCTGTGGAGGACACGAGTGCAGAATGTCCTGCTGTGGGGAGAAATGTTTGCCATTTCGCCGCCGAAACCGCGCCACTTTCTGGCCTTTATACAAGCGCTGGTGCCACACATGGAGCATCTGTGTCTGCAGAACATAGATGTGCGCAAGCTGCGCCTACTTAGTGGCCTAAAACTGCCAGCGGTACACACTCTGGAATGGTTGGGCCTACCCACATATCGAGGCCGACTTGTGGATGAGGATGTGCGGCTGCTGCAACGGGTCTTTCCCAGCCTTCGGACCCTGAAGTTGCGCTCCTGTCGCATTACTGGCAAATATCTAGGAGAGTTTCCGCTGCTCACCGAACTGAGTCTCGATGACTGCCATCATCTGGATTCGGAGCACTTTCGGGAAATATTTCGCCAACTGCGCCTGCGCAAATTCGACATTATGGAGGACTGTGATGAGGTGAATTGCTGTGATCTTGTCGATGTGCAGCAATGTCTCACACTGGAGCACATCAAGATAGCCGACTATCATCTGTGCATGGAGGAGGGCATTACGCAGGACCTTCTGCGCATGCCCGCCCTGCACAAGCTCTCGATCTACTCCAAAAATTTCGTCTTCGACGTGCTCGAGCGCATAGCGCGGCATGGCAATGGAAACGATGGCGGCAAAGTGATCGATGGATTTCGTTTCAGCGGCACACCACACAACTTCGAACGACTCTTCAGGGAGCTGGGAAACCTGCGCCACCTCCGTCGCCTGGCAGTCGACGGCTGTTGTAGTCTGGCTGGCAACGATGTCGAGTGCATTACTGATTATATGTTATTGGAGCTCTCGCAAAAGTTGCCCGAGCTATGCGAGCTGCGATTTAGCGGCTGCGAACTCGAAAGCTATCGCGGACTCCTCCATTTCGTGGTCAACTGTCGCCAGCTCCGCCTACTAGACATCACACGCTCCCGCCGCATTGGCGATAGCTTCGTGTGGCGCTGCCTGGAACTATTGGTCAAGCAGAAGTGGCGCACTCAACCATTAGAGTTGTGGATCCGCCAGAGTGATATAGACAATAATATTGTACAGAATCCCCGCTTTATACCCAATGATAAGTTGCTGAAAATCGATTCCAGGAGCCTGACGCACAACATGGAACAGTTGTCCGGCGTACTAAAGTTTACATTTGTCCGTTAAAGTTGACTTTCTTCCTTAAATTTGCAATCATTTTACAAAAATGTGTATGTTTTAAAACCCACTGAAATAAATCAAATCAAAAGCAAACCAAACAAATGCTACGAGTAGGTAGAGAGTATGATTGTTCAGGTAGAAAGTGCCTAACTGCTTGTATATTTCAATGTCGCTTTGAGAGTCACTGATACATGTTGACCTCCTGACATTTCTAGCGAAGGTGCAGCCGAGTGTTTGGTAGTTATATTGCCATCGAAAACCAGATTGCCAGAAATCGTGAATTACGCCATTTAAATTATGTATATGGGAGCAACTACCTATTTTTTTTTTTTTTTGGTCGAGCTAAACCACATTAACCCGAATTCGTAAGCGTTTTAATGTCAATAACATTGCATCTACGCTTTATAGCCTCAAAAACATTCGTTCTCCAAATTAAAAAGAGCTTTAAAAATATAAATAGGTAGTAGAATCATTTAAATATTGTAGGCTCTTTTATAGAGCAGACACTTTAAGGGAAAGGTCTTACAGATTTATTTTAATTTTTTCACTACTTACTTGATGCCTCTGTCTTAAAGGCGTGGTATTTCATTTCCGAATTATCCTGCAACTATGATACATAAATAGAGTATTGGTTTTTTTAAGCTTCTGTTCTCTTTCTTCTTTTTAAAGAAGCTTAGAATATGGCTTGAAAGGCCCAAGTATGTTGGGGATTAGGTTAGATTAGAGCGGTGGCGTACCCTTATGCTATTTTTGACTCTCCCAAGCAATTTTGCGGACTTAAATCATCGCCAGGCTTGCACGAATTTAGATGAGCGACCTATCTGATGAGGAAAGGAGAACGAGATAAATCAGTTGAGGTTGCGCCCAAAAGTAATCTCTTCTCCTCGTCACTGCAGCTTCTTCTCGTTACTCTTTCAAGCAGTGTTGCCCAATTTGTTTTTTTTTTCATGCAAATCTGGTTGTTTTTAAAAATATGCAAAATTGCTTTACATTTTAACTTTTTTCTGCTTTTTTCCAATATTTTTTTTATAAAAAGTGGAAACAATATTTTTAATCAATATTTGCCAATAACACCACTATTTTACACTAATGGATATTAATGTTTGGCTCACTTACAAAAACATGGGCGCATTCGACGACATCGAAAAAATTGCGCGAATATATATTTTTCTTAGCATTTTGTAAAAAGAAATTTAGCTTTTTTTAAACGCTTTTTGTAATAATTTTTAGCTTTATTTTCTCCTCTTACCGTCAAAAACAGCTTTTTTGCGTTCTAAAAAGTTGACGGCACTGCTCTCAAGTTCAAATCGTAGAACTGCTGCTCTAGGCTAGATCCTTCAGTGATTTTAAATAGGTCAGTGGGGAAGTAAGTTTAAAGGCAGTGTCTATTATTACCTTGGAGCGGACATTCCTCTGTAAAGTACTTTTTCACTGTTATAGCAATAACATTAATTCTTTTCTACCTAATATAGTGCAATACTTTAGACTTAATCTTCAGCTTTCGTTTTAACACATACGGGTACTTCTATATGCAGAGTATTTTGAAAGGTCTCTGCCTTTCCTTCTCTATAGACACTGGCGACTGTCCAACGGCCTGATTAGATTAGAGTATTGTAAACCGGAGCTGCCCTATGGGGTTATTATTTGATTCATGATTTGTGATGACATTTAATGACAATTCCCTAGCGCATCCCCACTGCCAATTAATGTCCATTAGCCGATCACTAACTGACTAAGGCGCTGGCTAATCTACAGATTCCCCCGGTATTGGCGCCTGCAACTACACGATTTTTATCTGCACAACCCTATCGCCTGGTGGTGCATTTATTGGGAGCAATTGATTGGCTTATCAATGCCCGACTCAACAAACATCGAAAATCGAAAATGTTTGTCTATATACACATATGTGTTCGGATTGCGGGCTGACCGGTAAGGTTATAGAGTAAGTGATAACGTACTTAAAACATCCATTTTGGGCGTACTTCAATTCTGGCCTGCTCCCATTTTCTGGGCATGTAATTTGAAGCCAGACAGGCAGACTCTGCACCACACGACCATTAAAGATAACCCTTGCCAAGATTATTTAGCTGTTGAACCGGCGCACATTAAAGTGGCATAGAGTGCTGAGCGTAAACTTAAAAATAAATGTGCCTTAATACACTCGAACAAAATTAGTGAACATTCAATTAAAATAAATGCTAATCACATCAAACGACATATTCAATGAGAAGACGTCGAGATTTATAAATTGTTGGGAAATATTTATCAAGACCAGAGAGTCGAAATATAAGATTTTTATAAAGGCATTACAACTTGAAATATTTTAAAATAAAAATTAAGAAAAGCATATAACATACAAATTGATTAATTTTTTTAGTAATATGCAGAACCCCTTATTCAACCCCATGAAGAATCTTACTGTAAATAAATATTAATACGCTACTAACATAAAAACTGCATATAAATATCTTCAATCTTGTAATTTAATTGATCAAATATAGGACTCATAGACATAAACGAATTTTTGTACATAGTATTACCATAGAGTCGTAGGCCTCAGTAGCTAGTACTCTTACCCCTTAAGTATATTATTATAATATAATTAACTTAAATAAAAAAAAATTTTTTTAAATATCGACTAAATGTTGATTTGTGATATCCTGATTGATTATTATTATCCTTGATGTGATGACTTAATAATTAGTATATAATTCTTTTTATAATGGAGTTATTTCCAGATGTAGATAATTTTCCTGATTGATTATTATATGCTATATGCGATGACTTAATAATTATAGACATCTACATAATTTTTTATATAATTTATAATGAATTTATTGCTAAATGTAGAGCCTTATCAAACCCATTGCTCTCATTTAATTTAACACTGGTTACAGAAATAAATAAGAAACCTTAAAAACTACAAAAACCAACCATTTCGGCAAAGTTTTGACCGCCCAAAAGAATACTTAGTACACCAAAACGAATGCTCAGAGAGTCTTCATTGTATTTACTTGTTTAGTATATTATTTAAATTAATTTAAGGGAAATAAATAAGCGAGGCTTATCTGTACTATAGCCACCGCGCTGAAAATCGTAAATAACTGCCAAAAGTATGCTATAATTTCGCCAAGTGTATCAATTAACTTTCTTAGGTGCAATAGCATTTCATTCTGTAAGCGACACACACACACAAATACACATGCATACATACATATAAATATTTTTTTTTAATATTTTGCTTTTATATTTGTTCATAAACTTTAGTAGAAGTATTGGAAAATGTTTTTTCCAGCGTCAGTCGTTATCAACTCGGCACTTGAAGTGGTTCTGATTTCGTTACGAGTCCGGTATTGACTGCGGAATACGATCGTTTACAATCGGGTTTTGAAAGACAGTGATCCTGCAATTCCACCACATTGAAGTGTTAATGATTTAAAAATAAAACGCATACTGATTAAACAAAGGGCAGTGCAAAATTCATTGCAATTTTCTGGGAAAATTATTCAATACTGTTATCAACTAACTACGATAACCCTCTGAACTACAATCGAATACCAGAAACCGTAAGGTGAATGTGAAAACATGTTTTAATTTCAAATTTCGAGCCAGCAACAATAAATCATTGCAAATTAGGTGTGAGTTTTGGCAACGTTAGAACGCGGTTTTGATCTTCTTTTCTTAGGAAATAACTTACTGTGAAAGTTTCAAAAACGAATATGCTCCTTCGTTTATTGAAAATTTAAGATTTGTAGAAAGAAGCAGCGACTTGGGACTCTCCAGCTCATTATCATTTCAATCTTTACTTTTCAAGCGAGCGAAAGTTTTGCATCGTGGCTTCCAATCTAGCGGGGCTGAACAGATAATACTGCTATATTATAAATGTATGGATTACGAAAATGTTGGTTACGAATTTTGTACAATATTTATGAAAAGATCTGTATCACGAAACATACGGGCTTAGAAGAGACAAATCACTTTGGTTTTTAAGAGACTGAGGCATAAATGTGTAGATCAGAAACATTTAACGTATTTTTAATTATATAAAGCAGTTTGCAGTAACATTTCAAATGTTTTATTAATCCAGTTTATGTCATTCTCTATATTTTACAATTAAGCTCGAATTGAATATCACAATTGCTGGTTAATACTTATGAATATTAAAATTCTGCAAGACCTATTAGCTTTTGCCGTTCATTTGTATACGCTTCATCAAAAAAATTAGAGTATTTTGTTTTTGGTGCTTACGTTGATTTACAACTTTTATAAGGAACCATAACAGGTTCTTTTTTACCAGCATTACAAGACGAATTGAAACTGGGAAACTCGCCTAATGGTCAGACAGTCTTAGAGCTATTTTAAATATAATACTTACTATGTTAAGAAGAAAGTAATTTATTCTAGTAAATAATTAGATTATCTGGTTAATAATCCAGTAAAACAAACAGTTTACTGCATGCACAGTCATGCAATTAGATAGTGTTTGTTGTAAGGCACAATATAGTGCATATAGCTTCGACTTAGACAAAGACAAGTTCTTGGCACGTTTTATAATATAATTAGTTTGTATAAATAGCTCAACATAGCCATCAATTAGAAGTGATATATATCGGAAAGTGTTCGCGAAGGTGATATGTGAGCTGTTTTAGGATTATAAAATGCAAATGTGTAATACGGGAATGAATATATAATGACGAATATTAAAAGTAATATGATTATTACTGCAATGTCTGCTCTGGCCAGATCAGTCAAGGGAAGCAAACCAGTTAAGCGTAGCGAATAAGACAAAACCTTTTGTTCAATGCCGTTGAATTCCAGACTTTGGCAACATTTCAGCTTATACCCTTAACAGTTGATGACATGATAGCGAAGCAGCGCATTATACTTACGAGTCTGGTGGGTTTATTTCTCGCCACCTTTGGCATAGTTTATGTGTTTAATTTGGAGCGCATACAGCGTTTCACGCTGAAATGGGTAAGGAGTGGGCTATTAAGCGAATGGCGACTTTTCAACCCATAGAACGCTTTGAATCTTACAGCTTATGGTGCTCCGGCCCGGTTCAATGATAACAAACCTCTGGGAGAATCCCAGTTTGGATATAACGGTTGATATTTATCTGTTCAATTGGACGAATGCGGCTGATTTTAAAAATAATAGCATTAAGCCGCATTTCGAGGAGCTGGGACCCTACACCTTCACAGAGAAGATGCAGAAGCAGAACATTGTGTGGCACGATGAGAACTCGACAGTTTCCTATTTTCGTAAAAGCAGTTTCTACTTTGACGAGGCGGCGAGTGTTGGGAACTTGACTGATCCTGTAGTGGCCCCCAACAGCCTGGCTGCTGGGGTTTACAATAAGATACAAAACTGGAGTCCTATGGTGCGTTCGGCCTTGGATCTTGGCCTGAAGATATATGGTAACGATATCACGATTGTACGTCCGGCTAACGATTGGCTGTTTAATGGATTCGACACACCTCTCATCAAAATGAGTAAATTACTGCCCAGCAGCATAATTCCGGAGCTGCAGTTCCCGTACGAACGCATGGGCTACGGCTATCCCGTAAGCATTAATCTCTCGTCCTATTTATTCACCTATTTTTATGTGTTTTCTCCATTCCAAACAGCGTAATGGCAGCACGGAGGTCTACGGCCATCATAATGTATATACGGGTCGCGATGAATTCAGCAAGCTGGGCCAAATAGCGCGCTGGCGTTACGATACTGTGGCCGGGGGTCATACAAAATGTGGGCATATTAAAGGTAGCACAGGCGAGTTCCATACCATACCTTTGAAGCAGGGTGAGTCAATTATTTCAAATAGTTCGTATAGTATATAGTTTTTGTAATCTGTCAAAAAAAATGCTCAGGTGAACCAATATCGTATTTTCTGCCCGATCTTTGTCGAGAACTGTATGTTGACTATGCCGGTACCACAGTATATGAGGGAATCCACGCCTATGTGTACAAGGGTACTGCCAGAAATTTAGCCAATGGTAAGTAAAAACAATATATATATTTAAAAAACTAATTAATAATTATCTTCCAATTGCAAGGCACTGATAATCCCGATAATAGTTGTTACTGTTCTGACGACTGCCAGGAAGTTCCCTCTGGTTTGTTGAACATCTCAGCCTGCTGGTACAATGCTCCGGTATTCTTCTCTTATCCCCACTACTACCAAGCCGATCCCTACTACGTTAATCAGGTGGACGGTTTGAAGCCGGACAAAGATCGGCACGAGATGACTCTTATATTAGAGCCAAAGACGGGCATGTTACTGGATATCCGAGCACGCGTTATGATCAGTCTGTTAGTGGAACCGTGGAAGCATTCAACGTAGGTGAACTATAGATGGCTCTTGTAGGATCACTTTATGCATTTCTGTATGTGTCTACATCTTCGCAGCATGTATCGCAAGTCTCGACGCACCTTCTTTCCACTCGTCTGGGCCGACTACAATCCCCACATTACACCAGAACTATTGGGCTACTTAAAACTGTTGTCGCTGTCCGAAGTTCTGGGCAAGGTCTGTGGACTTATCTGCGTAGCCATCGGGGTAATCATGTTGCTGTGGTATCCGCGCCAGATTTACTGGCAGAAGCAACTCATGCGCAGAATAGAGTTAAGTAATTTGGAGAATCGTGCGCAGACGGCAGCGCGATCAGATCAGTTTAAAGCCCATGCAGAGGCTTCACCGCTCCTCGTCGGTCTTCAATATATGGCCTCGTCCAAGGAGGGGAACAGTACTGCAAGCTGAGCTCAACCGATTTACATTAAGAAGTCCAGTGTCATTCCCATGTGATAGGTCGCAATAGACGCGACATTTTCCATGTTGTGTTTAGGGTTAGTTTAGAATATTAAGTGTTTGGGGGTTATCTCTTAAGACTTTGTTTTTGGTCCGTCGTAGTCCGTAATCTAATACATACACCATTTAACTTGATCTGAATCATGCCATAAATATGTACATACTCGTATATTCTTCAAATGAATTTTTATGGAAAACTGATAAGCTGATAAGTTGATTCGAGTGGGCACAGTACGCCAAGATAAGAGGCGCTCCCGGCCAGGGAATGGGCGAGAGAGCAACCAACCGAGCGTTAACGAAACCTTTCAAGTGCTCACAGATACCGGAAATATTTTGTATAAGTACACAGTGCAATACATATACATATAATGGCATTTTAGTTATTAAATCATGTAAGCAGCATACAAATTGAACGAGTTCTAAATGTAAGATCCAATATGAGAAAGTTAATCTAATGTTAAAAAGTTTGTAGCTTAAGAGATCTAGAAACGGAATTAATAAGTATATAAACAACACTTTAAAAATGTTAAATTCTCATTCTTAATGCATTTATTATCGTTTGCAAAGGCCTAAGAAGTGGGCCCTACAGAACAGCATGTAACTGTCATAGTCTTCTCATTGGCATATGAGTATGAATATATGATAGTTGACATGCATTTTTCTGAGTTTCTGTACTTTATTACGAATATGAAACGTGTATTTTACAAAAAACTAGTCTTTAAAAACTGCAAAAGGGTTCTGTTTAAAAATGAGTTTGAGATATTTTTTCTTTTTATATTTTTTATGGTTTCGGCTATGAAAAGCCGTCTAAAGTTTAGTTATATATGTATGTCTAAAGTTAAAGTCTAAAGTTTAGTTATATATGAATGGGTATTTATTCATTTCTGATAATAAACCACCCTATCTCTAAAATTTATTTACAGAACTTGTGTAAAATTAATAAAACTGCAATATTGAACAAAAATTACCCATGTACAAATATACATTTAATCGTATACATACATAATTTAGTTAATATACAAATTTCCATTACTTTACAAAGATTATTATTTTTTGGTCACTACGCAGAATAATCAACACCTTCGAAACAAACAAACAACAATGCAACTTATTTAGAATTGTTATTGGAGGAACATTTTAAAATGTGAAATATATTTACATATTTCATTATCATGGAGTATATTTATTCATCATTCTACTCTTAATGCAATAGAAGCTAAGGCCTTAAAATTATGAGTATCAATTTTAAATGGAATCAAAAAATGAAGCGGTTTGAAAAAATGCTTCCAGAAAAAACGGCTATCCTTATACCGAATAAAGCAGTTATCTGGTTGGTTTCTTAACTACAAATGGTGTGAGAGCATTTTGCGATGTTTGGTCACACTGCAAAATTTAAATTGTGCATCAGTAAACAACTGTTAAAAATAATTCTTGCAAAACAAAATCAGTTGTAGGAAAATCTCTTTATATTAAAAGTGTCCCTATTATTTTTCACTTGATTGTTTATATGTATGTATGTACGCATGAATGTAAATATGTACATAAATATATCATTCATATTAGGCTGTTGTGTAGGGTATAACAAAAACAGGTTCTTGGTTATGAGAGCCTAGCCACTAAAGAGCATCGCAGCTAAACGAACCGCAACGCTCTCTTTCAGTGTTTCTCGCCGCGTGATTGTTGTTTTTGGTTTTAATTGCTGCCGTTGCAGAAATGTTTTCAGAAATTTTGTTTTCAGTCGCAGAGAAAACGCGCCGTCGCGAAGTCACGCCGAGGCACGCCGCAGCAGTTCAAGATCAAGTTAACGGTGCGTAAGCATTTTTGTTAGTGGGCGCGAGCGAGACGATAAAGAGCAAGAATAGACGCTGATGTACAGCAGCATTGACAGAGTCGTTATTGTTGTTGCTGCAAGTCGCGCGCGTCGATTAAAATGAATATTTATACGAATTGAAATCAATTGAAAAGTGCGGTCAAAACAAAGTATGCGATTTAAAAATTGCAACAGAGGAGACAAAGCCAATACATACATTAAACAAAAAGTAAGAGGTGCTGCCAAAAATGATTATTATTAAAAACAAAACGCACAAAAAATTCCCTACGCGTTATGGAAGAGCGGGAGAGCACCAACAGACAGAGTGAATCGAGTTGCGCGTGCTTTGTGCGTTTTGTTGGTGTTATTAACATTATTTCAATGTGTATTTTGGAATTTTGTTGTTGTTTTTGAAGTTAAATTGCGTATGAGAGTGGGTTGGCCAATATTGATGACGAATAATTCTGACACAGCACAGTTCGCAACAGCAGTTCGAAAATTGCAGTAAAAATGCCCCTATCACCCGATCGTGTGGGTGATACATACACATACATACATATGTATTATATATTTATGCATGTGTGTACATATGTATGTATCTACGGAGATTTTGCTGTTTTGGTTGCACTCTCGCCGAGGTTTGGTCTATTTTCGTGCACCACAAAGCAAGCACGAAATGGTTATAAAAAGGCCAGCTAGAGAGACAAATGAAATCATGTCAACAGGTTGCGGAAGTTCTAATTCAAGGACTATTTTCAAAGTGCGCGTATACGTACATACATATGTACATATTTACATGCACATGTATGTATGTATGTAGGTATAACACTCATCAGCAGAGGTTTTTGGATTTTAGTGTTAATTTATGTAATTACTTTGTTTGCACAAATGAATCGGCATCACGCTAAAAATATGATAAAAGAACAGTCATAATTTGTTCAAACAAAGCGTAAAATTATCAGCATCATCGAGTGAAGAAGAGGTGTGCCTCGCTTAGTGATAAACAATTGCAGTTCGCACATCCAGTTCCCAACATCTGGCCCCACAACAGCCCCATCTGAAGCACTTGTACGAATATTGATTTGGAAACGGGTTTTCCAAGCAGCTACGTTTTAACCTCTAAAATGTACGATACGTGTGCATTAAAAAATTATTAATACATTACGCCTATGAGCAGATGTACAGCTACACACATGCATATGTTTGTATGTATGTACATATGTGTGTAATTGTGAGTGCTTCCAAATGAATATTGCTAGCAACAAGAGCTTTACAACACAGCAACAACAACAAGACGCGCCCACCTTCCCCAACATAGTGGTTAACAATTCATTTAAATATTCCGTAAACATACATATGTATGTACATATGTATGTACATACTTAAATGCACATACACACATACAAATTTATAATATTTGGGTGTCGCAGTTGACCGCAAATGAAAATGCTTTACATTTTTATGCATTAAAAAGTATAATTACGTCGCACTTTACTTTTTAGCGCCGCGTGATCGACAATATTCGCAAACTCTCTCCCTCACTCTGGCGGTCTCTCTCGCTCACGTTTTCCTCTATCACATTGTAAACGAACTAAAAGTTAATTTCGACTGCGCCGAAGCTATATACCCTTACTCTGAAAACGTTAGTCCTCCGTCTAAGAACGTTAATACCCTACTGGGCCTGATATATCAAATTTTTCTTGGAAATTAATTTTTTCCACTTACTCATTAGCTTTGCAACCCACGTCCGATAGAACACCATCATGTGAGATATAACCTCATAATATTTTTATAATGTAGTGATCTGACACGGTAAAAGAGCATCGGTGTATAGTTTGAATGCTCTTTAACTATAAGATGAGTAGTAATTGAAATAGTGATCTGTGATTGTTTTTTATGGGTGTTACAAACATCCACGCCAAAGGCAATATATACTAAAACATTTGATTGAAGGGTATAATAACTTTAGGACTGATAACAGCCACAGTAAATGCGATAAGCCTCAACTTTCATGCTCACCACACTCATGGATTTCTCACTGTCTCTCTTTGCAGGCCGAGTGTGGAACGTAAACCACACGTTTGGTTCAGTCCAACACAAACAGAGGCCAGGAGCACACGCTTCCTGCCCAACACACAGCATACACCACAAATATAAAAACACACATTGATCCAGAGATGACATCACGCCATTACATGTGGCGCTTAGCCATCCTAGCCTTGGGATTCTGCTCCATTGCAGCTGGCGTCTATTTATTTCGCAATTGGATCGACATATTTACACGCATGCGCGGCAAGGTGAGTGCAGCTATTCAGAATATGTAGATATGGGAATATCAAGTAGTATATTCGGACACATGAATATTAACATTATGGATACTCATCTACCATCGTTGCCCCCTGTCACACTCATTCCTCAGTCGACTTTGAGTTGAACTCAAGATCCGCTCAAGAACACAAAACCGAGCTGCCGTCAATTAGGCAAACGTGCAAAGGTCAACTAACTGAACAACGATGGGTCTCATTTGCATGCCATTATGTACGATACAATTTACAATTTGGACCCCGTTCACTTATTTAAAATCAATTGAGTCAATTTGCCCAAAACTACATATACATATAGTGTCAAGACAGCGGGCCGGGCATACAGACAAGCATATTGAAGGTGCAGGTGTTTGACGAAGATTAGATAATGGGGGAAGTGTAATGGGCCTTTTTGGCTGACTGACTAAACAATGGAGAAATCTTAAACGGGCTAAGTCAGCCGAATATTACACACACTACTTAAATTTCTTTAACTGATTCTCATTAAATTTAATAGGATTATTTATCCTGGCAGCTGTACTATATCGTATATCATGAAAGTAGCACTCGAAATCCTTGTGAGTAATCGTAATCAAAAATCAAATCATCTACATAAATATTTATTGGGCAAAGTATTTCAATTGACATGGAAAAAAGTTGGTTCCCTATAATTATTTTATGAATCTACCTAAAAGGTTATAAAAATAGTTTTTGGTATTTAAGACAGTTTAAATAATTTTAGTATCCAAAGTCGAAGACTCCTACATAAATTTGAAGCCACTAAATTATATTCTAATAGCCATAATGCTCATGACAGCAATATACCTATAATATTCGGGTTGAATATAGGTTGTTCTCATGTGATACTCTTAACAACGAGAAGAGCTTAGAAAACATTTTTAAGGAAAAGGCTATATGCTCTATATCATCATCTTTGAATTGGAAAGCAAAGGTTCACTTAGAACACCCTTATATTTATTTTTAGGGCATACGGAAAAAGTTCGCTATAATCAGATAACTGTCAAGCATTAATTCATGAATCATAAGCCATTTTTTTGATTGAAAGCTTCATTGCGAAAATTTAATGGATGGTGTTTATGTTGAGACGGAAATATTTGCCCGTTCCAAAAACAAAACACTTAAAAATGCCCCTGCATTACCATTGTAGGTAACATCCGTCGACCATTATATCTTATCTCTGTTGGCGCGGCCAATAATTTACCGATAGGTTAACTGTCGTTATGCGATTAAAAAGCCAGACCTTGTCCGAACTATTCAGCGCAAATTCATGCACCAACGGCCATTTAATACCCAAAGCTCCAAATTACATTCATATACTCGAATAGCATTGGTTACAAAACAAGTCAACAGGTGTGCCAAGCACATCTGCACACCTGCAAGCTAAGTTCTGCTGATATCATTATATTAAATTGTTCTACATTCTTACACGCGCCACTTTCAATGGTTATGTGTAATATGGGTTTCTTCAGCAAATAAAAAAAAATCACACTCATACAAATTTTTATCCGTTAGTCATTTCCGGGGACGATGTTGATTAATTGGGAATTGAAAGCTAAAACCCCATGAACGGCTCAATAGGGACCAAAGCTAAATTCAAATCAAACAATTTAAGTACAGAGCTAATCCAATTATTTTATGGGAGTTCATAAATTTTATTGGTACTCTTTTTATTTACGCTGTAGGATGATCCCTTTGAACTACACCTGCCAGTTTATAGACTGATTTTGTGATGGCTTTGACCATGAAATAGTCAGTCAGTTTCAGGCTAAAATCGCTCATTTTTACGGTACGGTGCACTTGACTCTGGCGTCACTACTGATAAGCAGGCGACATTTGACTAGACATTAGGTGGTTGAAGAGTAATGAACCGCTCATTTAAATGATTTTAGTCTACAATGTTGCAAATTTCTTCTAATTCACTAATTTATAGGAAATGGCGCTCAGTCCTACTTCGCGGGCATATGATGGCTGGAAGATTTCACCATTGCCGCTTGATTTTGATGTCTATCTTTTTAACTGGACAAATCCGGAGGACTTTTACGTGGGGTCCGGTAAAAAGCCACGCTTCGAACAGTTGGGGCCCTATCGATTTCGCGAGAAACCCGACAAGGTCGACATAGCGTGGCACAATCAAAACAGTTCAATTTCATTTCGGAAGAAGGCTTTCTTCTTCTTCGATGCCGAGGGCAGCAATGGCACCTTGGAGGATAACATAACTACCGTCAATACGGTGGCACATGTAAGCATAAATAAACAAGTTCTTACTATCAGTTATTCCAGATAATCAAGCGACTAACATTCTATTTTAAATTCCTTTTTTCACTTAGGCCGCCGCACTACGCACACGTGTTGCGAACTTTTTTGAGACGTTTGCAATTAAAAGCGCTCTAGCTGTCTCGGAACAGCGTCTCACCGAGACAAAGACCGCCCGAGAATGGATGTTTGACGGTTATGACCATCCACTGGTCAGCACTATGGTCACTGTGGGAAAAATGTTCCAGGTGTCTCTAGTGCCCTACGATCGTGTTGGCTTTTTGTATCCACGGAATGGCAGCGCCGATTTCGAAGGATACCTAAACATGTACACTGGTGCGGATGACATCCGTAAAATGGGTCAGTTGTATGCTTGGAACAATAAGACACACACAGGAGCTTTCGATGGCGAGTGTGGCAATGTCTACGGCTCCATGGGCGAATTCTTTCCGCCTAACCTAACTCCAAAGGATCATGTGTCGATGTTTCTGCCCAATCTTTGTCGCGCCGTTCCGCTGGATTACACCGAGACAGTCTCTGTCCATGGTGTGACGGCCTTTAAGTTCAGTGGAACTGAACGAGCCGTGGATAATGGTTAGTTAGCTGGCAATTAGGCTCGCCTATTTCATTATTTTAAACTATCCTCTTCATTGCAGGCACTCTCTACCCGGAGGAGACCAGTTGTTTGTGCGACAACGACACATGTGGGCCAGTTGGCGTCATTTATGTTGGACGCTGTCATCACAACACATCCTTATACATGTCCTATCCCCATTTCTACAAGGCTGACCCAAGCTTGCTAGACGCTGTCGAGGGTCTGCAACCGGAAAAGGAGAAGCACGAGTTCTTCATGACTCTAGAACCCAATGCCGGTGTGCCTATGGATGTGGGTGGAGGCTTTCAGGCGAACTATCTCTTGGAGCCAGTGCAACAAGTAAAGTGAGTATCTAGAAGATAATTCTAATATTTAAACTCAACTAACTCTTGATTTCATTCCAGAATATACCAGAACATTCCGCGCACTTTCATTCCCATGATGTGGGCCGAGGAGCGGGTCCGTGTTACCGAGGAAATCGCAGCAGACATAAAACTGGTGCCTCTAATCGTACTCCTAGGTCAGATTTTCACTGGCGTCCTGCTCGCCGTTGGTCTCATATGCGTCTGTTGGTATCCCACGCGATTGTTCGCGCGGTTCTGTCACAGCGATGATCCCAAAGACAAGATGATTGCGCTCAAGCCGCTCGCGTTTGGCACGAACGGCCCCAGCGCATCAGCGCCTACATGCTGTCAGTCTACACTCAATCCGAATGTAGGAGTCCGTCTTCTTGATTATAGAAGAAGTTCTGGAGTTGCAAACACCGCAGTCGCCAAGTATGATGACGATGACGTAGAGAGCAACAGCAGCGAGTGCAGCAACAGCTGTGGAACAGAACGCCTTATTAATGATAGTGCCCAGTGCCCGTCAACTAATGTGATAATTAGATAGTAGTTGCATTTTAATCAATGCTTTACAAATGGCCTTAGAGCGTAGCCGCCCGCCCATAAGACTCACGTTGTCTATTATTTCTTTATAACTTAGAGAGTATGTACAAAGTGATGACGCCGTTTGCCTTAGGTTGCATTGTTTTTTTTTTAATGCAACCTGTCTACATACACATAATATTGCTTTAGTCATCACCCCTTCCCTGTACATCTCGCTCATGTCGCTGAGAGAGAGACTTGTAAGATTATTTATTATATAGTGCCAAAAAAAAAGAAGAGAGAAACCTAAACAAAAAGTCATTAATTATATAGTTGTTAAGCAAGTGTACATACGATTTGTTGAAACCCAAAATTTGCACACGTCCAAAGTATTTACATATGTATATAGTATATATATAGAGACACGTAAGAATAATTTGCATAATTTGTAATGAGTATAATTAAGTTCTTTTTATACGCGTCGATTTCAATGAAGTGATACAAATAATACATATTTATAAAAAATCTATAACCAGAGTACAATCAATCGGTAGAACTGTTTAGGACTAATTACATACTACGCTGCAGCCAGCTGGAGAAGGCCCAGAAGCATATGCTGATAAAGCTGAAGCTCATAAGCGATGCGAAAGTTGCCGCACTGCCTCCTCCCTCATGCTTGCCCAGATCCAACTGCGAAGCCAGAGCTTCGGGCACATCCAAATAAACGCGATCCACCCCAAAGCTAAAGATTAGCTTTCGTAGCTGCGCCACATCCACATAATCACCCTCCGAGGACCAAATTGTAAGGGTGCTCTCATTTGTCCCATTTACCGCGGCGACCAACTGATGAAGCTGCTCTTCGCTATTAGCCGCTATACCTGCACGTACTGGGAAAGTAATTGCCTGGCCCGTAGACAGCACATTATTCCAACGGATGGCCTCCAGCATCTCGTCACATTGTGCTTGAGTGTAGGAACCCTCGCGATGATCGCCACTCCAGTTGGTGGTCCATCCAATCGAGAGCACGGACTGTTTATAACGCATGCAGCCGGCAAAAAAGCGCGCCGGATCTACCGGCACAGTCTTGTTCTGCTCCACCGGACCGCTTATTATGTCAGCATTCATAAAAATCGGATAGCTCATCTGTAATGTGAGAGGGTCTGGCTATTAATATGGCTACCACTGAGAGCTTTTAATGTACCATCGGTATGGACTCGTCGAGTATTTGCAGTGAACCTTCAAACACCTCAATCGACTTGAAGTCCAATTTCACCCCCTTTTGGGCTCCTTCAGTCTGTTCGTTATATTGCTTGATTTGATTCAAAAAATCGGCAAGTGTGAGATCTGAATCATTTGCTGGCGGATGCGCCATAACTGGTAACTCCTCGCCTACGCCATTCAGAGTACCCAGCACAATATCCGCTTCGATCATATCAATGTCGGCTGTAAGTAGTCAAGTTGAAAGCTCTTTATTCACTCTCCTGTTGATAAACAGTTCTAATAGCAATAAAAAGTGCTCGCCTTGCCCTATTATGACCCGACCGGCTTGATATTTTAACACCCTGTCCAAGCCCACTCATGCCTATAAATGCCTTATAGGTTAACCAAACAACTTTAACATAAATATAATATAAATGAATAGACTGCATAACAAACGTAAACAAGATAGAATGATATAGTCGGGCATTTAGACAGTGAGATGCCCTGCAAGCAAACTTTCGCAGCTATTTTATGTACAAATGCAAAAAAAAGAAGGCGACTGCAGCAAAATTGTTTGCACAAACCGAATAAGCCCTTTTTCCCTTCGGGTACAGGGTATAACAATTAAACTTTACAAACCATACTACGTACATTGAAAGCCCCCGTCGCTCATATACTTGAATGTATTTCGAGATATACGCATACGAAAACGTCTATGGCTAATCAAAAATCTAGACAGTATATGTACATGCATACGTACAAGTAAAGTCTATTTTTACAGTCCGGGTAAAGGTGCAGAGAAAAACAAATGCATATTTTTAAATTTATATTAAATTACTTCTACAAGACTCTGTTAAAATGGAACGAATGTTGAGCTTTAAGCGTGGGTGGTTCAAACACTTTTGCGCGAGCGAAGGGGGGGCATCATTCGAGCTTACCTTTCAAGGCCGCATCGAGCAATTGTTGGCTATTAACGGCATGCGCCCAGCGTATGGCCGTCAAATTGGACAATTTTGATTTGCTAAATCGTGCCATTTCTACAAACTCATGCTCCTGGTCCTGCTGCAGCACAAATGCAAAGTCAGGCAATTGCGACGCTGTGGCTGATGTTTCCGATACGCTGTATATATAGGCACTGGCGTTCGCAGCGCTGGCATTGATTCCGACCACGAGTGCTAGTTCTGTGTGTTGTTTATGTAAATTCAATTAAACCAATGAATGGAGAATTGTTTGCATGCAAGTGTGCGTTTGCATGTATTGTGTGTGTGTGTGCGTGTGTGTGTGTGTGGGGTGTTAAGTGATAGATAACAGCAATTTCCTTACCATTTGGCAATACTGGTCACATGGATGGAATGGACGATTTGTTGGGCGAGCTTTATAAACAGGCGATATCTGGATAATGTCTAAGTGTGATTGTACCGGCCTGCGTATGTATGCATGCATTTATGTATTGTGTTGATTTTATTTTTCTCTTTGAGCGGCAACAAGCAACCCGTCGCTTAATGTCCACTTTCACCGAATGCTGCGATGAAACTAATTACAAAGGGCGCAAGCGCAATACAATGTGAAACAAAATGCAGAGGAATTGATGCGAAACGTGACAATGCGAAACGAATGGCGCGCAAATCATTAACGTTCACGTTGATTGTGTGAAGGTTCAAGTCTTTACCCAGATGGCAATTAAGCAGAAGAATTGCAAAAACAAGTGCATTTCTACTACAGTTGTTGTTGTTGGTGCGCTGAAGCTGCATATTGTTGCTGTCGATTTGAGAGTCGTTCAAGCTTTAAAGAACAATAACAATCAATTTAAAGTAATTGGCACGATAAGTACAGCGATTAAATACACAATAAGATTTTAGCTTATCGCACACGATTTCCTATGGCCATAAACTGCTACTACAATAGTCATAATCCATGATTAAAAAATCATAAATTTAAATATGTATTTACCATAGGTGCAAAGGGCAAACAAAAAAGTCCTTTAAAAACTAGAAGTGCAATTACCTTTTGTTTCAGATTAACAGGAATATAGAAGCTATATTGTCATAGACACCCTTTATATATATCGTACCAATTTCAATACCGTTCAACAGTTTGTAATTTAACAGACCTAACTGCCAGGTTGGCCGAATCGAAATAAATGGCTTGCATAGAGCTTTGTCTCCAATTGGCATCTCTTTCTATTGCGTTGCTTGTCAACACTAGGCCAGCAACTTATCGATAATGTTTTGTATCGCTGTTTAGTCCAACGCTAACTAATTTGGCATTTACTTGTGTGTCGTTGTTGTTGGGCGAATAAGTTTATAAAGTTCTTGAAGTTCACTTTGGCTCCCCCTTGCACAGTAACAAAATGATGGTAAGTTCCAACTTAGTGCTGTTGCTTATTCACAAGCCTTGGATAACCCACTTAAACTGGAAATCAGTACTGCATCCGGCACGGGCATAACGGCTGAATGCCAATGCATTTCGCACACAAAGAAAAGCTTATCTGTAAAAATGGGCGTAATTAGACTGTGTGTGTATTTACTTATGTGTGTATTTTTTGGACTGCATAGGATGGCACGGATGAGTCAAATATTTTAAACAGTGCCTCTCCCAGCAATGGTGGGACAATGGAAATAGCTTCGCCCACAAACCCCTTGGCACCGACAACAAATGGTAGCGGTACCGCCACCTCACCGGACAGCTCTTCATCGGCGCCCATGACACCTGCTGCGCTTGGTGAAAACGCGCTACATGTAGAGATCTCCGATGCGCTAAGCGAAAAGGAAAAGGTAAAATTTACTGTGCACACGCGTACAACGCTGCCAGGATTCGCGAAAAAGGACAACAATGTAGTTCGACAGCACGAAGAGTTCGTTTGGCTTCACGATCGCATTGAGGAGAACGAAGACTATGCGGGCTATATCGTGAGTACATTATGCGGGTCTTATCACACTACACAACAAAAAATTTAGTTTACGACCCAAAGATAATTTTTTTAAGTAATTCTGAAATTATAAAAAGCGATTAAATTAAGAAATTTAATCCCAAACTAAAAAAATTTATTTTTTTATATTTAATTTTATTCATTAATAATAGAAACTTTCCGTAATTTGATGTGACTTTACATTTACTTTTTTTTTTAAATTATACCTGAATTGATTTATTGATTTGTTTTATTAGCTTATCAATTTTTAAATAATTTTGAATTTCTATGGAACATTTTTGGTGGGGTTTTTGAATTAACAGAGGTTCAACTAAAGGAATTTCTAACGTCAGCTGTCTTAAAATTATAGTAAATTAGACCCTTATAAAATTCTTAAGGTTCTATTTTGCAATCTTTTGTTATGTCGTTTTTAAATGAAAAATAAATTAAATTATATTGACACTTCCCTCGCGTATTCTTAAAGTACCACATTTTGTTGCGTAGTGTAGCGAGTACAATAGCGAAGTTGTAATTAGTCTTTTGTTATATATCTTTATAGATACCGCCCTGCCCGCCACGGCCGGATTTCGATGCGTCACGTGAAAAACTGCAGCGTCTTGGGGAAGGCGAGGGAAACATGACCAAAGAGGAATTTAAAAAGATGAAATCTGAGCTGGAGGCGTAAGTGTTGTATAATCCATTGTGCTTAAATTTGTTTGAAATACATTCTTCTCTTGTAGCGAATATCTTGCCACGTTTAAAAAAACGGTGGCCATGCACGAGGTGTTCCTGCGACGATTGGCCAGCCATCCCGTCTTTCGCGTCGATCAGCATTTAAAGGTGTTTTTGGAGTATGATCAGGACCTGTGCGCCAAACCGCGCAAAAAGATGGACATTTTTGGTGGCTTTGTGAAATCGCTGGGAAAGACAACAGACGGCATTTTGTTAAGCGCCACCGTGCGTGATGTAAATGATTTCTTTGAGAACGAACTGCAATTCCTTACCGAATACCATGGCCATTTGCGTGAGGCGGCAGCGCGAACTGACAAAATGACGCAACGGCACAAGGATGTGGGCGATGCGCATCAAAAGATTTCAAATGCCTTGTTACAGCTCTCCACTACTGAAAAGGGCCATATGGAAACATTTGCGGCCAAATCCGCAGAAGTGTTTGAACGGATCAAGGTAAGCTATAAAATTATTCGTCTGTATATTAATATAAATAGAAATGCATGTCTTCTTAGAATTTGGAGACGCGCGTTGCCAGCGATCAGGACTTGAAACTGGGAGACACATTGCGCTATTATCAACGAGACAGTGATGCGGCCAAGGCCTTGTTAATCAGACGGTTGCGCTGCCTAGCAGCCTACGAGACGGCGAACAGGAATCTGGAAAAGGCGCGTTCCAAGAATAAGGATGTGCATGCGGTAAGTGACAAAGTTGGCAGTTAATTCATTCAGGAAAGTCGCAGAAAATTGTGCAAATTTATTTCCGAAATTTAACTTTTGGTTTTGAAAAATCTTTGGATTTATTTTAAATATTTGAAAACAGCTTAAAACAATAAAGCTCTATGGATGAAATATGCTAATCATATTAATTTGCTATTGTAATGCATAAATTGAGTTTCATCTTTTTTTTTAAACAAAGTTACAAATTGTTGAATTTAAAGTATTCTTTCAAAAAGTCTATATTTAAAATGTAAAAGCTACTACTACAAAATTCTTAATATTCAAAAGAGATCTTTTACCAGAACCAGTTGGCGTTTAAGGTTTGCAAATAAAATCTTACTTTTGTTATAGAGTGAAATATGTTATCCAATATCATCACTTCGCTATCTTTTAACTTCCTCAGAAAATTGCTTTAAATAGATTAAACAATTAATGCGAAGAAAACAGAGTTTCCTACTCTACGTCCGATATCAATAACTAGTTATATGTAAATTACTCATGACTGTTTTGAACTTGTTGCACAATTTTCTGCGTCATTCCAGGGCGCTACCATTTCATTTTGTGATTCCCCATCCCCGTTTTGATTTCTGTGCTTGCCTGTATTTGTTATTTTATTTTACAAATTTTTTTCTTCACGTCCCCTTATCATATTATTTTTATTTTTATTATGAGTTCCGTTGCGTTTCATGTATTTACACGCTTCTTTTTTAATGAACCAAAAAATTTTCGTCTCTTATCGATCAACAAACTCACCACAACCTTATACGCGTACTGCTATCGATCTCTGTGCGTTTGTTGTTGTCTTTCGCTGCAGCCTTTGGAGGTGCAAGAGGTATTTGGGACTTAACTTTAACTGCAGTTGCTCATTTATTGTATCACTAATCCATACCAGATAAATGAAAATATGAATAGCTAGTCGTCGTCGCATGTTGTTGTAACTCTATTGAAGTCGTGTTTAGCTGAAGTTTGCTGTGTAGATTAGCATGCCCTTGATTTTAATCTGTTCTAGAAAGCTTAATAATGTTCTCTTATCTAAATGCAGGCCGAAACCGCGCAAGCCGAGGCTTGTGAGAAGTTTGAATCCATGTCTGCCTGCGGCAAGGAGGAGCTGATTGGTTTTAGAAATCGTCGCGTGGCTGCTTTCAAAAAGAGGTGGGTTCCAATTAGAGCACTAAATTAACGTACTTCTAACACACGGCCTCCTTCTCTTTCCAGTCTCGTGGAGCTGTCCGACCTGGAAATCAAACATGCCAAATCGCAGTACGAGTACTTGCGTCAGTCACTGTTGGCACTCAAGGAGATTGCCTGAAGAGCTGGACCTGGACTGTGTAGGGCAGTTGTGTTTGTAAATCAATTTTTTAAATATGTATTTGAATAGATTGCTAACAAGCAGTTGCAGTTTTACATATTACCTTTTGCATTGCATGTATTTAATGTAAACTATATAGCATAGAGCTCGCATTATTATTGTATTATCAAAATTATTGTTTGTGTGTAAGTGTGAGAGTTAGAGATGAAATGAGAACAGAACAGAACGCTTTTGTATTGAGCATTCCTTTAAAAAAGAAACAAATTTACTATTATACGAGTATTGTACACGCATTGAAATCTGAATATATATATATATACAAATTGAATATAAGCCGGTTGTAAACTGTCATTATGTCAACAATGCTAGCAAACAAGCTATAAACGTAACCAGGCAACAAGCAACAAAAATATCAATAACCACATCGAACGAAATTTTTTCCTTACTGAGGACTGTCGAGAAACGAAAATTTGTAAAACATTTTTACTCCACGGCATTTGCTTCCAACCACCCATCCGCTTTATATTTCGTATAATCTTTCGCCATGGATGAGTTCGGATGTTTCGACTACAAGACGCCGGTAACGGAAAACACACAGGATATGCGCACTTCCTACTATCGCTCGCACCGCTATCTCACGGATTTGCGTTTGGGAAACAAAACGAATGCCAGTTTCCATGATCCCGAAATCTATGTTAGCGATCCCCTGATTCACGAGAAACTACGTTCGGACTATGGCAGGAATTACGAGTGGAAGGTAAGCGATTGGTTTGGCTTTCTTTCTCTGCAGCTCCACCCATCCTACTGTGTGCTTACAGTACATCGATCCGAATACGATACGCAATCCAACGATGAACATGAAAATGCAATTTATGAAGCCCTTCGAGCAGGGTCAATTACGTTTCATTAAGCGCCCCATTAAGCCCATGAGCAGCGTTACCCAGGACACCTACGGGTGGACTCAATTGCCGAGGGAACCGGACCCTTCGCCCATTTACATGCCCACGCCAGTGGAGGCCACCAAACTGGAGCTGGATCGCTCGAAGATAAGTGATAGCAAGTATCTAGACCCCTCGGCCACCACATACAACTTGTCCTATGTACACTACCAGCCACGTGACATACAGCGGGGAATCGCGGCGCAGGATAATATTACATTTTGGAATTGGAATGAACTGTTTCCGGTGGGGAAACGCGTGATTTCTGGAGCGGATGAACAGATGTGTGACGATTTTCCAGCTAAAAAGTGCCCCAAACGCCGCTGTGAGTACCAGAATCAGCTCAAGCCTGTACCCCACACCGGCCAAATTACCGAGATGCGTCAAAATTATCGGGATCCCAAGTATCGTGACGATTACATTGAATTCGAAACGACAGATGTAAGGCCGCTGTTCCTAAGCGATGAGGCCCAAAGGATTCCACAGGCCAAGGTCTGTGAGAATTCTCTGTATGGCTCTGGCGAGCCAGTGGCAAGATATGTTTAATTTTCTATTTCGATTTCGACCAAATTCCATGCGTAGTAAAAATTTGATCTAAAAAACGTCGCGCAAACAGTGCACGAAATATATTTCGGATTTTTTTTTTCAAACGCAACGTTATTTTTATGATTTCTATATTCCCAGCTTAACCGACACTAATTTAGTATGGTAAAGATCGCGGAATACCCATAGTTAGCTTAAAGTTATAAGTAGAATTTCCTATTTATTTTCTATTTATAAATATTTTTTGGCTGTTGGGTATCTGGTTTCATTCACGTTCTATTAGCTGGTACAAAAAGATGGTGTCAAGGCGGAATTTCTTGGGATGTCACCTTTTTCGAAACGATCATTGATTTTGCAATGAAAATAAAAATCATTCCCATTGTAGCTGCGCGAAATATTTTGTATTAATAGGTGAATTCTGTTTCAAGTTATCCTATGAATAGAGATTATCTTAAAATTCCCATTTTGAATGAAAACAATGACGATAGTTTTTTCTCGCTTCGGCTTTATTTAGATGATTTCATTTACTCAAAGGATGAGAAGGACCTTGGCATTAAATTATATATGGATGTGATTAGTACCTTGTGCTCGTCCTCAATCATGGGTAGCGCATCATCATGCTCGGGTGCACTGGCAACATATATCGGTATGTCCTTTTTCGCGAACTCCAATATAAACTGACGGCACACGCCGCAGGGCGTGATGAAGGCATCGGGATGGTAGGCAACGACACTAATTTAGTATGGTAAAGATCGCGGAATACCCATAGTTAGCTTAAAGTTATAAGTAGAATTTCCTATTTATTTTCTATTTATAAATATTTTTTGGCTGTTGGGTATCTGGTTTCATTCACGTTCTATTAGCTGGTACAAAAAGATGGTGTCAAGGCGGAATTTCTTGGGATGTCACCTTTTTCGAAACGATCATTGATTTTGCAATGAAAATAAAAATCATTCCCATTGTAGCTGCGCGAAATATTTTGTATTAATAGGTGAATTCTGTTTCAAGTTATCCTATGAATAGAGATTATCTTAAAATTCCCATTTTGAATGAAAACAATGACGATAGTTTTTTCTCGCTTCGGCTTTATTTAGATGATTTCATTTACTCAAAGGATGAGAAGGACCTTGGCATTAAATTATATATGGATGTGATTAGTACCTTGTGCTCGTCCTCAATCATGGGTAGCGCATCATCATGCTCGGGTGCACTGGCAACATATATCGGTATGTCCTTTTTCGCGAACTCCAATATAAACTGACGGCACACGCCGCAGGGCGTGATGAAGGCATCGGGATGGTAGGCAACGACAGCGCCACCCGTAAACGTTGTGTGCTCCTCACTGACGGCCTTAACCAAGGCCGTGCGCTCCGCACAACAGCTGGGTGTGAAGGCTACATTCTCTATATTGCAGCCGGTAAATATGTCGCCAGCCTTGGAGCGAAAGGCGGCGCCCACCTTGAACTTGCTGTAGGGTGCATAGGCCTTCAGGCGAGCTATTAATGCCGCTTCCACCAATTGACGTCCTTCGAAGTCTGCGGAATTATTTTATTTAAAGATTAAAAGGAAATTAATTTAGGAAGCTTGTGTTGTTACTGGACTCAATTCGTTGATAATTGTTGAGCTACCAACAGTTTTGGTAACTGTTTTGAACACATTAGCCAAGACTTGCTTTCCACAAAAAAACAAGTTGACTTTCAACAACAACTCCATAAATATTTATTATAAATCTCCACGGAACACTAAAACATAATTTTCTTAGCCGCCCAGATACTTAGCTACATTGGCAAGATAGCTGAAATTTTCTTTTGGCAGCATTAAGAGTTGATTTGTCACTTTCTTTGAATAGTAAAAAATTTAACTGCGCCATCTATGAAACATTTTTTTCGAATTAGGTTGTCCTTTTATATTCAGCTAGAATAACAATGTGTACATATTTTTGCACTATCCCTTATTGTTTTGATCGTGGCTTTTGTCTTTCAGTGCATACATATGTATGTAATTAATTGGATTAACAATTAGAAAAAGCTGCAAATTATTGCACCAGTAACTGATAAAGTTGACAAAAGTGTTATGCGCCGTATTATTAAAACTAGCAATTTGCACGAAAAGGTTCAAACAATCGAACAATAAAAATTTGGCAATAATCTTGATAATGAAATGAAGAAGCAAATTCTAAAAATATTGCTTTTTATTGAAAATGCAACAAACCACACTACTGTAGAAGGTTGTAGTAGGAAAAATAAAATTAGTCCACCAAATGGAACCTCTAGGGATATTATTCACTCATTTAAATTAGAGTATGGACGCATCTTGGTGAAACAACAACTGGTCGCTGTAAATCTTTTAGTTTTGGAGGACAAATTATAGACTATATTTAAGAAATTTTATAAATGTTAAAAAATTGTATGTCAATTTAATTACTGAAACTGCATAGAAAATGAATTATGTACATACACACAATAATAACATAATACAACTTCATATAGGCACCTAAGCTAATTATACTGTGTTACGGCTGTGTCTCTGACCGACTGCCCTTCTTGGCCAAAAACAACAACTAAACACGAGATCGAATTAATCGTGTATGAAGAACTAAAATACGCGGGCGGGCTACAATTTGAGTCTAGAATTTGACGAAAGCACGACCCTGCAGCTGTATTTGCAGATCAGCCGCTGCAATGAGTGCGAGAGCGCTGCCAAATTACAGTTTAATTTGAGCAATAGAGAGAGCGCTGCACAGGCAGCCGAGTTACATAATGTTTCTGTTACAGAGGTTTTATGCAAACGGCAAACAAAAATGTGTTATGAATTTACGTTACAAGCTTAAAGCAAATATTAATTCTATTTGGATAACTTATGTAGCTGCCGCTGCTCCGAACAATAATCTTGCGAGATTCTTTCTGTAGAAATAATTTAAAAATCGGAAGTGCCAGAAATAAAAGCTGGAGAGACTGAGAGACGAACCCATCTGTGTATTGTATGATAGTTTGTCGAATTCAATTTCCAATGTCTCTATACCACTTACCCAGCTCACAAAATCGAACGATGCATTCTGGGAGCACTTTTTTCTTAGGCGGCACAACATCTCGTCCAGACAAGCACTGACGCTTGTCCACCTCGAACTTAAGTTCGTTGAGGCGGGTCAGATACTTTTGGAGCCGCTTGCTCAGACGTTCATGGCTATTCCGTTTGGGCATTATGCCGAAGTGATTAAGAAAAAAGATTATTGGCTAGTAATTTTTTGAAAGGCGAAATCTTTAATTATCTTTTTTGACGTCCGAAACTTAAATGTAGAAAGCTTTCGACTTGCCTCTTTTGTTTTCAAAAAAGAAATCAATAAGATAGCTGGTATGGTTAGGGCTACCCTAATTGTTTATAAGGGCGTTATCAAATTAATCTTTTCTAATCGAATACGATTAGAAATGTTATATCTGTAAGACTGCCCCACCTAACTGCTATATTTGATAAGTATGGAAACTGTTTGGCAACAGATTAAAGATGGAAGTGCACAGCACGGGATCCTCATTGGCAAAGGGCGTCTCAGCAGTTCGGCCTTCTCGCGCCTGAGCCACATATATTGGCATGTCGTTGTCGCTCGTGAACTCTCTAATGAACTGACGGCAAACGCCGCAGGGCGTTGTAAATACATCCGGTTGATAGGCGACGACAGCACCCGCTAAGAATTCGCGCTCACCCTCGCTAATAGCCTTCGTCAGCGCAGTACGCTCGGCGCAGGAGGATGGCGAAAAGCAGGAATTCTCCACATTACAGCCGCTGAATATTTCTCCACGAGCTTTGCCGCGAAATGTGGCACCCACTTTGAAATTACTGTATGGCGCGTAGGCACGCAGGCGCACTGTAAAAGCCGACAGCAGCAGCTCCTGAACGTCGGCATCTGCAAACACATATGTATAGTACATAGGGGAATTGCAGCTAGTGACGTCATATTTGATATGCACTTACCCAAAGACCCATAAGTCACCACAAGTTCTGGCTTAGATGGCGTTGCGAAACGCTTGATGAGATGTGCCATAATTAAAAGAGTACGAAATCTTAGTGGTGCTAAAAAAAACTATTATGTGTATCTATAGCTTCTGGCTGTGAATATTTATTTATAATTATGTGTACAAAATTGTGGCCGAGCGAGTGTGCGTGCGCGTGTTTCTATTTCGAACGTCCGCTATCAAATGGACAAGCGTTCTCGGCTCGTTGTCAACAAGTCAGTTAGTTGGCATTTGGCGTTGGCAGCAAAAAAACAAAAAAAAAAAAAAAAACTAATAAACATGGGCAGAAACAGTCGCTGAGAGCTAACGGGTGAGCGACAGTTTTGATAAGGGGGTGTGCTCTACAAATATCAATAGAGCGGCTTTATTCATTTTACACAACACAGATCGTTAAACACATATACGTATGTACATATGTATGTATAGTTTGTGTTGTAACTTATTTGGATAATGGGAATCACATGAAATACATATTGCACAGAGTATTACACATATTATTATTGCACACAGGTACAGATCATAAAGATCAAATAAAAAATTATATTAATAGGTTGATCAATTTGTCTAAGCTATAGGCATATCCAAGAACGCTCTTCCTATTTGCCATTGTCCAAGCTAAAGCTTTTCGGAAGCAGCTCCAACACGCTGCTGCAGAGCACTCGCAATGGCAAGTTAGTGGGCTTTGCCGCATATAATGGTATATCCTTCCCGTTGATTGCGAACTCGGCCAGAAACTGCCTGCAGATGCCACATGGGGTAGTAAAGCCTTTCTCCTGCTGTGCCACCACCGCACAGGCTATAAATTCACGTTTCCCTTCGCTATATATTAATAAAAGATACATACATATGTATATGAGGTTAATTAACAATTTTTCAGGGGATGACGGGGCGAGCAATAAATGTGCACCCTCACCTAATGGCTTTTGCGGCAGCTGTGCGTTCAGCGCAAATGCTGGCGGCAAAGGCGGAATTTTCTATGTTGCAACCCGAGTAGATGGAACCGTCGCTTGTCCGCAGCGCTGCTCCCACAGCAAAATTGCTATAAGGACAATAGGCCTGGTTTCGGGCTGCCGCGGCTGCCTGTATCAGCTCCTGAACGGAAGCATCTGAAAATGCGCATTTAAAATTAGTCGAGTAACGTACTACCAAAAAATGTAAGATCATACAAGAAGAATAAGAACATTACCTAATGTATCATATTCACGCACTGAGGGATCATCACGCATGCCATTAATGTAGATCTGCGACATATTTATTATCACTATTGCTATTTGATAAGATTTACACAATTATGCGTTCCACAAGCGATCCACACAACACAGCCCAAATAACAGCTGTTGCCAGTGCTGCAAAATGTGTTGGGAAAACATCGATTGAACTCCAACACCCGCTATCAGTGACAAATGAGTTTCTGTGCGTCGGTGTGGGTGGTTTGTTGATACAGTTTTAATTTTATCAGAAAACATTCCCATAATCAAACGGAAATTTTGAACATAGTAGCAGTTATCACGACCTCCACTTTGATGACTAATATAGGTATATTCTAATATGTCATCATTATCTAGCCCTGCACAGCAAGGAACTAACAATTATCAGCAACAGCGGCAGCAAACCGATTCGGACCAGGACTTGGAGCGGCACGCAATGGGTGCGGAAGAGCAATTGGATAGTCTGCCACCAATTGACTTTGACACCGACAAATTCCCGTACTGCATTGTTTGGACGCCGATACCAGTCCTCACCTGGATTCTGCCCATGATTGGGCACATGGGAATTTGCATGTCAAACGGCGTTATTCGCGATTTTGCCGGACCCTACTTTGTGTCGGAGGATCATATGGGCTTTGGCCGTCCCACACGTTATCTACGTCTGCACCCAAAGCACGTACAGGGTGGCCGCTATGCCTGGGACGAAGGGGTTTCGAAGGCATCTGTACTATACGGCACACGGATGCATAATCTATTTTGCGACAATTGCCATTCCCACGTAGCAACAGCGCTCTGCAATATGCGCTACAAGGATAGTACGAGCTGGAATATGATTATCTTGGCCTTTTGGATTTTTGTGTGCGGCTGTTATGTTAGCATTTGGGGATTCATCAAGACATGGCTACCGTTTGCTGTGTTGGTCACAATATGCGTCTTGCTAGGTGTTTACTTTTAAGATTCATTCTTTTTATTTGCAATTAGCGCTATATAGTTGTTTATTGTCTCCTGTACGTCTAAATTGGAGCTTGAAATGCAAACAAATTTTTGTGTCATTATGTAGATAAGATTGCATGTGTCTTGCTTTGTTGGTGTGGGAATATGTTACACGATTTACTTGGTCAGACACAAAAGATAGCACTACACGTTTTTCTAAAGTCTAAAGTGTCTCAAGCATTAAAAAAAACATAAACCAAAACGATATAAAGAATTGAACTCCAGAATCAGCACATTATGGTGGTCAAATATTTGTCAATCGTTATAGAAAACATTTTTGTTTTTTCGTGAAACTAATATGTCAAAAGACCAACTGCTACTGAGCTTGTAAATAATTTGGACCGCAAGAAAAAGAGTGCAACTTGAACTAAATAAGACCTACAGAATACCAGACGAACTACCAGTACCTGGTGATGGAGGCTTAGCTGAGTGGTTTGCTGCAAATAATATTGCTTGAAAGAATAACGAATACATTTTACCAGAAAACGAATGCAACTCGAGTTTTACAAAGAACCTTGGGACAAAAAAGCAAAAAATTGTTCTTTAAGAACACCTTTATACGATCAGTTCGTAATTATAACCTACATCCAAGTATTTACAACCTATTAGCCGTAATCATTTCATATCGAACTACAATTAAATACATAAAACTAAGCTATAATTAATAACCCAATTAAATTGAACTGAATATTGCCATAAAAGGTTGACAAATAAATTAAAATGTAGAGAGAACAACTAATTTATAATAAAATTTATTAAAAATGCTTTTATAATTTTTATAGCCTGTACCCAAAGGGTGAAAGGCTATACTAGTTTTGTGCGCATGTATGTAACACACAGAAGGAGGCGTGGCAGACCCCACAAAGTATATATATTCTTGATCAGGATGAGAAGACGAGTCGATATAGCCATGTCCGTCTGTCCGTCTGACCGTCTGTCCGTCTGTCTGTATGAGCGCAAGGATCTCAGTAAGTACAAGAGCTAGGATAACCAAAATTGGTATCAAGGTTCCTATAAGCCCTAGGCAGAACGAGTTTGTTTATTTTTTCTGATATACCCCCCCGCTCCCCCGCAATTCGTATTTTTTCTTATAACTTCCGTAATTCTCGGAATTTAAAAATCAATTTTGGTAGGTACATCCAGTTAGTACTAATGTGTCCGTGTGCCAAATTTCATCATGATTGGTCAATTCTGAAGAAAGTTATAGCCATAAGTAAAATCGCTGCTCATGCGCTGCCTGCTGCTCTGTCGGCAGCGCTGCCCGCAGCTATTGTTGTTGTTTCTGCTTTTGTTCAACTTTGTGCTGCATACATACACGCATATAAACACGCATAGGTACGTGATGTAAATGTATGCTGTTTAAACTGAACATAAACATGTATTCTAATTTAATTTAATTTAATTAATTATTTTAATTAATTAATTCATTCATTTTTTTTAATAATTTAATTTTTTTTTTTTTATTTTTATTTTTTAATTTTTCCTTTTTGTGGAGAGTACAGGCTATTTTACTGTCGGGCTTGCTCGACTGTAGCGTTCTATCTTGTTTATTTTAATTTTCTTGTTTATTATCTAAAAACTAGCTCTATAATAGATTAACTTTACTTCTCTTTAATAGAAACATAAGCTAAATAAGATTTTCATACATACATATGTACTTCAATTTTCTAACGCCTCTTAGGGTTTATTCCTATTATTATTTCCAATAATAGCAATATCTTTTTGAAATCGAATTTTCTTTATGTTCTGGGAGCCAAACACCTTTATGTACACTTTCCTCGACTTGCTAATGATTTATAAAACACTAAAATGGGCCAAAAATCCTGCCTGCCTAATCAGTGGACCCTTTCAGTGAAGGATATATTTGTTGTGTCTTGTACACAAATAATTTACTAGCTTTTGTTCGAAAGGAGCGAAAATGTTAGAATATCGCTTATAAAAATGCTTCTACTTTCAAAGATTTGGGAAATCTGTAAACAATATCTGCATCAAAATTATTACATTGTCCGTTCGATAAACCAACATCAAACATTTTTAAGATATTTTATTTAAATAGCAATTAAACAAATAAAGTTTTTTTGCACATTCTACTGCTTTCTTTGGCACATTTAAATTCCAATTTGAAATGCAGAGAAAATGCTTTTAAGCACATATTGGAGTATGTGTGTGTGATTGAGTTTTACTTTGGTGGAATGGGATGAGCTAATCATCTACAGCCCGATTGACTTCATCGGCCACTTCCAGCAGCTTCTTCCACTGTGTAATGGACAAGGAGATACCCTTTTTGCCGGGCAATATTTCTCCGTCTTTTTCGTAGAATTCGCGTATGTCCACCATCTTACGTCCACGGAACTCGTTAATGCGCACTTGACGCAGTTTCTCCAAAGTCCAGGATGTCGCGCCATCACCGCCACTGTCTTTGGCGGGAGCAGAAGCGGGCTTACCGGCTTCTTTGCCTTTCTTGCTTGGCGGTGGCTGATTGCGCTGTGAATTAACAGTTGTAGGTAAAATTTATATTGGTAATTATAAAACGTACATCATCTGGACCACTGTCGCTGTCCGATGAAGAGGGCGCCGGTTTTTTCTTGCTAATTTTTGGCATTTTTATTCGCGAACTTCTACACTTTACAATTCTAATCTTACAAGTTTGCAAATTGGCGCATAAATCACAATAGAAAACAAGCGGACCGCGTTTTACATTCACAGTTAGACGCAAGTTGTTTAAAGAATCAGTTCGGAGCTAGTTCAATTCACAATAGCATTAGCTGTCAGAGCCTGCTGATTTGTATTTGACAGAGAAAATTGTACGTCGCCGTTGTCTTAGCATTCGATTTAGTATCAGTGCAAGCGCGAAGGAATATTAACCGTAGTATTTAGTGGGAGAAATAGTTACCAATTTCTTGCATTAATATTAACGCGTACTATACTTGGAACATTGCTAATTGGCGGAGACAGAGTGCACATCGAAGAAGCAACATTTCACAGCTATATTAATTTCACGAATCGAACAAAAGAGAAACTTTTTTTTTGCGTGTCACCCTTGTGTCGTCTGCAGAAATATTTGTTACGTTTTTAACAAAATGCAAAAGAAATTTATGTGTTAACTGTTTAGTGCCAGCAGATCAGAGACACACGCCAAGTACATCAAGTTGTTGTGGTGAGGGTGCTGTTGAAAGGGACAAAACAGGTAAGATTTGTATCCACATTGCCCTCACATATGTTGTTTTACTCATTCATCCCTTCCCTATACATGAAAGTTGTAGGCGTGTCATCATTGCATCTGATTTTGTCGGTCGATCTTCGCCTATATCTATTGTTGTCTAGCAAGGAAATGCGCAGATTTCATTCGCTGGCACCCTCTCTTCGTTCCTCTCCCCCACAATGGGCACTCGCCTCGTTTTGATTGAAGACAGCAATTGGCGATGATTGTTTATGCAGTGTGCAGGCCCATGAATTATTGCTTCCCAGTTATATAAGAAAACAAGGCTTCACTTTTATTGCAGTGCGTAGCTCCCATGCGTCTAAACACACTCCCCTACATCTGCATTTACCTCTGATTGCGTCGTAGGCTGGTGCATATTAAACTATAAATAGATCAATAGCTTGCTGCTGCTTAGACCCTAAATTTGGCATGGGCTTCTTGAATTTGCCATAGGTCAGTGCTGCAATTATGTTTCCCATATTTCCCCTTCCGTGTCAACTTGATAGATGAGTTGACTAGTGCGTAGTTTGTTTTTGGTGGCTAAAGACAGTGGCACAAAGAAATAAAGCTATTTAGACCCATTGTCTTGTCTTCTGTTGTCTTGTCTTGTCTCGTCTTGCCTTGCCTTGCCTTGCACTCATGAACTTGACGTTGACCGCTGGACTTTTGTTTATTTTTTAAATGCGCGCAATCATCTCATACTAGACCGACACTCTCACAGCTCCTGATCGCTCTCATTCTTATTTTCGTTCTCATTTTCATTCTCTTGTTGTCGTTGGTTCGTTAACCTGCGCATAGGCGACATCAACGCGTATACCGTACGTAAATACGCAACAAGCAATTAAAATTTAAAACAACTGCGCAACTTGGAACTTGAAAAGTGGTGCGGAGATGCCGGAAGAGGAGCCACCACAGAAGCCCATGGAGCAGGAGGAGGGACAGCAACAGCAGCAATCCAACGAAGCTGCCACAGAACCACAAAAGCCTCAGCAAGAAACACAAGCTGCAGAGCCATCCATCGCCCCCACGCCTTGTGTCATGGCTGAGCTTACGCCCGAAGAGGTAAGCATAAGAAATACGTCACATTTAAAACTATAAACCATACTAACAAATCTGCAAATTCACAGATACGGGAACGTCGTTTACGCACTTTGAGCGCGCGCAGCAATTCTACAGTGCTGCCCCCCACAGTACAGCCAAAGAGTGTCGAGAAGTCCAGATCACAGAGCAATGTTATTAGAGAGTCTCGATTGGTGCGTGCTTGCCTGGCCAGTTCATCGGCTCCAGAAGGCAATAACAGCACTACCATTATCAGTGAGAAGACAAACACAGCGGGCTGGCCTGGGGACATGGATGTGGAAATGAAATCGGTAGCCTCTACACCCGTACAAGATGTGGAAATGAAGCCAACGTCTGCCATGTCCATAAATATCGATGAGACGGTCAAAAGCGCCGGAGCATCTGAAGATGTAGCTTCTGCCGTTGTTTCCACTTCATCACCGGACTCTTCGACCAAATCCGTTGAACGCTCACCAGCTGATGGGCCACAGAAATCTGTGGATGAACGCAATGAGTTAATGCTGTCGCGTATTTTGAATGCCTCCTGGAATGAGTTCTGCAATGGCTCCATTATATGTGCACATACTGCAAGTTTCTTGGAGCAATATCCAGATATGCGTTTCGACTTTGAGCCCATTATCGCAAACGTGCTGCTGGAAACGGTGCTGAAGATTTACAACGATGAGCTAGAGGACAGTTGCAAAAGAGATGGCGACGATGGCATGGGCACAGGAACTGAGAATACCGACGACAAGGAGTTCTCTTCTGCCAAAAAGATCAAGAGTGACGACACCGAGGTGCAGGAGATACTGGCAAATGCTGTGGAGAATATAGTCAGTGGCGACAGTGTTGCCGACGATACCTCGCGCTCTGTCTCTTCTGCTGGCGGAAACGACGCTTTGGCCACTGATGCTTGTATGGCGCCCACAGTGCTAAATTGCACAACCACATCTAAGCACAAAGTCATGTATCATCTGATCAAGTGTCACTCGAGCTGGCAGAAAGAAATGAGTGGAAATCAGAGTGAGTTGCCCGAAGAACGAGAGAAGATTGGACAGGCGCTTAAACTGGCGCAGAAGCATATTATGCGCATGGTTGTGCTGGTGCTAACAGATCGCATATACCAGCATTTGTACGTCCAGCTGGATCAGTCCACGCTGCTTGAACTTATGTACTTGAATCGTGTGAGCGAATCGTTTTTGACAGATCTAATGACTCATACATACCAGGCACAGGAGGACTTTAACACCATCTTCGGGCAAGTGCTACGCGGTCTTTTCACTGGAATGCAGCGCAACATCTGTGCATCCAAGATCAATACTCAGCAAATTGATTGGCTCGCTAAATTGATTGTGATTAGGGTGGGAAATGCACGACCAATTGCCGATCTAGTTGCTAGGCAGCCAAATTTTATACCGCCCATTTGTACAAAAATACCTGGACGAGAGATTGTGAAATGCAGCTTTCTGGGGCCGTTTCTCTCCGTTTCATTGTTTGCCGAGGAGAATGTCAAATTTGCCGAATATATAACCAAGATTAAGTTGGAGGATGTGCCCTACGCGCGTCTTCGTTGGGTGAGTAAAATCTATATCAAAAACTTGAAATTTAAGCCTTGAAAGTGAAATGAACATTTTTCTGTATTCTATATCCTTCCTTAAAGCTATAATTAACGCTACTCCACTTTCATTATTTTACAGGAATTACTTTCAATGCGTCTGCAAATGCACACAGTTTTTCATTCGCTTTGCGTGAACAGCAGTAGCCGTCCCAAGACTCTCGAATACATTTCTCATATCTTTCGAAACAACGAGCGTCGCGTTCAGTTTGCCAGCGACGAGAAGCTTCTGGCGCGTGACGGCTTCGTAATTAATCTGATGACAGTTTTGCAACAGCTATCGGTTAAGATTAATCTGGATCGCATCGAGCCAAATTTCCCCTATTACAAAAACTCACTTGTGCACATTGAGGGCGATACAAAGATACGTTTTAGTGAGGAGCAGTATAAGAGTTTTGTGGAACGCGAATTTCCTCAACCGGTTGACAATGCCAATTTCCATACGCAATGCTGGTTCTTGACACTGCAAGCACATCACCTGGGCTATCTGCCTGCCATACAACGCCATCGCCAGAAGGTGCGCGCCATCAAGGAGCTTCAAAAGCTGATTGATGAATTGGACCGAACCAAGCCACATTGGGTGAACACACGGTATGCCAGTAGAAACACTCAGTTCAAGGAACGCTGGGAGAAGCAGCTGCGCAAACTAAATCGGTAAACCCAATCCATATTTCTTGCACTACTTATTCCTCTTACACATTTTCTCTCCTTGACAGCTCTAAGACTTGCAGCGAGATCACCTTGCTGGATCCTGCACTGCTTCAGCATTGCACTGAGTTCTACTCGACCGTATGCGAGTTCATGCTATACCAGTTCGAGGGGCGACCCATTGAGGGCAAGTTCATCTCGAAGGTGCCGGTACAGAAATTGAAGCCGACTGATGCATTTTCCGCCCTGCCCGAATGGTATATCGATGATATAGCTGAGTTCATACTATTTGCCATGCAACACGCAAATGTGGACATTCGACAAGGCATCGATCATTCGATCATCACATGGTTGCTCACCTGCGTGTGTGCATCCCATCTCATCAAGAATCCCTACGTTACTGCCAAACTGGTGGAGGTCATGTTTGTGTTCTCACTAAAGCCAACCAATTCGGTTAACACAGCGGTATGTTTTTAGTTTCTTTCACACAGATTACAATTCCATGTATGCTTAATATCGGTCTCTCTTGCAGATGTGGAACCACGAATTAGCGCAAAATGCGCTGGTCTGCGCCCTCATGAGATTCTATGTGGATGTAGAGACGACTGGACAAAGCACTGAATTTTACGATAAGTTTACCATAAGGTGAGTCGTTTCTTCCACAAAATGTGCTATATATATATAAGTCAAGTCAATTATCTTTTGCGACCCATCTACTCCATTTCTCCGTGATATTTATCTCACCCAGAAGTCTGTCATTGATTTCAGACCGATACTGAGTAATTGTCCCGCTATGCTCTACGCACTACCCCGAGTGACGCCTTATACGGCATTCTGGGAATACTTACAATACAGCTGATGGGAAAGATGAATGCCACGCTGGCGGCTCTTCGCATGAGAGAAACCAACCAATAGTCAGAAGAATGTTTTGGGCATGACAAAATCCTGAAAGGAAATGTCATTATCCCCTCAGTCACTGACTACTGCACACCCAAGGAGTGCCTCCACACTCCTTTTTATACATACTCTTTAGAAAATACTGGAATTTTGGCCCACCAGGCCCCAGCAACTCTATCAAAGTCTTCACAACGGTTCTAAGCTAGACAACTGCGTACCATTTCCTCTCTCCTTCCAGAGAAAGAAACGAATGAACGAATGATTTTTTTTCCTTTTTCTCTGCATAGTCAGAAATTGCTCCAATTAATTCTGTCGGCCACCCAAAAACAGAGCTTATATTGAGTCTGAATTTGAGCTTATGGATAAGTCTCGGTTAATATTGAATGGTTTCTTAGAGATAGAAGTCTTGCTCGCAGCGATAAGGGTCGCTACAACGCCTGTTTCTTAAAAAGAAGACAACAAGAAAGGTATATATATTTTTAATGTTTTTGCAGATACCACATCAGCCATCTGTTCAAATCCATGTGGGAGAATCCCATACATCGCCAAGCTGTGATCCACGAGTCGCGTGTCAGCAATCAGTTCGTCAAGTTTGTCAACATGTTGATGAATGATACAACCTTTTTGCTCGACGAATGCCTGGAGAATTTGAAGCGTATACATCAGACGCAGCAGCTGATGTCTGACAAACAAAACTGGGGCTCAATGACCCCGGAGCAGCAACAGACACGTCTCACCCAACTGGGCACGGATGAGAGACAGTGCCGTTCCTATCTGACGCTAGCGCGCGAGACGGTTGATCTGTTTCACTATTTGACTGTAAGTAGATGAGACTATAGAGTATATCGCAGATCTTGAGTTATAGCATTTTTTAACGTTTAGAGCGACATTAAGGAGCCCTTCATGCGAGACGAGCTTGTTGATCGCCTTAGCTCGATGTTGAATTTCAATCTAACACAACTAGCTGGACCCAAATGCAACGATCTTAAAGTTAAGAACCCAACCAAGTATGGCTGGGAGCCGCGTAGCCTTCTGGCCCAGATCTTTGACATATATCTGCACCTAGACTGTGATAGGTTCGCTCAGGCTCTGGCCGCCGACGAGCGCTCCTTTGACATAAACATATGCAACGAAGCGGCCTCACGTATCAAGCGCCTGACGCTGCGTTCTGCGGTCGAGGTTGAACGTTTCCGTGCGCTCATCCAGCGTGCGCATGAAATCTATGGTAAGTCGCAGGCATTATATTTGCAAATCGAGACCAATTCTAATGATTCCCCCGTTTTAAACTCAAAGTTGCCAACCAACAGACTGAAGATGAGTGTGCAGATGCGCCCGATGAATTCAAAGATCCGCTCATGGACACACTCATGTCCGATCCCGTTGTGCTGCCGTCGGGCACTGTTATGGATCGCTCTATAATCACAAGGCATTTGCTAAATAGCTGCACCGATCCATTCAATAGACAGCCACTCACCGAGGACATGTTGGTGCCGAATATTGAGCTGAAAGAGCGCATCGATGCCTGGCGCAAGGAGCAGCGCTTCAAGCGTCAAAAGGGTCAGAATAATGGCTAAAATGGCAGCCAGAGTGGATGTTACGAGCGCTGATAAAGTAGATTTAAGTATAAAAATATATTTAATATATAGTTGATATGGAGCTGCTATTTTCGTGACGGTGGAGGCTCCTAAAAAGCAGGGCTTTTCTGAATGCAGATTCACGTTCGATTAGTCGATATGAATCGATAGTGGAATCTAATCTAGTATGGCAAAGGGCTGGAAATGTAGCGGCAACGGAATGACAGACAGACCTGTTCTAGTCAATTGGTCCAAGAACAAATTCTAAGAATACAACCCTGCCATCTGGGAGTTCGGCACAGCCCTGCGAAACCGAAAGTAGTCCTGTGTGTGAGGTTTACAAAATTTGGAATTTAATTGCAATTGAATTTACAATATAAAATTATATGAAGCGTAATTCTAACATGCTATATAAATTATAAATATGTGCAATTTATGTTCAGGGCGACGACTCGCCTCTCACCAAAATGGACACCAGCCAATATAGCACTGGCAGAGGTTCTCGTTATTGGTAGCCTGCTGGATGAGTAGCTCCACCTGCTGTTGCACGGTTACGCTGCTTTGGGTTTGGAAGTCGGTGCCGGTTAGTTTCCGTTTCACTCGCTTGATCACCTTGCTGGCCTTGCTATTGGTGACATCGGCCACATTTGCCACGCCCATCAGGTTGGACGACAGCTGTGCCTCATAGGTTTTGGACTTGGCTACGGGATTGCTGTGCAACAGGGACTCCTCTAAGGAGTTGCTGGGGCTGCCATTGCCGCCAATTTGCATGCCCGAGTTTGCCGGCTCATTTCCCTTTTTGTCCACATCAAGGAGACGCCAATTAAGTAGGGGATCGTAGACGAATGCTTCGAGGACGGCCATAAGGGAGTCCTTATTGCGACGCAGCACCACCATGACACTCTCGCAGGTACGGCGATAGGTGCCCTCGATGCCAGTGACCTCCATGGCCTTGATCAGCATGCGCGTCAATCGGAAGGGGATTTTCTCAGGGAATTTTTCCCGAGTCATGGCCACCTCAAAGCAGTCACCAAAGTCAATGTGCAGGATCTTTCCACTCATGCGATCCAACATCAGGTTGGAGGGGTGACGGTCGCCCAGACCGAGAATGTAGCCAACCATAGACATGACCGCTAGGGAGCGGGTGTAGTTATTGCGACGTTCGAACCAAACCTCCGACGAGGGCGACTTCAGCCAAAGCAGCTTGGCCAGATCATCGCCCTGAGTCTGGCCCAGCGCATACTCGAACACCTCCACCTTTTGCATGAGTGTCAAATGATCGTAGTCGGGTGCAAAGTTGAGCATGGTTCGGTGCTCCTGATTAAGCGGCACCTTCTTTTTGTCCCGGTAATCACGTATCAGCGTGTGTAGCGTATCACAGTGTGGTACCCAGCCAATGAGGCCAGAATTGGTGCTTAACGGTATGACGGCGTAGCGCTGAATGGCTAAATTTCGCCGGAACGTATCAGGGTCGTCGAGCAGTAAGGTGTTGACGAGCGAGAATAGCTGCATCACACGCTCATCCTGTCGCAAATCCTCATGACCTTTCAGCAGATACATGTAGTCCTTGCCATTGGAACCACGTATGCATAATTTGCGTGGTCGCTGCTTCGATGTTATAACCTGAAGATTGGTCTTGATGTGGCTGATCCGTATTAGTTCCTGTCCTGGATTATAGGATCCAGGCACGGCTAGCTCGAGATCTTTGCAGGTCATTAGCTTTGGAGACACGTACGGCAATTCCAGGGAGGTAAGCTGCGGCAGTTGACGTGAAATTTTCTGGAAAACATGATAGTAAATATCCCAGGCACGATCTAGATCCAATAGCACGGATGAGGTCTTGTAGCGTTGCGTCCATTCATAGGCCTCGGTTAGCTCGCGGCCGTATGCCTGCGAGAAGGAGGTCTCCTTCAGAGTCTGGGGGCCACGCTCAAGCATTGCGTGAAGGGGCTCCAGTATTTCAAACATGCCCTTTACATTGCGATCGCTGAAGTAAAGACGGGAGGCTTCTTCCAGGGCTTCGTGCCACTGCTCGTGCCAAAGAATGGCTACACGGATTAGTTCTTCGCTACACATCACCGCCTGCTCCACCAATGTGGGGGAGTGCTTTCGCATCGAGTCGAGTATTTTGAAGGCGGCATTTTTACGTGCTAGCGAGGCGGATTTGGAGGCGACTGTTAGAGGGTAGACCAAGGCCTGAGGATGATTTTTGCCAATATCCATTAGAAGCTGATGTATAAGTTGGCCAACCAGCTTACGATGCGTGTCGATGCGAGCAATTAGTTGAGGGATCACTTGTAGCCATGTGTTAATCTCGATGAGTTTCATGCCCGAAAGTACAGCTTCATAAACCTCAGAGTCGTGGCCATAGTCAAACCATAGTGTTAATAGACGCAGAGTGTCCTGCAGTGAGTTACCCTTAATGAGGCTAATCGACCGGAAGAAGCCCTGAACAGCGGGTACAGCATACTGCTGAATAATGAGGCGATCCTTAGCCGAATATTCCCCATCGCCCACCGGCTTCTTATCGGGTGTTTGTTTCTGGGCCTGCATTACTTTGAAATTCATGTAGGCCCATTTGTGCCAGGCCTTGTACCAGTTCGGATCGTAGCTTGTGGCCTTCTCAAAGCACTCGAGGGCACCCTGCACCGCCTCCGGTTCAAGGATGCCTTGCAGCTTATTTTGCCAGGTGGCGAGACGTAAATAACAGCGTGCTAGCAAGCGATGATCCTCTTGTTTCACTGCCTCCTGCGGTATGTATGATAACTGAGCGCTATAGGTGTTGACAAAGTGACGTAGTTGATCGTACGCCTCCTGAAGGTGGCCCGAGGCGTCCATATATTTTGTATAGGCGTAGGTAACCTGCGGTTGATTGGACGGCAATGGTTCGTTAGGCGCCTGTTTGGGATCCATGCCCAAGAGCATGACTAGAGTTTTGTGTGATAAATGGAGAGAGCCATTTTTGCGACAAAGACTTGCATACTTCAGCCACGTGTGTATGTCTTCATGTGGTTTCACCACCAGCGAATGCACTTGGATTATGCGTCTCCAATCCTCGACCAAACGCTGACCGCCCTGAAGGCGCTTCCACCACATCGATTTCAGAGGCTCTCGTCGATCTGGTATGAGTTTGTATTGAATAACTTCCTCCAGTTCGGCCAACATTTGCACACAGACCATGGCGCCATAGGCGCGCTCATATGATTCGCCTGCCATGGATGTCAGCTCCGTGTCGAGCAGATCGCGGGTCTCATCGATGAGAAACTGGGCCTTTTCAAAATCTTCGTGATGTACTGCGAGTACAGCCCGATAGTAGCTACCATCCTGCGTGTCTACAGGAATGCAGCGTACATACTCTTGCATAGCCTCCCAATCCTCCAGACCCCAGGCGGCCACAGCAGCCCAGGGGCCAGCACGAGCCTTAACCTCTGGAGTGAAGCTCTCCCATTCCTGTTTCGTCACATTACTCAACTCGGACCAGTCGCCAAGCGCCTCCAGACAGCGCATATGACCTAGACGCGCCTCCAGATCGTTGGCATCCGTTGACAAATTGTATTTGTAGTGATGCAGAGCCTGATCCCAGTTATGCAGCTTCTCGTACCAGCGTCCCTGGACGTTTAGCTCATTAGCTGCATTACGATAGGTGGTCAACAGACCTTCGGCGGCCTCACGCTGTTGCAGCTTGTTATTGATCAGTATAAGTGACTCAAAGACTTGAGGATCCTTGCGCAGCAGGAACTCCTCCTCCTTATAGCGCAATGCCTTGGCGTATGCGCGACAAGCCATAGCCCGTGTGCCAAGAAGCTTTGTATCAATCGGTATGGGATCGCGATCGCAGTGCTCCATGAACTCGGCCAAATTAAGAATGGTCTGAGTGATTTCTGGCATATCTGTGACTTGCAGAGCCTGTATTAGGGATTGAGTTAACTCATGCTTATGCTCCGGTGAAAGATCTGTCCAGCAAGAGATAAATGCTGCATTAAATAAGTCGCGCAGCAAGGGATCGTAGTCCTTGGCCAATACGCGGCAGGCACGCAGCGCATGCGAGCGTGATTCTTTAAGTAATCCAATCGACAGACGTTTTAGCCATTCGACCCAATCGTCCTTAGAAACACGACGCGTGACCTGCCAGGATGCTCGCAAATCCTCAGTGTGCACCTTCAAGGATGTTGCTGTGCTGCTCGTGTCTAAGACCATCGGCTCGTTATGTTTACACTTAGCATGCCGCGTAAGGAATTCCCCATCCAGGGCCATGGTTGTATTACTCTGGATTTTGTTAAGCAGCTTCTCATAATTGGAATCCACAATTCGATGCTTGGTTATTATGCGATTCACCATCGGCACAAACACCAAATACTTCTTGCCCAGTTGTATGACCAAAGAACAAAGGGTGGTCATCGCTTGTTCGCGCAGTTCTGGCTCCGAGTCCAGCAGACGTACCAGAGGGTGTATTATACGGGAGGAAAAATCTGTGAAGTCTAGCTGACCTGCTAAGTGATTAATCGTTTCTAAGGCAACCAAAGACACTTGCTGGGGTACGTAGGGTGAGTCGAAAAGCTTTACGATCGGCGGCACAATCAATGGTAGGTAATAGCCGAGAGTACTGCCAAATTTCTGAAGCGCCTGCAGCAGTCGTCTGGTAACCATTCGATCCTTGGACGTATCATGCTGCAGAACTCGTAAAATCTGCGGAATGAGCTGGGCCAGATAATCCCGAAATTCACAGCCCAAGGCCACAGCAATTTGCTCAATTAAGTTAATTAGCGTCGTATGCAGCGGTGTATTGATGGTCCAGAACTCCTTGATGAGCTGAAATATGTCGCTCATGTAGCTGATAATGTGCAGTTTGACGAATCCAACGAGAGTAGCAAGCTGCTGAAACAGGAACTCACGCAAATTATTATCTGCTGTGCGTACATTGTCCAACAGATTGGGCAGCACTTGCGCCAAATACGGTACACACTTAATGCCCAGACTCTGAAAGATGAACGTAACCGCCTGCACGACGCTTGTATGTAAGGTGCTTAGTGTGGGATCGCGTAGAATTCTCATAAGGGCAGCGATGGCTACAGCCGGATAATATTCATCCAATTGGTTGCCCATGTTGACCAACAATTCAGCCGTTGAGATGTCCTGGCTCTCATCGACCTTGCCATCAGAGTAGGCAATCAATACATTATCTTTCTGACTATCAATGAGGCCCTTGTTCATCTTGTGTTTATACGGATCCATAGCGCCCAGTAGGCCCAACACCCGGATCGTCTCACGCCTTATGGAACGCCGCTGTTCGGTCTTCAAGAAGTTTATGAGTATGTCAATTAAGCCTGGATACTGATGGTAGGGCGTAACTACGCGGCCCGTCGCACTGATTAGCTGACCCAATGTCCAGAGTGCAACGCCGCGCTTGTCCGGACTGCCTGCATCGCCCAACATTTCCAGTAGAATCGATAGCAGTTCATCGGCCCACAATTCCATTTCATTGGAACCGCCATTCACCTCTGCCAGATCGCCAATGGTGCGCAGCACATTGAGCACTACACCAGGATTCGATTCTGGCTCGTGCAGCTTCGGTACTAGCGCCTTTAATATGGGGTTCATGTACGAGGAAATCAGCCGGGGCGTGCTAATAACCAAATGGTCGAGCATGCGCGCACTCTGCTCCTTATTTCGACTCATGCCGGAAAACTGTAAGTCTGTCAAAAGCTCGATCAGTGTGGTTCTTAGTTTGGGCATAACATAGGCGGGATTCATAGATGATAATCGTCCAATTGTAACCATGGCTAGCTCACGAATCTCAAATGTTTCGTCATTTAACGTGATAAAAAGTGAATTTAGCGATTCCGGTTGGGCTAGCTTGGCATCAAAGGTTTCGTCAAGGGAGCGTAAAATTCGTATGCGTACATTGCAATCCATATCTGTAATGGCTACTGTGAGCAAACGCTCTATAACATGGGACACCGTATCGCTCAATGTCTTAGAATTCTCCATGCTGTCCGATGATTGCACGGCAAGCTTTAGCAATCGAGTACACGTTTGCACCGCTTCCAAGCGAATTTCTTGCTGCTCATGATTGATGAAGTAGTCGGCACAGCTGAAAAGTAGAGTGAGTAATGAATTGAAGACGGAAAAGTTCTAATAGGAGAGCTTACCGCTGCACAAAGTCCAGCATATTCTGCTCTTCGAAATTAAATGTGCCGAGTGTCTTCAATGCGAGCACAATTGTGGGGCCATCTGCAGTCTGCATCATGAGTGAAGCATCTATGGCAATTTGTAAAGTGGCAGCGTAGGGAATGGTCGCTGGCTTATTCATCAGCACCTGGGACAGCACGCCGATTAGTCCTTCTGTAATCGCCGACTTCAGTTGCGGCACATTCTCGGCCAATTCACGCAGACAGACAGTTAAGGCTGGCGACAAACCAGTGCTAAACATCTGCTCTAATATATCCTGAACATCTTCCGCAATATCCGATTTGACTGCGTGAGCCAACAGCGTTATGGAAGCAAAGACAGCTGGATCAACGACAGTCTTGCGCTTGCTTGCTAAATCCTTGGCAGGAAGTGCTTGTTTGAGGATGCTCATTATTGGTTTCAGATGTGGTTCAATGTCGCGTTCAACTGCCACGGCCAGGTAGCCAATCGTGATGTAGGCCATCGTACGATCCTTTTCCTTGCCGCGCAATATGCTCATAAGGTGGGCTACACAGATATTTAGGTATTTGCTGACGAATACTGAGCGATTAAAAGCGGCCAGCCGCGGCATAATTTGAAGCAAGGCCTGCTGTACATAAGGCGACTTGGAGAACCGCTGCTCCAGGACATTGTCACAAATTGTAGTGTAGTGCTCTGTCAATATTTCATGCGCGTATGCAGATTCCAATACACTAAGCTGAAGTGAGAGAGAAGGGAAATTGTTAGAACATTTCTAATTAGATAAAGTATATTAACTGATGCCTGTTCTGATTATCTCTTCTAGCTCTTTACTTACGCTGGAAAACTTGTTGGGTATTCCATGAGGCTGCTCACTTTCCATATGCACCTGGCTACTGCCTAGCTTGTCGATAAAAGGCACTTTGAGTCGTGGTACAATTGTGTTCAACTGGCTGCTTGCATTTGCTGAGCTGGTCGCCTCTAGGATCTTATTATGATGAGTCTTTGGAAAGAGTGTCTTCAATGTTGTATAGCGACGTTCCCAAACTGCATTCGCACAGCGAAAGAGCTCGTTAAAAACAATGAGACCACCGTGTATGCGATCATCACGAGTCATTCCCTTTTGTTCCTTGCCTGTTCCAAGGTCCACACTGAAGCTATTACTGGCTTCGTCATAGCACTTTTTATACCATTGAGGCTCACTCGATTGCTTCGTGTTCTCCCGCTGGGCTGTTACAATTAGGGCCGCTCGCAGAGCTTCGCCTGCCGATTCACGTATGGCAGGCTTTGGATCAAAGATCGCATTGAAGATGTGCTCGAAAAAAGCTAAGATTTGCTGATAGAAATATGTAGGCAATGCCATTGCCAGTTCTCGAAGTATAAAAACGGCGGCGTGGCGACGATACTATAAGTAGATTGGGCAATACATTAGTTATATAAATATTATTGATTAATTATTTTAACACTTGCCTCCTGTCTCTCCCCACTCAACATTTCAAAGGCGTGTTTAATATCAAAATCAAACGATTCGACACCCTTTGACCCCGGTAAGTTCGCCAGTTTTACCAATGAGCGCGCTGCAATTTCCATAACGGAGACATCATTGATGAGCAGTAGATCACGCAAGCGATTCAAATATGGCGATATGCCCTTAGTGGCCTTCAACGCATCGACACTAATCAGGCACTCTGTGAAAAAGGGTATATAAAAAACGTCTTTATTTAACTATAAATATATACTTACTCATGGCTAGGGCGCCCCCTTTTTTCTCATTAATGTCGGTTGCGTTGACCATATTAAATATGTGATGGTCGAAGTCATCGAAAAATTGGACCAGTTCCTCTTGCGACATTTCCCGCACCTCTGTTTTGACAAACAGGAACAAGTCTTGCGCTGCCTTGTTTTGCACATTGCGATTCCGGGACTTGAGCCCGTTGACGAACTGCTGCACCACTGACGACGTAGACATTGTGTCTAGTCAGTAGAATACTCAGGGTTTTTTAAAATCCGACAACTAATGTGATGTCAGGTGCATCTAGTTTCACACATTGAGGTTATGAGCACCCAGACAATTTATATAGTTCGCGTTCGCTCACATAGTTGATGCTCAACTAAAGCCAAGTTTTTACCAATAATGGTAGCGTTATAACATATATAAACAAATATGTTTTGTTTAACGCAAGTCCGTGGAAAAACAAAATTCAAAAACAGTGGAGTGGGCTGCTACTAATTTGCAAAGCTAGTTACCACAATGTATATACTTATATACAATTGGTGCTTTGAGTCTGTATTAATGCTTAATAGTATACTTAAAGCTTAGTTTGTTAGCTCAAGCTCGGTTGTAAACAATTTACACCGCTTTAGTTTGTCGTATTAATTCTAGAGATGAACAATATTTACTTATGCATTGGGGGTGTGAGACAATTGATATATTTGCCTTCGATATTCGATACATGCAGCTGCTAGTGCACTTGAAAACCGCGTTCTTACTGTCCGGCAAGGCCTAATAATGTTGCCACTGTGTGTCCTCACTTCCTCAGATTGCAGAGAGTTTTCATAAGAGCAACAAACACGAGTAAAACTGTTTTCTACAAATAAAAAGTAATTATTTGTTGTCAAAAATCAAGCTATTGTACACATAAGGTCATTGCCAGTGTAAATGCATTATGAAAATTACAATATTCAAAGCAACAAAATGCCATTAAAAATGCAAAATGTGGTCGCAAGCATGAAAATTGTGGGTGAAAAATCGATGCTGCCTGCTGTTGCGGGGGTGTGCGGTTTTTCACTGGGGGCTGGCAAACGTACACCAGCGCCATCTAGTTTTTTCTCACCCTCAATCTCCGTGTACAAAAATGTGTTGTTTATAAAAAAAACACCTTTCTATATATGTATTTTATTTGATCTTTGTCTAATGTTTAGCGAACAAATTTGAGACTAAAGTTGTACGAAGCACACACCTCAACCATGTCTGACCTGAGGAAAATTAGAGACGAGGATCGTGAATCTGTATATGGCCGTGTATATGCTGTATCGGGCCCAGGTAAGACGTCACCATTGTCCTTCACTTGCTGACCTTAGATTAAAATCTTCGCCATTTTACAGTCGTTACGGCGGAGTGCATGTCGGGAGCAGCTATGTACGAGTTGGTGCGCGTCGGCTACTATGAGCTGGTAGGCGAGATTATTCGCCTGGAAGGTGATATGGCCACCATCCAAGTGTATGAGGAAACATCAGGTGTGACAGTTGGCGATCCTGTGCTGCGAACTGGCAAGCCACTGTCTGTAGAATTGGGACCCGGCATTATGGGCAGCATATTCGACGGTATTCAGCGTCCGCTGAAGGACATTGGTGTGATGACCAGCTCCATTTACATACCAAAGGGTGTGAATACGCCAGCGCTGTCGCGTTCAGAAATGTGGGAATTTAATCCGCTAAATGTGCGCGTCGGTTCTCATATCACTGGTGGCGACCTATACGGCGTGGTGCACGAGAATACACTTGTCAAGCAGCGCATGCTCGTTGCTCCACGCGCCAAGGGCACAGTGCGTTATATTGCGCCAGCTGGCAACTATAATCTGGAGGATGTTGTGCTGGAGACAGAGTTCGATGGCGAAATCACCAAGCACACGATGTTGCAAGTGTGGCCCGTGCGTCAACCACGACCATGCACAGAAAAATTGCCTGCCAATCATCCGCTCTTTACTGGACAGCGTGTGCTGGACTCCCTGTTTCCTTGCGTTCAAGGTGGTACCACTGCCATTCCTGGTGCTTTCGGTTGCGGCAAGACTGTCATCTCACAGGTAAGTTAGTCATGGGTTGTGGGGGTTAGCGGTGCACTAAAATTACAGCTCATTTTTTATATGACAGGCTCTATCTAAGTACTCCAATTCTGATGTCATTGTCTACGTGGGTTGCGGCGAACGTGGCAATGAAATGTCTGAGGTATTGCGTGACTTCCCGGAACTAACATGCGAAATCGACGGTGTGACTGAATCAATCATGAAGCGCACAGCTCTTGTGGCAAATACCTCCAACATGCCTGTTGCCGCTCGAGAGGCTTCCATTTATACGGGCATTACGCTCTCGGAGTACTTCCGTGATATGGGCTATAACGTGGCCATGATGGCGGACTCAACATCGCGTTGGGCCGAAGCCTTGCGTGAAATTTCAGGTCGTCTCGCTGAGATGCCTGCCGATTCTGGCTATCCTGCCTATTTGGGAGCCCGTTTGGCTACTTTCTATGAGCGCGCTGGACGCGTCAAGTGCTTGGGAAATCCCGAACGAGAAGGATCTGTTTCGATTGTCGGTGCTGTATCACCACCTGGTGGTGATTTCTCCGATCCTGTCACTTCCGCTACCCTTGGTATTGTGCAAGTGTTCTGGGGCTTGGACAAGAAGCTGGCACAACGTAAACATTTCCCTTCCATCAACTGGTTAATCTCTTATTCGAAATACATGCGTGCTCTGGATGAATACTATGATAAGAACTTCCCTGAGTTTGTGCCACTACGCACAAAGGTCAAGGAGATTCTGCAAGAGGAGGAAGACCTGTCGGAAATTGTGCAGCTGGTGGGCAAAGCATCTCTAGCCGAAACCGACAAGGTTACACTGGAAGTGGCGAAACTGCTGAAGGATGATTTCTTGCAACAGAACTCTTACTCTCCATACGATCGCGTTTGTCCTTTCTACAAGACGGTCGGCATGCTGCGAAATATACTGGCCTTCTACGAGATGGCGCGCCATGCTGTCGAGTCTACTGCTCAGTCGGACAATAAGATTACATGGAACACCATACGCGAGGCAATGGGTAACATAATGTACCAGTTGTCATCCATGAAATTCAAGGTAGGTGCAGTGGAATTAGTTAAATTAAGTCGACTAATGTTTGTCCCCTTTGCAGGATCCAGTCAAAGATGGTGAGCAAAAGATTAAGGCGGACTTCGACCAACTGCATGAGGATATACAACAGGCGTTCCGAAATCTGGAGGACTAAGCAGCCTTAACCCAATATATACTTGAACAAACATAAAAAACAAACCAAACGAAATAAGCAACCAAAGTTAGGTTATTATTCGAATTCCCTATTCAATCTAGTCATATATACATTATGGATAATAAGATATTTCAAATCGATTTTATTTTTAAGTTTAACAGTTTAGCTTGATTAAAAGTCAGGCACCTTTAGATTTGCACTTCAACTTACAAAAGAATAGAAGGACGAGAAGATAGGAAATGAAAAACCAAAGCACGAAAACCCAAATGAATGTTAGGAAAGACGAACAATAATTAGTCGGTAGCGCAAAAACATCAAGTTGTCCACTTAAACCAGCCATACTTATGTCTAAATATCTCTGTTGATATACATATATACATATTATGTACTTATAAACTCGTGTGCAACTATTTGTATTTTTAGTAAAATTCATATAAAATTATATCTTTTTATTCTTTGCGTAACGACGACGAGTCTTTGAAATTAACAATTGTTTCATGTGTTTGCCATGCGTGTTTAAAGTTTAAAAATAATATACATATATATTATATATAAACCTATTATACGAACGCAATAACTACGTAGCCCAATGCATGTGTACCTATTTACCAAACAACAAATGTCAAAATATAGCGTGTTTGCAAATGGAGCTATGATATTTAAAATAAAAATGTATTATGAATGTTAACAATATCCAAGATGCAGTTCTGAATTTAAAAAAAGGAGAATGTTTTCAATTCGAATTTTTTTTATGTGTGTTACCTCAGAATTTTCGATGGGTGAACCGATTTCATTTTTCATTTCATTTTTTTTTTAAAGCTGGTGCTTCCCATTTCAGATTGGTATAATTGGCATCCTTGAGAAAACTACCTTCTACTTACCTCATTTGGTTCAAATAGCTGAAAATTATATCGCTTTCAACGAGAGCAAGGCAATACTACTCGGATCATTTAATCAAGGTGATTTACGATTTAATTTGTCTCGAGGTAAGCAATGCAATGCGATAGCGGCTGTTGCTTTTGCAGCATTCATTGTGTTAGATCCGAATTTTATACGACTCAACAATTTGAAAGTTTCACTTTGCGCGCTATACGCGTAGTTCAACACTGGCGAACAGCTGTTTCTCCAGTGACTGTCAATGTTGAAGAAAGAAGAAGAAGAACAACAGCGGTTGTCAGTGACGTGTGAGAATCTTTCCGTATTTTATTGAAATTATCGTGTATTTAATAAGTTTCCATTTATAAGTGTGCATAAAATATTTAATATGTCACAGTTTGGTGGTCCAAATGATTTCTACACCACCGGGCCGGCGGATGCCAGCTATAATTTTGATGTGCCGGAATTCGGGCAGGAACTGTAAGTGTGAATGTCTGCTTATCTGTGAAATTCTATTAAATGTATGCTGTTGTGTTTATGTTACTATTAAACACCTTTCCCGCACCATCCACGAGATGGGTTTTGGTGGACATGTTCCATGTTGATAATTATGTTTTAATGCTGTTGTTTTGAATATCTGTAGCAATTTTCAGAGCTTTGATAACACCCAAAGCTCTGTGCCGCCTAATTACGATCCCCCCTACAACAATCCCGGGCAAAATCAAGGCCTGAGCAGCTTCTATGATCCGACGGCCTACACAGAGAACACGTATGCACAGGACAAGAGTTACAAGCAGGGCGGAGATGGAGCGGGCAATGAGTTCGATGATGAGCCACCACTGCTGGAAGGTATGTGGAGTACACTACCAGCTTATATCATATATATTTCAACAAATTACATTTTTATTGCAGAGCTGGGCATTAATCCAAATCACATTTTCCAAAAGGTGAGTGGAGCTGTACTTGGCATCCATTAAATAAGCATTCAACGCACTATGATGGTCTTTCCTACTCTACTCTGCATTTAATCAGGCGCTCTCTACTTTCAACAGGGTTCTCGCCATTGTCTCTGTTCGCCTTCATCTGGCCCTGCACCTTCAAAACTTTTAACTAGACATCTTGAAGGAAATTGCATATTTTATGCGCAGCTCGAAGCCTCGCAGCCTCAGTCTCAGTCCCAGTCCCAGCCCCGCGGCGTTTTTCCCCCTTGAGGTTGCTGCCGCTGATGTTTCTGTAGTTGGTTCTTGGAGGCCGCAGTTGCCCACTTTGTTTGCATGCGCAATTACTACCAACTCCTCTTATTCATAATTCTTATTGTTCGCCGTTTGCTTTGTTTTGCCTTTTTCTAATTTGTGTGCATCATGCCACTTTAAGCCCGGCCCGCTGCTTTTGGCTAGAATAGTGGAAAAGAAAGAGGAAGACAGAGACGTGAAGTTTCCACGTTGTAGAGTTGTTGTTGGCCGCTTTTGAATTTAATTGAAATTTAAATGTTTTTACATTTCGCTTTGGTATTTATTGCCAGCCTTTTACAAGAAAGAATTCACTTGTGATTGTTGTTGCTGTGGCTGTTGCTGTTGCTGCAGCTGCTATTCTGCTTTTACTCGTTCGGTGTGATGAGCAGAGTTTCGCATTGTTGTTGCTGTTGTTGTTGTTACTATTACTGTCGCACTTGTTGTTTTGTCGTTAATGAAGACATATTTTTTTCATTGCTAGTTTGTCGTAGTTGTTGCTGCCATAGCTCCCGTTGCCAGTTGCATTTGTAGTCGCTACTGCTGCCCGTTGGCCGCTGCTCTTCGAGCGGCGCATTGTTGTGTTTTAAATAAATAAAACAACTTTTGTGTTTTTAATTAAACTTTTTCTCTCGCTTTCCGTGGGTTTATTTTCATTTTGTTGTTGCTGTAACTTTTTCTCGCATTTTGTGAAAATTTGCGTAATTTTTTTATGGAATTTATTACGTTTGTGTTAATTGAAAAATGAAAATGGTAATGAGTAAATGGCATCATAAAGATTGCGTGGAAAGGAAAGGAGAGGGGAGGCGGGTCGAGCCGAGCCGAGCCGAAATGAAATAAAATGCTAATTAAATTCTGCAGCGCACGCAATAAACGCCTCAAAGTATGCATTGACTAGTGTAGTTTTCAGTCCGTCCTAAATAAAAGCATGGCCACCTAGATTTGTTACACACACACACACTCTCATGCATAGGCGCACACCCATGGCGCAGGCTACACTGTCATGCGTCAAACACGTTGACAGGCGTGCTGCTCGCTTGGTCAGCAATATCATTTATCATCAATTTCCATTTTTCAAAATTTCATAGCTCCACGACCGCCGCCAGCACAACACAGCAGCAGTAGCAACAACAACAACAACAAAGACCACCGAAAAAGGGCGCCAAACGCAAAGCAAATAGAACAAATGCCCAAAAAACAAAAGGCTTCACCGCACAGTGGTTCTCATTCATATACAAGATTCTCACACAATTTCAAAATTAAATTTGTGCATTGTTTGCAAGTAATTTACGAAAACATTGCTTTTAAAAGTAAAGTCATACGCTCTTAAGTATTTGATAGCCTTTTTCGAGATCTTTAACAATATGTATATCTTTTTTTTAGCATGCGGTTTGAAAGAGAAATGTTACTTTTTTTTTTTATTTTCTTAAGTGGCGGAATCGGCCTTGAGATTTGGCCATTACACGACAATTTGACATTTTTATATATCAGACCTCTTCTACAGAATTTTAACACAGCGAGTCATTCATTTAGCAACGAACGCACATTGTGAGGAACAGGAATTGTCAGCTCGTTTAGCAGAAATGTTACTAATATTGAAATAAAATAATAAATTATATATACTTGATTGCTTTTATGCCTTAATAGATATTCTTATTGGTCAATTGATTCGCAGTAAACTGAATTCATTATTTTCATATTGAAACAACAATACTTGTTTATTAATGTTATTATTTATAAGCTTCTTATATGTGGAGTGTGTTTAGAATTATTATTAGTGCTGCTGGCCTAGTAAATGCAATAAAAAATCCATTATTGGAGTAATTTACAGGGTACACCAAAATTCTTGAAAAAAAATTAAAAAAATCGAAAAAATTTTTTCTGTTTATCTTATCGCCGCGAAATTTCACAGTATCAGCCACGAGACTATTTTAAATATTGCCACAAAATTTGATTAAAATCAATTCAGCGATCAGACATACTTCCATTTTTATACATATATTATGATAACTTTGAAAAGTTTTAAACATGGTTCAAAGATAGTAAAAATTACGCGCACAATTTGTAGGAAATATATGACTTTTATGATTAATTATTCCAACTATTTTCGCTTCCTTCTAAAACTTGGCACTCATACTATATGTTTTTAAAACATTTACCTATTCTTCAGTAAAACGCACGTTAAATATTTGTCTCTGACCAAAATCAATGAAAAAATATTCCTTTGAAATTGTATCAAATAATACTTAGCTTTTTAAATATGTTTCAATTAATGTGAAATATTGGAATCCGTTTTCTGAAACACTATTGTTTCTTATTCTTCACTCATATTTCTATGGATTTTGTATGTTTTCTTACCACTGTGATATTTGACCTCCCTAGGCTTCAGGCTCTAGCTCTTCCCAGTGTGTGTGTGCGTGTGTACAAAATGAATTGTGTTGTGTTGTACTGCATGCTGTGAATGATGATGTGCGTCCTGCTATGCCATGACCATGCTTTACATCCTTTGCCAATTGCCAATCCTTCATTTCAACGCTGCCTCCACGCAATGCCAAACAAGTTGTAATTTTAATCGCCATCCCTGCCCATTCTTATGCCTTTCTCTTCCATTTCAGACACTTGCTGTGCTGAATCCTTTGCGCGGCACTGAGCAACAAATTCTACAGGACACGGACATGGCCGGACCGCTGGTATTTTGCCTCGCACTTGGCGGTTTCCTCCTGCTGGTAATTGCTCCTTTATTGTTTTTGTTTCAGGCCTAGACCGGTTACATGTGTGCTTCGCTTTTATTTTATTTTCATTGCAGAGTGGAAAAGTAACCTTCTCCTACATCTATGGCATTGGCGTAATGGGCTGCATTTTCTTCTATTGTCTGCTCTCGCTGATGGTCACACGCGCTCAGGTTACCTTCGGTGCAGTGGCCTCGGTGCTCGGCTACTGTCTGCTGCCAATGGTTGTCCTTTCAGGCATCAACATTTTAATCACCATTCAGTAAGTAATTGTTTACACAATCCGCCTGACCATCCCGCCATCCCTTCGCCAATTGAAAACAATAACGGGCACATTGTCTCTGGCCTCCGCTGCTACTTGCCTTCCCTTCCCGTCTGTTCCCACCGCCGTTGTGCTCTCATATTTATGTTTTTAATTAGAAAGTTGTCAGTGAATTTGCAGTCACTTCGTTTGTCAGCCATTGTTGTTTGGCTTGCCAATGGCTTGCAATTGGAAAACTTTGCCTCGGACAGCTGTTGACTTCTGGCGCCTAAGCGGTCCCAGCTGCAGGGCAGCACGTTTCAATTGATTGGCTTAAGCGCTGGCCGCCACAAACAGCGAAGACGGAAGCCTCATCGCTTTAACCCATTAACAATTGCATTGATTTGCAGGACATTACGATATGTTGTCTTTAGTATAGCAACTAATGCCCTGAACTGGTTTCAGGTTGCAATATTGTGGGAATATTTCACCTTTTGTAAACCTTGTAATTGGATAAGCAGCATCTGATAGAAGTATTATGGTTCTTCTGATTTGATACTCTAAAATTTCCAATCAACTTTTTGGAAGTGTAATAGATTTTTGTGTAAAAGGTTTCTATCGCCCTAAACATAGAATGTCTTTGATTTAGCTCTGCATTGTCTTTTTACCTTACCTTTTAGACAAATAAGGGTAAAAAGTTACCAAAATATTGGCGCAAAATGGCAAAAGAGTATGCTAAAAAGTTGGGCTGAAGGCGTGCCACACCCTTGAAATCCTAACAGCTAGAGACAACAAACTTATGCATTCACATTGTTATGCTGCATATTAGTACTATTTTATGTCTTGCATTTATTATTTATTTGATTCTTTTTAAAATACCTCACTGCATTCTGAATCGCTTTACTGCATCATATAGCCAGCTTGTTAGACAGCCGTGAATATTTAAAATTGTATTGAGCACTCAATTGATTCGCTGAATAGTCAAATTAGAGGGGAGTAGATGAGCCTGCTTATTTTATGATATCATACATGGATCCTAATGGGTTAATCAAGCCGCAATTCAGTTTCGTTTGGCCCCGTCTCTTTGCTTTGCTCCATGGTTTGGTGTGGTATTTTTTTTTCCCCCTCTGCTATCACGCGCTTTCACACAATTTAGGTTTTTAATTTTGTTGCAGTTCGGGGCGTTGGCGAGAGCGAGCGCATAAAAAGCGCCAACTTAATTTTCGTTTTAGTGCACTCTGGGGCTATGGAGACGGACCGAGCAAGGCCAAGCCAGGCCAGGCCAGGCGAGGCGAGGCCAGACCAGACCAAACGGACGAGTGTGCGGGTCGCGCATAATTGCCGGCACAGTCGGACAACCAGCATGGCCAACACTTTAGAGTTTTTACCAAAAAATATAACCAAAACGCAACTATGCGCCGTTTAATTTGCGCCATCCACAGTGGAACAGAGAGATAGTGAAGAGAGCACCACTACTAGCTCCAGCACGCCAGTACCTATAATAGTGCCAGCAACAACAGCAACAACAACAACAATAATGCCACCAACATCACCAAGCGTCGGCGCCAATGTCTGTCCATTCGCATCAGCGCCACGTATTTTCCTTTTCAAATATGTGTCCAGCACTTGTTTGCCGGTCTGCTTCGTTTTTCTTTCATTTTTTCTACATTTTTGTGGCGTTTGTTGTTTTTTTTTATGAGCCAGCGACCGCCAGCACGCAAATGCTGCGTGCGTTCAGCTTCGAATACGCCCCCTCAACACGCCCTCTAATACACTCAGCAAAAAGTGTGGTCAGAAGTTAGTTAGATTATGCCGACTGTGTTATTAATCTTACTGAGGCTTAAAGCGATTTTTAATTAGTAATCTCCCCTCTAACCTTTGTAGTTTTCTCAGTTCAATCAGTATTCAGCGAGTATCTTGAATACATTTTTATAAGCTCTATCGGACCATATTTTACAAATCTGAAACTTTTGCTCTGATCTTTCAAACTATTTTAAACATTTTTTTTTATCTTTTGTTTTTTTCGGTTCAATTTAATTTGGATATTATCTTCTATCTAGCTGCCATCTTTCTGCTGTTAAATATTATTTAGTATTTAAGTTTTCTTCAAATTAGATTTCACCTGATGTTAAATCGGCTTTTGAACTTTCTGCATTTCCTATTGAGTCGACCTTTCCACAACCGTCTAAATCTTCATCATTTGTGTCTTCTTTTCAATCGTCTATTGAAATTAGATATTTTTTTAATCTTATTTTTATAAGCTCTATCGGACTTCATTTTACAAATCTGAAACTTTTGCTAATCCTTTTCTTGATCAGCATCTTACATTTATCCGTCCATCCATTTATCCATCTTTCGAGTGTCCTCCTATACTTTCTGCTGTTAAATATTATTTAGTATTTAGGTTTTCTTGAAATTTGCTTTCACCTGATGTCATTTCCTGTTTGCATTTCCTTTTGAGTCGACGTTTCCATAAACTTCTAATTCTTCATCATCTGCGTCTTCTTTTCAATCGTCTATTGAAACGTTCTATTATGAATTTTTTTATGGGTATTTCTTTGTGAATATTAAATGGTATTGTTAGTGTTAAATAATTTTGTATTCTCAATTTTTTTTTTTTTTTTTTTGCCAATTTTTAAGATATATTTTGTATCTGCTTTAAGAATTTCTAATTTATTCTCTAACTCTGCAACTTCTTTCAGAAGCTTTGGAATCTTGTTTAGAATCGATAGTTGGCCTTTATTTATTATGATTTAGATCAGATGCTTGATTGTTCCTGAAACTATAGCGCTATCATTTTCTGAGTGTATGTATGTTTGTACGCTTGCCAGCCGTCATAATTTCTGTTGGCGTTGGCACGAAAAACAACTATTGCCCGAGCTTACTCGACACCAGCAGCGTTTTGTGCACGCCTCATACCAATAGCCCCTCCACTCCCCTCCCTTCCCGGCACTCCCTTGCCATCACTGTCCTTTTTTTCACACTACTGGCAACTGGCAGTGCAATTGCCATTTGGTTGGTGTTTGCTCGCATTTTTTATTTGTTGGTTTTAAGCGCCTGCACTTTGTCTGACTGCCCGCCTGTGTGTGTGCTAGAGGTGTGTGTGTTAGTGTTGGTGGGTGTGCATTGGTGTTGATGTTCATATACTCGCCAGGCAAGTTTACAGTAAATATTTTTGCGATTTTTTAGTCGGACTTTTTAATTGAGTTTGTTTGGTGATGCAAAAGTGCGCAAAAATTACACAAGCAGCTGGCACAGTGGAGCGGGCGACGCGGTAGAGGGCACTATATCCCGGTTGTATCGCGTGAGTTGTGTGGAGGGGGGTGGGGGGTTAGATTGTTTTGATTGGTTTTAGGCAATCGGCGCGAATTGAAACCTTTTCGGTCTGCCAGAAATCACTTGGCACAATCAACAGCAAGTACAAGCAGAGCGTTTAGCGACTAGATTGGGAGACAGTCGACCGTGCATTGGATGGGGAGATAAAATGGAAAATAGATAGCCAAAAATTGTAGAAGAGAGCACTGTAAGCTTTACAGGAGAATTTTATTCCAAATATAGGGCTCATGCCAGTAAAGAGGCGGCTACAATAAACTAGAGGGGCTGTGCTTTAAACACGTCGAGAAGCATGGATGAGGGCTCCAAACATTTCAAACAATATATGTATGAGAAGCGCGAAAGCGGACTAAAGCCGTATTTTATTTTACAAATTCAATTTAAACAAAAATTGCATCAGCTTGGGTTAAGTGTTGCGTATGAGAAGCGCAGAGGAGGGCTTTCTTTTTAAATACAAATTAGCTTAAAGAACTAATTTCGTAATTGATAAAAGATAAAGCACTGTTGATGTCCTGAAATATTAACAAAAAGATTATATTGTTTAGCAAAAGCAATGCATTTCTGCATTTCAATGCAATTCTTTATTATTATTATAATTTTATTATTATTTTATTGCTATTACAATTTTATTATTATTATATTATTAATGAATTATTATCATTCTTTTATTATTTTTTATTTTATTATTATCATTTTATTATTAAATCAAGCTGTTGATACAAATTGTTACAATGTTTATATAACAAAGAAGATGTTTTCTAATATAACATTACAATTTAAACATAATAGCCATGACTATACAATAACGCCTTAGACAAGTTGGAGAAATTTTATTCGCCATTATGGCTGGAGATGCCCCGATCCACAGCCAAATGTTTTCAGAATCGTTCAGAAACCAAACAAAGAGTAGTGAGTAGAGGAGAAAACTAAATTCTAATGAAGAGCTAATTAAAATAATTAAGAAAAAACGGAGATAAATGAAAATCTCCAACTCGGTGGCTGGTTCTTCAAGATAGAAATATACATACAAAGTATATATCTAATTAATAAAATAATTAAGAAAAAAAAAAACAGGCTGGGGGTTCTTCAAAGTATATACCTAATTAAATTTTTAAGAAAAAGAAACAGGTTGGGGATTTTTCAAGATAGAAACATACACACAAAGTATATACCTAATTAAATAATTAAGAAAAAAAAAACAGGTTGGGGGTTTTTTAAGATAGAAATATACACACAAAGTATATACTCAATTAAAAATTAAAAAAAAAAAACAGTTTGGGGGTTCTTCCAGATAGATATGTACATACATACAAAGTATATACCTAGAACGAATAATGTATTGACTTTCAACATTAATTAGAAGTCGATGTATATAAGCGAATCATTTAGGCAGCCGGATAAGGGCATATATTCGATTACTCGTACGATGTTAGGCAGAAACAGGCGTCAATGAATGTCGAAATGAATTTAAATGCAGGATATTTGTGTTGCAGATTTCATCGCCAATGCTCTTCCATGTGCGTTGCAATCAGACTATAGTAGTATGAGACTAATGACAGATGCCTCGAGCGCATTATCAATACTATAGTATGATGGGAATGTGAAATGAGAAGCGGAGTGTCAGTCAGAAATAATACTCTGCTTCTTCTTTCTGCCTGCCTGCCTGCCTGCCTGCCTGTCTGTTTCCCTGAACTGAACACTAGTACTATATGCACATTTCATCCACATTTTGTTTGCTCGTCCTTCCAACAGGCTGCCTTTGTTTTCCCTGCTCATCCACATTTGCACATTCCTTGTTTTGTTTTAACCATTTTTTTGTTGTTGCATAAACAAAGTACACTTATCAACATGCGCTTCGTTCATGCATATGAATTTTTTATTGATTTTGCTCTACTCTCGTCTCTCCCTTCTCTCCCTCTCTCTCTCTCTGTCTCTGTGTGCCTCCGGGCGCTTTGCAGGGGCACACTCGGCCTAATTGTGAGCGGCATCTCCATATTGTGGTGCGCCATATCGGCATCGAAACTATTCGCCACAGCGTTCTCCATGGACCATCAACAGCTGCTGATTGCCTATCCGTGTGCCGTACTCTATGGAGGATTTGCGTTGATTACCATTTACTAGGCCGACCGACCAGCCGGACAGCTGCCCAGCCGGACAGCCGGCCAACCGACCACGCCTGCCACCGTTGTGTGCAGCAGCGTGTGCGCTTTTAATTGTAACAATCGGCAGAGTACACGCAATGCATAAATGTTAAAATATATATATGTATATACAACACAGACATACCTACAAGTATATATTTGGCAATTGTTCGGCGCATTAAGAAAATAAACGCGACTCGTACGAATTTGTTTTTACTTTTTATTTTATAATGCGCGCGCTTAATAAATTTTATTGAAAAAATTTTAACAAATTGAAATTGGTTTTTACACGTATTCAGCGCTATACTAGTACAAGTATATAGGTGGGAGGGGCGAATGGGGGCGCAGCTCTTATTTCCGCAAAGCACTAGCATATTGGAATTTCACACGTTTTATGCGGCCGTTTCCGTGTCCGTCGTTTCCGTCGGCACCGCATAGTTTTTCTTTTTTTTTTTTTTTGGCTTCATGCACAATCAACGAGAATGGGACTGCAAGCTGGGGTTTTTAAATCCTTTCATGTGCAAGGGGCATTGTAAAATATTCGTGCTGTTTGTAACGCTAACAATAAAGAACGCGCAGTTTGAACAACGCTTTGTTTTACCAATCAAAAGGTCAGTTCTGTATAATGACCTTTGTGCTTTGTTGTTACAAAAAACATAGACAAGAAGAGTGGCGAGCGTTTTACATCAGCACTGGATTAAATGGAACATTTTTCAAGTAACTTTTAAAGTCTGGTTAAGTCCATAGTTTGTGTGGGTCATGTGGAATGATACCACAGAGAGTATATCTATATCTTGCTGAGGTGTGGGACACAATAAAAAAAGTCTGTTATTTCCGTAAAATATTATATTTTTTCTAAATTTTCAGCTTGCGACTCAATAAAACGTTTTGCACGGTCAAGAAGCATAAAAAACCAGTGTTCTAAACTGTCGACTGACATGTCCTTCAGAATGGTGGCACAAGTCGCTTAAATGGCTTCGACGTCCTCATAGCGCTCTTATTTCATGAGCAAATGCAATTTTCCAATAAGGTAGTAATCATAAAAAGCCACATCATGCAAATATGGGTAAAAGTTGATACACAGTTTTAAAAAAACAGTCCCAAGTATAATAAAATAATACGTTAAATATTATGAACCAAATGCTTCAAACACACTTTACTTTACGGTTTCGCCAGTTGGAACGAATTCCCGGTGAATAATTAATTCTCTTCGAATCATAGAAACAAATCAACAGCTTTTGCCACTTTTGACATCTCTGAAGGACTTTATTTTGGAGATGGCTCATCTAGCTTCTGGGCAAGCTAAGCAAAGTAATCTAAAGGTGCTTTTTTCAGGACAATCTAATAGAAAGGTAAATATGATTAAATTTTAAATATTTTTATATTAAGAAAATTTTCAGTTTGATTTTTTTTTATTTTAAAAAGGAATCAGCATTTAAAATAAGCAACATTTTCATAAGCTAAGAGATTATTTCCAAAAAAGAGGGTATTGGATTGCGAAATAAATAAACTTGTGATAAAAAAGGTGGAAGCATTTACTTCATTTGAATATAATTTTATGAGTGTTATTTTTAATCAATTTTATAAATGCTATCAAAATAAAATAAATTACTTCCAAGAATAATATACTTGTATAAACATAGTTTCATTGAAGTTTTAAAAATAAGACACAGGTATTAAATTGATTTGATGTAATGAAAAGCTCTTAAGCTCCATAAATATATTATATAGTATTCTTTCTAAATTGAAAACTATTTAGCTATGCTTTAAATATATATGTTTATGCAATTAAAACCTGGGCTTGTTAGTAGAAAATCTGGATGTGCTCGTTAGTTTTTAATTTTTTATTATTATTATTTTTTTTAAATATAGCCAAACCATGAACGTATATACTTGTATATACTCGTAAATTATGAAAGTTAAAAGTGGTTAGCATAATTTCCTAGGGGTTGTGTAAGTTCTATACGAGTATAATGTTGCAGGGTTGCAGGCATAAACAAATTTTATATCATATATTTATGTAAAAAGGTTAAATAAGCCGCATGAGTCGCATTGGATTATTTAAAATAATGAAATGATTTCAATATGCTTAGAAGAAGCTGCCCTTTGTGGAAGACCAGAGTGGAAAGTGAAAAAGGCATGGACTTAGTTTGAAATACAAATCAATACAACTTATTAGCTTTAAATAAAAAAGGTAGCTAAGCAAAGAATGGAGTTACAAATAAATATATTAAACCAAAAATTAATTACACTTTAAAGTCGTTTATATTAAGTTTAAATTTGGTTTATGGTATGAACTATAAAATGTTATATACTTATTATGAAGAAGTAGTTGCCGATAAAAAACTGCAAGTAATTTTTAAAACATTCTGAAAGGCTAATGAAGAGCGCCATGCGGCCGATACAAAATAGCTGTCCATAGCTTTTCAGATCTGTTTTAGCATATATAAATATTTGCTAACTTCAACAGCTGATAAGAAAATCAAGCAGTGTCCTCAATAATGTGTGCTATTTGAATACAGTTTTATTTAGTACTCCGAAGGACGTATTGACCAATTCATTGTAAGCTCTGTTTTTAGGCAATCACTGAAATGTCTGCTCGTAGTAGGGCTTCAAAAAAACACACACAAATGTTTGCATTCATATTTCATTTTAAAAGTTCACCATGTTCATGCTCACATATCATATGTACAGTTTTTTGATAGAAAAAACTCTATGAAAATGAATTGGGTCAGGGTATTCGAGCATTCAGTTCATGTGACACGACAATTTTTTAAGCCTTTCACTTGGTTTTCATTGTTCTGTTTGCTTTATGGTGTTGCTATGAAATTCTTTGAGCTGCAAGCGTTGCACGCACATTAAAATTGTTGCATATGGTTTTCATTTTTGTTGGCTCGTTAACATACATACAAAGCCATCAACATGCTGGTCAACATCACACCACCAACCACCACCACTCAAAAAATTTCAAGTAGAGATTTTTGCTGAAATTGTTGTGAAACTCTTGTTGATCAATATTAATTTTTATTTGTCCTTGTTGGTGGTGCTATCATTGAAATTATTCAATTGGAAATTTGGGCTAATTGAGTTTTCAACGTAGCGCGTTGTGATTTGTGCCGTTGACAGTTACAAATATGAATACATGCACACTCAAATACACACACATACACATGTATGAATGGTTGTCCAAGTGTTAATTGAATTGCTTCTCATTAAGCAAAGGGTCGTTGTGCAGCTAGGGCGCTGGGACAGGCGCTGGTGGGAAAGGGGTATAGGCCACCTGCTCTTCTTCATCCTCATCTCCTACTTACCATATGCAAATAATGGCTGCCAATGCGCATTTTTCATATTACATAATTAGCGCGAGCGGTTGGTTGGCCGCTTGGCTGCCTTGTGGAGGAGCATGAATAAATTGCGAACGAAATGCGTAGCATACTTTTGTGCGCCCGGCTTTGCGCTTTTTGATTTCCGTCTACCGTGCCTCGCACCACCCTCGTGCCACCCGTCGCCACCGTGCCGCTCAAATGGCGCTTATGCAAATTGTTGTAATTACTACAATTCGGTTGAGCATTTTTATGTAACAAAATGCCAAAAAAAAAAACATATATAGAAGAAGAATGGCATGGAAAAAAAGGAACATGCGGAAATATTTTTGTGCTAATTGCGTGGCGAATAAAAAAAAATAAAAATAGGAAAAATAGAAGCTGAAAATTGTGCACGGCAAGGCGAGCATAAAATGTGTATATGTGTGTGTTGTGGGTGTGTGTGTGTGTACTTAAGCGCTGCTCATCAAAGGCAGCCAGTCCTTGCCTGCTCCTTAGCTTCTTCTCGCCATTAGCGCCATTAATAAACACTCGTTAGCAGGCGTCCAAAAGCTGCGCTACAAACTGAGGCGTAGGCTATATGCGCTCTTAATATGAAGAATTAGCGCACAATTAGCAGGAAGTTAAACACACGCACACACAAACATACATTAATATGCTTTGTGGACATGTAAACAGTGCAAAAAGGTTAGAATAAACATTTCATTGCTTTTAGGCAGAAACGGCGTAATTTGAGCTTTGTTTCGACTTTGACAATACAATGTACTAACAATGTTTGAAAAATAAGTCAAATATTCATATTTTGCCTCTGCATTTTAAATAGCGATTCACTTAGTTTGATAAACAGATAAATGGTGTATGCATGTTCCTAGCTGGCTAATCCAAAATACCCCTGAGATGCAAGGGGCCGTTTACAGGAGTATTATTGTGCCAACATAGAGATTTAAGGATTCAAGATCTGACAGTATTATGCAAATATTCAATTTGTTATTTGTTATATTTTTTTTGTAAAGTTCGGTGTCATATTGTTTGTTAGCTTTAGTTCCTTTTTATAGTAGAAAACAGTCATGTTATGGCTTTTATTAGTTATTTTTTAGTGTAGGCCAATTCCCCGCTTCAACAATAAATAAATAAATAAATAAAAAAAGTTTTGCCTTAAGCAAAAGATTTGAAATATCTTTACATATACATAATAATAACGTATTCATAAATGCAGCAAACATTTTTTAAACTAAGGTTGTATATGTATTTTCTAAGTAAAGAAGTATTGCGTATTGCAAAGTTTTAATTTTGCTTTGCTTAGGTGCCTCGTATGAGAAGCGCAGAGGAGGACAGTCTTTTTAATTTAATTTTTAACATTTATTATTTATTTATTTGATTTTATGGGACTCGTATGAGAAGCGCAGAGGAGGACATTCTTTTTCATTTAATTTTTAATAATTATTATTTATTTATTTGATTTTACGGGACTCGTATGAGAAGCTCAGCGGAGGGCTGTTGTTTGTATTTAATTTCAAATGATTAGTTTTCATTTGTTTAATTTAATAATTATTGCAAGTTTTAAAATAATAATAATTTTAGTAAGAATTTACTAAAACTGTAGCTTTTATATAATTTCAGCTTAATGTTATTTTATAATAACTTGCTTTTATTTTTAAGTCTAGTTGAAGATTTGTAGATGCTTGGTATAGTTTTCAAATATTGCCCTTTTTCTTTATAATTTCAATTATTTATGTATTTACGATAGAATACGTCAACTATTTTCAAATTGTAAGCATATATTTTATGAAAGAAAATAATGACTATTTTAAAGGCAAGTATGCACAATTGAGA